AGGATATGGCCAAGCCATTCTCATGATGCCCCTACAATCTTATACACATCTGAGCCGAGCATGAGCAAACGAACAGTCCCGCTATGTTGCATCTGTTCGAGCGCGAACGCCCCTGAAGCAAACATTTTCAACACAAAGTCGTCCCGTCTTGACTGAACAAGATGAAGCTGAGGCCAGCAGTGGCGTTTTGGGGGCAGCGACATTCGGCGATATCAGGGGGGCCAAATTTGAGATAACGCTTTTGGTGCCGTAACCCAGCCAGAATTAGCAGGTATTCGCCCACCGCTCTTTGAGCAGCAAAAGGAGGCTGTTTCGTATATATTCAGCCTTGGTAGCACGAGGACCGTGAACCGCAGTCCCGAGCGTTCAGGCATCAACAACGGCCAGAACAAACCACAAAAAAAAACACGTCCTAGATGAGAGAGCAAGGACTGAACTTGGCCAACGCCCAAACACGCAGCGACGCGGTCGACTTTTTCTTTGTCGTCTCTTGCGTGTTAGTGCCTTGACGTCAACCCGGTCTGAGTCTGCGTCAAGAGAAAAAAAGAGCGGGGCGCGCGAGACATCCCAAAACAGCGGCATCGCACGTGTCTCGGCCGCGGCTTCTCACAGGTCCATCTCGGATTCCTCCCATTCCTGTGCCTGGATCTTTGTGCAGCTGAGACATCCATACCTTAAGCTTGCCTTGCCTCGCCTTGCCGACTATCCAGGGCCAAGCCCAAGGTGGGCAAGCCAAGAAGCGACCAGAAGCAGAAGAAGCTGCTGGGCGACGAATCGCAGCCCCGGCCGACGGGCCTTTTTATGTCGCCCCTGCGCCTGAGGGCCAGGCGAAACTCGTCCTTGTACGGCATTTCGTTTCGATCGATATATTGCAGTGCAGTGCAGCGCAGTGCAGCCCCCGGTCAAGCAAGGCGCAAGGTGAAGGTGCAGATCGAGGCCGAGGTCGAGGTCGAGGTTGAACCATGAAGTTCGCAAAGGAGCTTGAGCGGGAGGCGGTTCCTGGTAAGCACTTGTCTTGATGCTGGCATTAGCTTGATTGGCTGCTGTCTTTGGTGTTTTGCGGAAGATTTCCCCTTGCATTGCTTCCTCTTTGTTAGTTCTTTTCTGGTCCTCCTGTTCCTGTTCCTGTTCTTGCTCCTGTTCCTGCTCCTGTTTCCTGCCCGTTGCCACCAACACCAAAAGCTTCAAGGAACGAAGATGAAGAAGCAAAAGAAGGGAAAGAAGGGGGGAAATGGCAGACCATTGCATTGTGCACCCACCCAAGGTTCAAATTACTAACTTGTCACTTCTTCTCTGTGTCACCACCCAGAATGGCGAATGAAGTATCTCAACTACAAGGCTGGCAAAAAGTACGTAAAAGCCGTCGCCACGGCCATCCAGAGAACCACCGGCTCGACGCCTCGACTCCTCAGCTCACGCCGTCCTCCCTCCTTCTTCGCAGTTGCCGGTCCTCAATCGGAGCCTTCTCCGATCCCCTCGTCTCGCCCCGGAACCGGTCGACAGACTGACGGATCTCCGATAATCTCGAGATGGCATGGTCAGTCGGAGCCGGTCACTGTCGCAAAGAGGGCAGAAGACGACGCCCTGAGCAATGATGGCAACAGTCTGCATTATGGAAGCTTTGTGCCCACGCCCCCTGCACACCAGCAGTCGACCTCGCAGGAGGCCTTCCCGGACGCTCACGATGACAGTCAACAGGAGGAGCGGGAGAGCAGCCAGAGTAATGGCCACAACGGCACCCAGAACATCGTCAACGACGACGACTTCGAGCTTCCTGCTCCTGCCATTCATACAACAGCTTCCTCCCCGGGTGGCAAGCGCATTCTCAGTCCTTCAATGAAAAGCGCTCGCTTCGACCTTCACAGGTCTTCCTCATCGGGTCCCCTGACCTCCGGAACGCTGCCTACCCTGGTGGCGAAAGATAGTGCTGAGGAGGGACTTCGCCGCTTGTCTACGGCCAGGGAGTCAGCCCGAATAACAGGCCTTCCACGCCAAAGCCTTGATCTTGTTCGGGAGAAGGAACAGCAGTTTTACGCATTCCTCGACTCGGAGCTGGAAAAGGTGGAGACGTTTTACAAGAAGAACGAAGATCGAGCCGGGCAGCGGTTGCTTATACTGCGGGAGCAGCTCCATGAGATGCGCAATCGCCGCATACAGGAACTGGCCAACGAGAGAGCGAATAGCTCTCTGTCCCGGTCGTCTCATCACAAGGTCGACGAGACCAACGCCGATCGATCGCTTAGCTGGATGCATCCGCTCAAGAATAAAATCTTCCCGCTGGGACCGAACTCGAAAGCCTTTCAGGATATGCCGCGCACGCCGCATCTCGCAGGTGGCGGCCGGGCTCCAGAGGATCGCATGGACTATGTACGGCGCCCAGAAAATGACGAGGTTGCCTATAGAACAGCAAAGCGAAAGTTAAAGCTGGCAATGCAAGAGTTCTATCGCAGTCTGGAGCTTCTCAAGTCGTACGCTTTGCTCAACCGCACCGCCTTTCGAAAGCTCAACAAGAAGTATGACAAGGCTGTCAATGCTCGGCCGCCGATGCGCTACATGAACGAAAAGGTCAACAAGGCTTGGTTCGTCAACAGCGATGTTCTCGAAGGCCATATCAAAACAGTTGAGGATCTGTATGCTCGGTACTTTGAGCGCGGCAATCAGAAGCTGGCGGTTGGCAAGCTGCGCAAGATCAACAGAAAGCCCAAGGATGAATCTGGCAGTTCGTTTCTCAATGGCTTTCTGATCGGCACTGGAGCTGTCTTCACCATCCAGGGCCTCGTCTACGGCGTTCAGCTGCTCAATGACGATGACCCAACAGTACAGCTTCAAACAAGCTACCTGCTGCAGCTATACGGCGGCTATTTCCTTATGCTCATGCTCTTCTCATTCTTTTGCATCAACTGCTGCATTTGGCTACAAAACCGAATCAACTACCCCTTTATCTTTGAGTTCGACCAGCGCAGCCAGCTCGATTGGCGTCAGCTCTCCGAATTCCCTTCCATGTTTCTTCTAGTCTTCGGAGTCATCATGTGGGCCAATTTCAGCAGATATGGTGCCGATACCATGTATCTCTACTACCCAGTTCTTTTGATCGGCCTAACTGTCGTTATCATCTTCTTCCCTGCCCCTGTGATGGCTCACAAGAGCCGCAGATGGCTTGCATATTCGCATGTGAGTACCTCATACCTCCCCCTATCCCATCAGCCCCTGATGGGGTTTGTCTCTTTCAGCGATGCTAACCAACGACAGTGGCGGCTTCTTTTGTCTGGCTTATATCCTGTAGAATTTCGTGATTTCTTCCTTGGGGACATGTATTGTTCTTTGACATACTCCATGGCGGTAAGTGGTACTCCGTTGACCGACCACCACCGAACGACAGCTGACCGAAACGGCAGAATATTGAGCTATTCTTCTGCTTGTACGCCAATCATTGGCATAATCCTGGGCAGTGCAACTCGACCAGCTCCCGTCTCCTGGGGTTCCTGACGACGCTCCCTGCCATCTGGCGCTTTCTGCAGTGTATCCGGCGTTACAGAGACACACGCAATATATTCCCACATTTGGTCAACTGCGGCAAATATACAGCTACCATACTGTCTTACATGACTCTTTCCCTCTACCGCATTCGCCAGAACAACTCTGACCTTGTTTTGTTTGCCACCTTTTCAACTATCAACGGCTTATATACCAGTAAGTGGCTGCTTTTGAACCAGTGCGACGCCCTCCAGTGTGCTGACAAGCGACTCTCTCAGGCATTTGGGATCTTTTTATGGACTTTTCCCTACTCCAGACCCAGAGCCGACATACCGCTCTCCGCGACATCCTGGCTCTGAAGCACCGCTGGGTTTACTACGTTATCATGGTTATCGATCCTATACTTCGATTCTCGTGGATCTTCTATGCCATCTTCACCCACGACCTCCAACATTCCACCATTGTCTCGTTCCTAGTGAGCTTCACGGAAGTCTTCCGCCGAGGCATATGGTCTCTTTTGCGAGTGGAAAACGAGCACTGCGCCAACGTAGCGCAGTACAAGGCCTCTCGCGAGGTTCCTCTCCCCTACCGCATCGAGCCTCTGCTGGAGCACGACAGCACCGAGTCCAGCCCCATGCTGGCACCTCAAGGAGAGCGCCCATCAGAGCGCCCGCAACAGCCACCACGGCCGCCGACAGCAGCAGAGCGCCCCGGCACCTACGACTCTGGGAGCTCGACTGCTGTTGCTGCTGGTGGCCCTCCCAGCGGCAGCCTTCGGCGCCGTGCCGACCAAGAATCACCACGCATCGCCCGAGGCTTTTCTAGGATCATGGCCGAGGCGCATAAGCAGGACTTTGAGAAGAAGCGCAAGCCTGCTGACGGGAGCGGCGAGGGTGCCGGTGCCGCTGGGCAAAGCGACGAATTTGATGACGATGACGACGATGACGATGACGATGACGCCGACGGCGGCAGCTTGTCGGGGATGCCACCTCATTCTGGGGATGCAGCTTGATTTGTTTGATATTTACATCTTCGAGGCGATTTCCCTGAGGCTTGTATTCTTGCGACGTATGGTTTACACAAGCGGGTGAATGGAAGGACAGATGAGGCATTCGCAGTTCAGGGGTATATCTAGTTACCTGTTTCCCGTACGGCATTGTCCAAGAGACGTTGAAAACGGGAGAATTTGTGATCTCGAGAGAATTAGACTGGAGCTGTATGACGGAAGGGGATGAAGATGGGATGCCAGATGGTAGTTCAAGTTGAGAACATATAGAATCCAGGTGGGAATATATCCACGCCTAAATGGGGCATATGTCACTGCGTATCAAGAGTCACGATAGCAGCGTTAGAGCACGTACACTACGGTTCAGCAATCCCAGGCAGTATCTATCCGTTGTATTAAGCCGATGGATGGCTTCTAATTCGTCTACATGGAATGTATCAATCAAATCACCCTGCCCAAATCAAACACGCTCCGTCTACTCCGTGCATTATTCGCATCACACACATCGTAATTTACGCCATTACTCCCACTCGCCATCAACCTGCTCCCAGAAATCAAGGAAGCCCTTGAAGAACTGGACACCCAATCCCGGATCCAGCGCGCCCGTCGTGGCGCGAATTGAATGCATCGAGAGCTGGGGGAGCCCTGCATCGCAACTTCGGACGCCCATGGCGCTCGACAGCATGGGGCCCACGGTGCCTCCGCTGCGGGAGTCGTTTCTGATTTGGAAGTCCTGCAGCTTGGCGCCGCAGAGGTCGGCGACGCGGTGCATGATGGCGGTGGAGACGGCGTCGGTGGTCATGTGAGCGTTGCTGTCGCTGCAGACGACGAGGCCCACGTTGAGCTTGGGGACGTGCTCGGGGAGGTAGTTGCCGAGGAAGTTGGGGTGGCCGGCGTGGGAAACGTCGGCGGACAGGAGGAACGACTTGGCAAAGGTCTGGCCGATGAGGCCGGGGCCGTAGGTCGTGGGGTTGAGGGCCTCGACGGCGCGCTCGACCGTCGAGGGAAGGAAGTTGCCTCGGGCGCCCTGCCGCAGCAGCGAGCCGACCTCTTCGTCGTCGAACAGGGCCACCAGCTTGATGTAGCTGTCCGAGTCCCGCTCCGTGGAGTGAAGGAGACCCAGGAGGGCGGACCACGAGCACAGCTTGTCGTCGATTCTTCCGGCGGTGATGAACTCCTTGTCCAGGCCGAGGACGGTGGCGGGCTGGGAGTCAAACAGCTCGAGCTCCCAGCTGACAATGGAGTCGTATGATGTGATGCCCAGCTCCTTGGCAATGAGTTTGACCAGCTTCGGCGGCTGCGTGTTGGCAAAGGAACCGGAAGAGCCAAGCAGCTCGGAGCTGGAGCCGTCAGAGCTGTCCAGACCGATGATCGGCACCGCCTGCGTCTCCGCGTTGTTCTGACCCATCATGCCGACGCCAAAGTGCGGCGCGAGCGTGGGGATCTTTGCAATGGGCCAGTCCAGCTGGACAAGCTTGCTGGAGGTCTTGCCCGTCTTCTCATCGCGCACAATGACGCGGCCGCCAATGCTCAGGTCTCGATCCCACCACGTCTGGTTGAGAGCGCCGGCATAGGGGGCGACACCGAGCTGGATGTAGCCGGCTGCGGTTGGCTTCTTGCTGACGGGCTTGAGTCTGGCTGTCAGGGCGTCGATGTGGCCGGCGATCATGCCGACGCCGTTGCCGGGCTTGTAGGACTTTCCGACGGCAAAGGCGATGAGGGAGCTGCCGTTGCGGGTGACCCAGTACTTGCCGCCGGGCTGGACCTTGTCGGCCCAGGAGTCGCGCGCAGGGAGCTAGAGGGGGGGTTTCGTCAGCTTCTTGTCCCGTTTGTTCTGCGCTCGGAAGCCGTCACGGGGCGCACATACCTCTACGTAGCCGGATTGGCTAAGCTTCGTCTTGAAGTATTCGACGGTATGGAAGACGGTGGGGTTTTCGCGCAAGAAGTCGCAAAAGGGCTTGGTGAAGGCCTCGGGCTTGAGATCCCGCACGGCGCACAGCCTGCACGCGTTGTCGGTGTCGACATGCCAGTTGACCTGGCAGACCTCGCTGGGCGACAGCTTGGAGATGCAGTTGACGCAGGCGCGGTTGTCGAGAGGCGGGCGGCCGTCCATGTCTGCGATGACAAAGTGCTTGGAGGCGCTCAGGGCGGGAGTCGGAGCAAAGGAAGCAGAGGTGGAGGCGGACGCAGCCGTGGACAAGGGAGAGGAGACCGGGGCCTGGGGGTGCGCCTGGTGCTGAGCCGGCGCTTGCTGTCGGAGAGCGAGAGAAGAAGGAACGCGCCGTGTCATGGTTGCGACGAGGACGGAAGCAAAGCCAAAGCAGACGCGGAGGAGAGAGCGCGGGTTAATAAGGGCGAGGGCAGATGCGACACGGGGGGAGAGGAGAGGTTGGGGATGATGGAGGTCACAAGGAGATGCGCCGCATGTCCCCCAGATGGCGCAGCAGATAAACCGGGGTAGCAGCTCCGATAAGCACAGGCCCCTGGGCGGCGCTAGGGGTAGCGGCCTATCAGCGGCTATGGGGGGATTTATAGCGGATAAGGCGCCATAAGACATGCTGGGATAGAGCACACACCGATAGGTACAGGTACCGTACCTTACATACCTCGGCCAGGACAGGCGATGACGAGGGTTGCATGGGGGCGCTGACGTAAAGTGCCCAGACAGGTAGACGTAGGTATTATGAGACAGTCACTGTTAGGACCAGACAGGTCGGACGCTCCCTTTGTTGAAAGAGCAATTGGCCAGAAGAGGGTAAAATGATGGATTGCGCAGAGTTGATGGTCAAGTACCGGCAGGGAAGACTTGTTGAATCATAAGGTAATGCCATGTGGGTAGGATCTACTGCATGGGATGCCATACATCCTCCGTACCATATACAGGTCATGCCAGTGTCCATCGACGAAGAGTAACGAAGAGAGACAACCGTCTGATTGCAGAAGCATAAGGTAAGTAGTAAGTCTGCAAAGGGAACGTTACGGTGAGTGGAATTGAGTGCTTGCAAGTAAAAGAGCTCGGGGGAACGATGTCAAAGCGGGATGGAGCCTTTCATTGTATTGCGACTTACACGAGGTTGAAAATAGCAGGACAGTAACAGGTTTGATCAATTGCGACTCAAGAAGCAAGAGAATTTGAGAGATCAAGCCGTGTATTACTATCTAAATTAAAACATTACTTTATATGCCCCTACGCTCTGGGCAATAGCGAGTAAGGTATTGTCGCGTAACACCATTATTTATGTCCGTCGCTTCGAAATGCAAATCAGTTAAGTCAAGTCAACCCGTCGTACTAAGCTCCAGTATATGCTGCATGTGTGTGTGTGTTGTCGGTGATGGGAAAGCATCCTCAAAAAGTCACAAAAGACAATTTAAGGTCCGTACTGGCTCCAGTTGATGGCGGCAACGTCGGGGTAGCAGTCGCTCTTGATGGCGAACTCGTGGCTCGAGTAGGATCCAGCAGGGAGATCCTCGAGGGTGGCACACTCGGGCAGCAGGCGGACGGGAGCGCAACCGGCGGGGATGTTCTTCTCAATCTGGCCGGTGGAGCTGATGGTGGTGGCGGCCTGCTCAAGGACGAGGAAGTGCGTGCCCTGGTAGTAGGCCAGAGACTCGTTGCAGACGACAAAGGTCTCGGGCTCGAGGTAGCGGTAGCCCTCGGGGAAGTGGGAGAGGGAGATGCCCGTGGTGCCACGGCCGCCGTCAGCGCGGGCGGTGGACAGAGTCGAGGAGCCGGCGTCCTTGACCAGCGAGAAGCCGTAGGGCGAGAGGGGAGTGCCCTGGTCGGTGATGAGGGTCACGTCGACGTCGCCGAAGCGGCTGTCGGCGAGGGTGCCGTTGAGGTACCAGGTGCTCGGGTTGTTGTCCTTGCTGCCGAGGCCGACCTGGTTCAGGCCGGCGCCGACGTGGATGGTGTTGATGTAGAGGTTCTGGATCGAGGGCTTGAAGTCGAGGGCCTTGTCGGTGACGTTGACGACGAGGCGGAAGCCGGTCGACTGCTGGGTAGGAGGGTAGCTGGGCACGATGGCGAGGGGAGAGGCAGCAGCGGCGCCGGCGAGGGCGAGGATGGCAGCAGGGGCGAACATCTTGGTGGTGGTGGTGGGTGGATGAGTTGGTTGATTCTGTGAAGATGAATGAGAAGTGTTTGTTTGTCTGTTGAGGAGTGAGGAGGAGCTGTTGGATGGAGAGCAGAGTTGTCTAAGATCGTCGAGACGGGCGGCTTATATACATATCGATCGCTTTGTTCTTTGTCGTCCTCCCGTGCAAAGTTCCCACTCCAGCAGGCATCGGAGAATTGGCATTGGATCCCAAGTTGCCACTCTCAACCCACGGACAGCAGCTTCCCCTCGCCGGCAGCCCCCAGCATCCCCATCTTTCGCCCAGCATCTCCAATCGACCTGCCGAAGCTCAGCGCCATCGCGCATGACCAGATGCCCGCCAGTCGCTGCTAAGGGCCCTTGGCTGCAGGCCGCCTCGGGGGCTAGAGACGCCCCCAGGCTGCCCTAAATTAGGTCCCCTAGCCTAGCAGCACAGCAGCCCAGCGCCAGAATGCCGGTTTGGGCGCCCACATCCCCCATGATCGGCAAATATCCCTTGGCATCGTCATGCTCGTATTCAGTCGGCATGGGAGGGCTTCGTCTCTTGCCTCGTTGGGTAAATGGTAGCCAGGCTGTCATTTGATTTCTACAAGGTGATACCGAGTGACGGGACTCTCAGTTCTTCCAGAAAATGGAGATACGTGTACGGAGTATTCTTTGATGAATCCGGTACATCGGCTCTGATCTGTAGATGCACTTGACATGCAACTACACGTATAGGTCTGTCTATACAAGACCCGGCACCTTACAGGTATTACACTGTATGCAGATGCAAGATTATTCCGACCTCAGCCTCGATTCCATCCTACCTTGCCCTCAATACGACCTCATCACGGCATTGTTAGGTAATCCAGAGCCAAGAAACGGCAATGCCATCCGATTCAGCTTTACCCAAAACACATCAAGATCGCCCTGTCATCCTCATCGCCGTCACCAATCCCCTTGCTTTCCCCCTTCTCACCAGCATGGAATCCGTGCTGCACAGCCTGCTTCAGCCCGTACGAGTACATGTACCAAAACAAATGCAATTACAGTGCCTGACGCTTCTTCTCTTTGCTTCTGTTCCACTTCCTTCGTAATAATTCTTCCGTCTTCCTCAGGATAAATTAGGACGATTCCATGCAGCTGCCAGGAGTTGGCAGGGGAGTGGCCTGTCGGGTTTGTTTTGTCTGCTGACTGAGTGGCTTCCCTGATCAATGCCCGACTCAGAAACCCAGCCTCATCGTGAGCCCTCGTGGCGGTAATCTGTCAGGTTGTCTTTACGGCCCTGCATCAAGCATAGACACGCCGTTGAAGCCGCTTAGGTAACTCAGGTATGCACGTTTCAACGCGAGCAATTGTTCAAGGATTGTCTCGCGGCCTGTCCGATTGGCCTTGACAAAGATAGACGTGCATACAGCCCTCTCGCGAGCGAACATGCTTGGATATGCCCTGGCGGACCTACTACATACCTTGGCTATGGCCGCTGCGCAGAGGACCTTATGTCCGGCATCGTGTCAGTGCCTTGATCAACTCCAGTGGAGCATCGGGGCCTATACGAGTATACCATCTCGAAAGGGCTTCCGGGATCTGTCAACTCCTTTCTTGCTCGTCCGAAGCATCTCGTATCCCGGAAGCAAAGGACACGTTACTTGCCCTACTACTCCTCCCCCTTCGCCGCGGGCTGCTTCATTCATCATAGTATCCTCACGATATCCCGCCCATGATGTTGTGCGTCGTTTCACATACAGCACCCGATGAGGCTTTCTCCTGAGAGTTCCACCATTACTACGTTATTTCCAAGAATGCGTCAAAACCCCGTCCGGATCCCCCTTCCATCAAAAATTATACGAAGCATGCATGCAGGCTTATAATTCTTCCGGGCGGTATTCGCGAGATGCCTCCCGTCTTGGCCATCCTCAGCTGCAGCTCCTGCATTGCCGGGAAGGCCATCGCGGCCCAAAAGCCGACTGTGCGCCACAACACCATCGGAAGATATTCATCTGTGGACATGGAAATTTGACAGATGGACCGGCCCTTGTCTCCAGCCACGATCTCTTGGGACGGACGAGAGCCGGCAATACGAGGGGGGGGGCCCCTATTAGATCGGAACAAGCGGGCGAGGGATCCTTGTCTTCTGTGTCGAGGAGAACCGACAACTGGCGGTTTTTGCGCGTGCTACAAGCGGCCGACTCTCCACTCGTTTGCTGGGCGACCTTATTCTTGCCCCGAAGAGTCGGCTATCCACGTGCATGAGTTTTGACAAGCGTGATGGAATAGGGCATTTGTTGCGAGAATACTGACAGTTTGCTGTGGGAATCGAATCGACGGTGTTGGCAGCCGTGCACACACCGCTGTTTTGGCGGCATTCATGCTCCCTTTTTGACTACCTGGCGGCTTCGTATGGAATAAGGTATGGCTGGCTGTTGATTCCCGTCCCTGGTCCGCTGGTTCAAGGAGTGCAGGTAGGCTATTCGTGGTCAATGGACAGTGGTGGTGGGATTACGGCCACTCGGTTGACCGCAGATATCCCATACACGTAGCTGAAATCGATGCCTTTTCGCAACGCCCGACTATGTACTTCTTTCACTGGATCAAAACTCTCTATATGGTAAACATCAAGCCATATACCAAGCTCACGGATCCTGTCCTTGGCATTAGAATTACGAATAAATTCTTAATTGTCTTGGAGAGCCAAATACATCTGATGTGGTGAGATTTAGAGAAATTGTAGGGTAGCAAGCATCAGGATGCCTGCAGCTCCAACGTATCTCGTATCTCCCAAGATTGATAACCCCCTGATCGTAGGTCACTTTGCAGGGCTGTATGGAGTTTTTACTGTTCGAGATCTATTCTTCTAGAAGAACCCACAATCGAAATGATCCAGGGGGTTCGGGCGGATCGAAGCGATCTGATACCACTTTGCGTAATGTTCGGTTCAGTCGTTCGACTTAGATGCTCGGTCCAGATGTTCGGTTCAAACCCAGATACCGAGTACCTTGCACAGCTGCTCGACTCTGCGCCAAGGGCGAAGCCACAAATGAGAGGAAAGAAGCTTTTCGGTGCCAACTCTACTTTACTGAGTAACTTCAGTACGACGTCCCAGTTACATCGCGATCATGACTCTCATCTTGTGGTATATTGTCGCCAGACGGGATAGCAAAGGAACATTGCCCCCGTCTTCAGGGGATATACGGCCTGATCTTCCCAGGATCGGAGAATACACGCTTCAAAGGCATGATCATAACGGCACACGGGAAAAGGCTACCAGGCAGCAATATAGGGGGAGAGCACTGTATCAGCGAAGCGAAAATCCTCAACAGTAACAACGGCCGAGTTGGCGTCTAGACAGAAGCGTGGGTAGTTGTCCACCACTTCCAGATGAGGGCACTTTTCTCGAGCTGTACTTTCTTTTATCTTGTTCGTATTTCGGGAAAAGGACGATGAGTCTTGGTCGTGTTTCGGCGAAAATGTCCCGCTGTCAAATGAACGGGCGGTATGACAAAAGGATGCGTGGGAGTCGACGCCTCCTGAATCGCGTACTATATCATCGTTTGAGCCTCGAATACTGAAAGCTGCGCAAACAGGCGTATATAGAGACTCTGCAATGGCCATTCCTGAGTGCGTCAAGATAGGGGTCATTGAGTCTCTTTCTATATTGTTGAGCGAGAATTCAGGCATTGGATCTGGGAGCTGGGAGCTGCAAGTTGAGCATCAATGCGGTTCGAATGAGTGGTCATACCTCTGAGGGTACTTGACTGCGTCAAGGTGAGGCGCTTTTGGTGCTGTTCAATGTTGGCTGTGATCTCGAAAAGCGCTATTCGTTGGTGTTGAGATGCAACTGGGAGCCGCTCCAGGCGCAGGACAAGCTTATTGTCGGATATCGCTTCTCCTGTGCAGCGCCATGATGTTGGCGCGCCGTCGAGGCTCTTGGTCGCCGATACATCAGTGCCATGGTATTGTCAACAGAAGAAGCCATTGCTCAATGGTAAGGAGAACAAACAAGAAAGGAAAGAGTAAGAGTCTCGCTGAGACGCTAGGCTCGAGAATCTGCTTGTCACTCTGGCAGCGAGCATCACATGCACCACCACGCCTTCACTGGAGGAGAGATCCGACTCTCTGTTTCTTTAGTATTCAACGAGCAACAAGTCCCCCCCCGATTGTACAGAGTGAGTGATGGACGCGCTATTTTCATCTTCCACCCAAGGCCCTCTTGAGGGCCTCGACCTTGGAGCCGAAAGACCGACCGAGTGAATCCGCAGTAAGCACCCAATCGCTCGGACTTGTCTCGCTGATAGCATGAAGAAGGCGGGGAGTCGACGGGCCCCTTGTCCCCAACATTCGTTCTGCGGTGCGTCGCTCAAAGCGACCTTGATCTCGATCCCGATTTCGTAACTTGGTTGTACGAAGCTGCATTGTCTTGCCACAATTATCCTTATAAAGATTTGAATAATCAGAGGTTGTCTCGGTTCCAAGACGGGCGGCAGAAAGAATGTAGCATTTGCGGCAACCTCTGCGTTCCGCACAAAGTCCAATAACGGGTATCGTCTCCCTCTTGCGCTCAAACGCACATCTGCCTCGGCCAACAACAGGAACAACGCCGAGATTCAATGGAGGAGATTCGGCGAAGTGGGCATTCAATGTTCGGCGGCGGCGGGGGGGAGCCTGGACAACGCGCGACAATTGCCGGATAGTATATGGGCTTACCGGGCCCTTTGAATCGAGGTGCATATCGTAGACGCTTATGGATGATTTATTGGCGGGGGTTGCTGCCGGGGGGGCCGGAACGCAAAGAGGAGGAGGTTCGGAGATTCGGGTTCGGTGAGCTCAAGTCGTGAACCTTGAGGGAACAAGCAAAAGCGGGGAAGCGATTCCCGGGAATGGAACGGTAGATGAAACTACGGCTACGCGTACAGTATACGCAGACGCAATGCGACGGGTTGAGGCTATACAGTACGATGTGACATGAGTGCTGGCTCTTGTTGGTGCCCGCACATGCGAGTTGTGTGTCTGTGTGTGTGTCTTGATCAGCTTCAACTGGTACTGTATGGAAGGGAGTTGATGTCTGTTTGAGGATGGATTTTCTTACTCAACGGCAATGGGTGGCGCGTGTTACTGTTAGCTTGAGGACGAAGGGAGCAATTGAGTTTGAGCCGGAAATTCTGTTAGGGGAGCGGGATTAATATAGGTTAACTGATGAATCGATCGACTGGGCGCTGCCTTGACCCAAGGAAGAGAGCTCCCTTGTAGAGGTGTTAGTATCTGGAGGATACGGCAGTTGAAGCTGAAGCTACCGACTGTATTACAACATCGGACTAACTGATTGTATAAGCCGCCATCATGATAACTGCTGCTGCATCAAGAAGTGTCGCGAAATCAAGGAGTTGGGAAACGGAGTTGGAATTTGTCTTGGAGTTATAGTGGAAAGCGTACTGGCATCCCATATGCAATGGTAAAGGGCTTTGGGAGATCGATGAGATGAAAAACGACCCCATAAATGATAGCATAAGAAGCAGAATATACCGGGTGTTAGTGATTGTCTCGCCTTTCTGAACACCACTTACACTGGGATTATTCTCATGCCTGAGAGGTGGTATCACTGACCCATTGCTTTCACATGTACATCACGATTGCACGAGTAACATCAGATCTATGAGATCTATAGCTTTTACGAGATATATACAGATTTTATTTGGTAGCTCAATAACACCTCACATCAGGTCTCGCACGACGGGCGCCCAAACCGTGACACGGTGATATCGAACACAGAGCAGTGGATACATGTACGATGCTGTAAGTCCAATTGGACAGAACAAGGACAATCCAGATCTACCACGTTGACTCTCCAGTATCAAGTTGCCATTGGGTAGCATAGGAACGAAGACGAGTTCTTCTAGAAGCAGTTTAGTCGTACGATGAATCCATCCGGGGCACAGAGGGACCCGTTGACAGACATCGACCCGCTCGTTCCTGCAGGAGATGTGAGATTCCGGGCGGAAAGGGGGACATGAGGCGGGAGATTATGTGCGATATAGTAGGATACGCCACAGCCGTTACCTTGAAGTTGAGGTTGGGTTGCGACTCGTTCAGGGCGTACCTATATCTTGGGGTGTTGTTGTGGGCACAAGTGACGGTTGGGGAACTCGTGCTACGGAAGACGTCTATGATGTTTGTCCCAACCATGTGTAAATGGTATGGGCTACTTGGGGGAATAATCTCATGTTTCCAGAGAAAGAATCGTGATGAATGGCAGGCGTTGAATAGCCAGCGTAGATGAGGCTGTCCCTTCAACATCTAGTAGTTGGGTAGATGTACAGAGGATATAGGTAGTGACGGCAACCCCATCTTTGCCCATCACTTGACGTGAATCTGGAGCTATAACTATAGAATATCGTATTACCGCCAGCAAGCCAGCAGTCTTCGTGAAATGCCGAGAGTTGGAGCAGAGCAAAGACTCTACCGTTGTACAGACACCAGGCGCTTGCACTCCGCGCTTGTGACATTGTCGATACCAAGCTGCGGCCCAAGCTCCCAAATCTACAGCGGTTAAAAGCGGACAGGCGACGCTATGGAATCAATCAAGAATAGCACTCGGTAACAAATGTGTGAACTAACATACTAGAGTACTTCGTTCGAAGCTGATGCTGTCCAGAGCTTCCTCAGCACGGAGTTTGGCTGGGAACCCCTCATCATGATGAACGGCGCAGCGCCCAAAAGGGGTGTGTGTGCTCTGGAAGCGGGGGAAAAGAGGAGGTCGAGCCAATGACCCTTTAATCTGATAAATTAAACAAGAACATATTGAGACATACGTGAAGAAGAAAAGAGAATGATTGGTGCGAGACGAACAATTGGGCGTACTCGTAATGGTTGGTGCGGCTCGAGGCGAAGCGTGTTGGTTGATTGGCTGCGTGTGTCGATTCTCCCGGCTTAACTTTTAGGCTCCGTGCATGGCAGATGCTCACGTTTCACACATGCACATACAACGACATGAACTGTTACTACTACAGGTATGTAAGACCTAAGAAAGAAGAACGAGCAACGAGGCTCGAGGAACCTTGGTGGGCAGCCGTCTGATTGCGGCTTTGGGTAAAATTGCCTCACTCAGCCGCACACGCGTGTTGTGTGCTTCCCGTATCGAGGCAAGACCTGCGTATGTATGTATGTATGTATGTATGTTCTTGGCCGTGCATTAGCAGGGTGGCATTGCGTGTGAACGGGTGAACCAACAGCTTGAACCGTGGAGAAGTGTAGCATTTGGAGTGCATGCATCACGGCTACTACATGTTGATGAAGCGAGTTGCAGCTGTGCTCTGTGCTGTAGTATATGGCAGACATCAACTACAACACGGATATACCGTTAAACCACATCTATGACCTGGTCAACCAAGCATACAAGTAAATACTAACACAAGTGAAAGCAATGATACAAAACAGACATCAAACCACTGGACATCTCCTTTCCCCCGCTCTCAGCGCTAACAGCAGCCCAGCCCATGCATCATTCCCCCACATCTCCAACACGACCCCGAAATCCCGAGATATGTACGGCTTGCTGCCACTCGCCAGCGCCGCCAAGATTACGTCTTCTCTCACTCTCTGCCTCTCTCTCGGCTAGATTAACTGGAACCCGTTGATCCCTCTCTCTTTCGATCCCCCCATGCCCACCCTCTTCCTTCTCTTCCCGTTCTTTTCCCGGTAATGCAAGCCTAAGCAAAAGGGAACAGTTGGAGAACCAAAGGCCCAATGGGGAGACGGCGCGGGCCCTTTTTCGGTGGGATGCCGAGCCTGCAGCGAAGAGAACCGAAAGGGGAGGCGAATGGGCCCCAACCCAACCCAGCTGGTGGATGAGGGAGGAGAAGGAGGAGGAGGATACAGTAACGGTACAGTACGGGTCAGTTAGAGCGTGAGAGCGTAGTGGTCGAGGCATTACGTACGGAGCAGGAAAGATGAGGGGCTTGCTTCGGGGATCGCATGTGTCATTTTGCAGAGCATGACTGGGAGAAGACCCAGGACAAGGACAAGAGGGGAGAAGCGGAAAAGCTGGTAAGTAAACGAGGCGATTCAGATGTGTCAAAGGGGGGGCCTGTTCTTCCCGGAGCATAAATATCTGGTGCTTGCGACTTCTTTGTCTTCTGCTTGCCCTCTCACGAACTCCAATCGCCTTCAAGTCTCTCTAAACCTCCAACCTTTTCCTCTCATCTCTCCGATAAAACCCCTTGCATTGCGCAAGTGGTAGTTAGCCAGCCTATATCGAACGGATCAGCCCATCCGCTCGCCTCCTCCTCTCCACCACCCTTGTCCCGGCATCTATTTTCCAGCTGTGACTTTCCGAAGCCGGCCACATCATTACCACCTCATCACATACGTCTTATATATATATATATATATACATCATATATATATAAGCTCATTTCTCACCCGAGAAAACGTTTTGATTGAAGAAGAAAAAACCAAGGAATCACTCTCCACTCTTTCTCTTCAAAACCGCCAAAATGGTATCTTTCCGCCCCCTTTCTCGCTCCATCTCTCTCGCCTCGCGCGCTTCCCCTTCTCTCCTGGCCTCGTCGTCGCGCCAGTTTTCCTCCTCCCGCGCTTTCGCTGCTTCCAAGCTCAGCGCTTCCTCTTCTTCCTCCATCTCGCCGCGCCTGGTGACGCCGTCGTCGATCCGCACGCTGACAACCGCCCCCCGCGAAAAGGTCAAAGTTCTCCTCGTCCTCTACGATGGCGGCAAGCACGCCGAAGAAGTGAGTGCCGATCCGTCTCCTTTTATGTTTGTTCATGTTCTTCTTCTATGGAATAGTGTTTTTTTCTTGCTTGTTCTGTTTTCCTACGAGTCCTTGCCTTGTCTTTGCTCGGATCTCATTAGTGGGGGCCGCATCACAATTGGCTCGATTCCAGAAAAAGGAATAATGAAGCTCAGACCAGCTCTTGGCAAAGGCGATGATGCTCTGCAGAAAATGCGGGGAACTCGCGCCCATGTGGGGAGCTCGAGCTATTGCATGTCACTGATCGAAGTATCATCATCACATGCAACATGAACCTGCTGTTCCATGTACTCTTCTGATGCTCTCTTACACCGATGATATCGACCATAACCAGCAACACCATGATAACTGACACACTCAACTCTCCAGGTCCCCGCCCTCCTCGGCACGACCCAGAACGAGCTCGGCATCCGCAAGTGGCTCGAGGACCAGGGCCACACGCTGGTGACCACCTCCGACAAGGAGGGCCCCGACTCCCAGTTTGACAAGGAGCTCGTTGACGCCGAAGTCATCATCACCACTCCGTAAGCTCTCTTCTTCACCTCTCTCTCTCTCTTCTGGTTTTAAAATAAAAAACACCTTAACTCATATGTTGTTTCCCCCAAACAGCTTCCACCCCGGCTACCTCACCGCCGAGCGCCTCGCCAAGGCCAAGAACCTCAAGATCGCCATCACCGCCGGCATCGGCTCCGACCACGTCGACCTGGCCGCCGCCAACAAGACCAACGGCGGCATCACCGTCGCCGAGGTCACCGGCTCCAACGTCGTCTCCGTCGCCGAGCACGTCGTCATGACCATCCTCGTCCTGCTGCGCAACTTCGTGCCCGCCCACGAGCAGGTCGCCCGCGGCGACTGGGACGTGGCCGCCGTCGCCAAGCAGGAGTACGACCTCGAGGGCAAGGTCGTCGGCACCGTCGCTGTCGGCCGCATCGGCGAGCGCGTCCTGCGCCGCCTCAAGCCCTTTGGCTGCAAGGAGCTGCTCTACTTTGACTACCAGGCGCTGTCGCCCGAGAAGGAGGCCGAGATTGGCTGCCGCCGCGTGGATACCCTCGAGGAGATGCTGGCGCAGTGCGACGTCGTCACCATCAACTGCCCGCTGCACGAGAAGACCAAGGGCCTGTTTAACAAGGAGCTGATTAGCAAGATGAAGAAGGGTGAGTTCTTTAATACCCCATCTCTCGTCTTGTGTTTGACCACTAACTGAGTGCGCTCCCCAGGCTCATACCTCGTCAACACCGCCCGTGGCGCCATCGTCGTCAAGGAGGACGTCGCCGAGGCTCTCCGCACCGGCCACCTCGCCGGCTACGGAGGCGACGTCTGGTTCCCCCAGCCCGCGCCCCGCGACCACCCGCTCCGCACCGCCGTCAACCCCTTCGGCTACGGCAACGCCATGGTCCCCCACATGTCCGGCACCTCGCTCGACGCCCAGCGCCGCTACGCCGACGGCACAAAGGCCATCCTCGAGAGCTACCTGTCCGGCAAGCACGACTACCGCCCCGAGGACCTCATCGTCTACCAGGGCGACTGGGCCACCAAGTCCTACGGCCAGCGTGAGAAGATTAACACTGTCAAGAAATAAGTGCTTGATCTTGGGGAGGATGGAGAGGAAGATGGAATGTTTTGAGTAGTTGGGGCGATCACCGTATGGCTGGCTTTGAACAACGGAGAGAAGGAGAGGAGAGAAAATTCCCTCTGGAGGAAAAACTCGAGACTTCGAGGAACAAAAAACAAAGGCAGTTCATGTACATGTATATGATGGATGGCACCGAGGCAATGACGGCGTATACCCCATTGCACACCCCCTTTTTTCTTAGCTGTTTAGTGCCAGCAATGAAAAAAACAAATCTTTTTTATGACCTTTATTTTCATTTATGACTCTGTGTGCGAATATACCGCGTAAGAGGCAAATCCTGAATAATGTCTTTATTTCATCAGATAATGTATAAAAAAAATGCAATGCGGTCCGTTTGACAGCCATCGCCATGCGTTCAACTCATGGGTTCCAGTTTCTCATAGCAATCAGTCAAAGTCATGCCCCCTTTTCCAGCGCCCGCCGTCATGCATGCATAAGTCATTGGACCCCCTTCTTTTTGAAGCCAAACCATCCAGCCAGACACAACAAATCCTCATATCAAAGCAGAACAAAAAGCAACTCAAACAGGGCATTAAAAAAGAAGAGTAATGGTATGCTAGGTACTTGTCTAAGAAGAAAATGAATGGAAATGGGAGAGTTTTTCACCCGACAGGGATGAGAAATTGTGTCCCTCATCGACCCCAGAACCGCCACCACGGCTTCTCGTCATCGCCAGCGTCGCCGCTTCTCCTCCTCACGGACCGGTCCCTCCCCCTGATGCGCCAAAAGTACACGGGTATGCCCGCCGCGACAAAGGCCACGACGATCATCGTCTGCAGGGGCTGCGCGAAGACGGCCCTGCTGAGCAAGAAGAGGCTGACGCAGCAGAAGATGATGGGCGTGGCGATCCACGTCTTGTAGGGGCGCTCCAGGTGCGGCTCCTTGACCCGCAGCACGATGAGCCCCAGCACGGTGACAAAGTAAAAGGTGTAGCCGGCCACGCCGTAAAAGGTGACGAGGGTGCTGAACTCGCCCACGATGCAGTAGCCCGACGTGAGCACCGCGTTGAGCAGCAGCGCGTAGACGGGCGTGAAGAAGAGGCCCGCGTCCTCGTCGCCGAAGCAGCTGCGGAACTTTTTGGACAGCCAGCTGCGGGAGCGCTGCGTCGACAGGCCGTGGTCGCTGTCGGCGCCGCCGCTGCCGACGCCCAGCCGGCCAAAGATGTCGGGGATGTAGCCCTCCTTGCCGGCCACGTAGATGAGGCGGCTGGCGGTAAAGGTGGACGAGTTGAGAGCGCCGAAGCAGCTCGCGCTGACGATGAGCGCAAAGATGAGCGCGCCGGGCGGCCCAAAGACCTTGGACCCGAACATGACGGCGACGGTGTTGGAGGCGTTGATGGAGGCCAGGGGTAGCACGAGGAAGTACGACACGTTGGCCAGGACGTACGAGAGGATGACCAGCGGCATGGCCGTGTGGATGACGCGCGGGAGGTCTCTGCTGGGGTTGCGAAACTCGCCCACAACGTAGTTTGTCTGTTTTTTTGTTAGTTTCGGAGGGAGCATCGTCATCACTTGCAGCAGCAGCAACTCACATTGTCCCAGCCGTCATAGGCCCACAGCCCGGCATACAGCGCAATCGCCCAGTTGGACGGATCCGAAGACGTGCCCTCGAACCAGTCGCGCGACTTCCACTCGCTGCTCGCCGGCCCCTTGAACGAGAGGCCCGTCACGGCCACGACGATGCCCACCACGGTGACGCCTATCAGCGCCACGAACTTGAGAAACATGAGAAAGTCATTGACGCGCGTGCCGACCCTTGTCGAGACGCAATTGAGGAACGTGACTGCGAAGATGCCGACCAGCGCAACGGCCTTGTTGATCCAGGGGTTGATGGTCTCGGCCTCGGCGCCGATGATGGCCCGGACAAAGTACTCGCCCATGATAATGGCGATGATGGCGGCGCTGCCCGGCTTGAGCACCAGCAGGGCCACCCAGGAGAAGAGGAAGCCAGCGAGCTCGCTGAACGTCTTGGCCAGGTACACCTGGGAGCCGCCGTTGAGGGGGATGGCGCCGCCCAGCTCGGCGTACGAGGCGCCGCCGGTCCAGGCCAGGATGCCGGCCACCACCCAGACGATGAGGGCCGCGCCGGGGGACCCCAGCCGGGCGCTGACCTGGCTGGGCGACGAGAAGATGCCGGAGCCGATGATGAGGCCGATGATGAGCGACAGGCCGTTGAGGTACGTCAGCGTCTTGAGCTTCTCGAGCGAGCCGCCGCCCAGGCCGCCGCCGGAGCGCAGGCCGGCAGACGTCGGCGCGCCAATGGGGGCGTACCCGCCCGCGCCCGCCGTCGAGCTCAGCGGGAACAAGTTGCCGGCGAAGTCAAAGGCGGACGAGACCGAGTACGAGCGGCCCAGCCTGCCCCTCGCCGCCGGGTTGCCATCGTCCAGGGGGTCCTCCTCCTCCACCATGGACAGCCTGCGCGACGACGAGATGCTGGGGCGGGACGAGACGTCCGAGGCCGCGCCGTCGTAGGCCACGCTGGAGCTGGCCAGCGAGGCGAGCTCGAGCGAGTCTCGCGACTGAGACTGCGATGGCAGGGGCATCGTGGTCGCCGGGGTCTCTTGTTCTCTTTCTCTTCCCTGTTCTGTGTCCCTCGTTCAAATATTTTCGATTCCTTGTACTTCTCCCCCCCTCTTCAATCTTGACCACCCAGGCTGGGATATTCCACGTTTTTGAATGTATCGACCGCCGAGTTTAGCAGAAACAGCCCATGTCGTCCAAGGCTTGCCACCTCGAATCGCAAGTATTACGGAATCTTCGCAGTGTATCCGCGTAGGCGAGAAGCCGCAAATCGTAGCCACCAGATGGGAAAGACGGAGAGGAATGCGCTGTCTCGCAACGAAGCCGCTTCGGCAGGCGAAAAGGACGGGCACACAATCCGCAACAAGCTCTTCGTGACTGTCTCGTGAATGAAAGAAGAGGCGAACAAGAGAAAAAATGAACGAATGCCAGACTCTGATTGAGTTGAAAAGGCAAGAGAGAAAACACCAGCCAAAAACGAGCCGCTGCTTTCCCCTCTGTATGTATGTATGTATGTATGTAAATGTTAAAAAAGGGAACCAAAGATTCAAACTAAACAGCCAAGCAATTGGTTCCCCCTCCCCCCCCCCTTGTTCCAGCTCCCTTGCCTGTCCTGCAGCGCTCAATCCAATTGGGCGCTTGTTCTCCATGCAATTCAATGCTTAAACCTGCTAGCGTCGTATTATTGTCGGCTTTCCTTTCTCTCTCTCTCTCTCTCTCTTTTCGCTCTGTTGCGGCTTGTCCTGACTTGTCTCCTTGCTGACTAAGGGCAAGAGCCGCGGCATTCTAGAACCTTGAACCCCGTTGAGCGTTGCGACTTCTGACCTCTTTTCTATTGTCACTATTGTCGCTGCATGAGTCCCTCGTCATCGCTTACCGTACTTGCGCCTCTTTCTAGTAATACCTATGAACTAAGGCAGTGACAAAGATTAGTTTGATACTACGCAGCTGATCCGAGAGAGCGAAATGGGCTCCGACGAATACCAAGTCGTCGGCGGCGGCGCCCTCAAGCTGAAAGGCGCAAAGATCACCAAGAAGAAGAAGAAGTCGTCCAAACCCGACCTCGCAAAGAACCTCTCCACCGGCGACGACAGCACCGCGCTCACCAAGTCGCACGACGACGAGAAGAAGAAGAAAAAGAAGAGCTCCGTGGACGACGACGGCGACGAGGAGAAGAAGCCTCAAGAGAAACAAGATGGAGATGACGAGGACGAACCAGTGGTGTACAAGACTGAGGCGGAGCGGCGGTATGAGGAGGCTAGAAAGAAGAGGGTATGCTTCTCTCTCAAGTCAATTCTTTCCCCCTTACCCATTTGTTGAGGATGATAGTTTGCGATCATGTTTGTTTGCTGACGTTGGGAATTTCGCAGCTTCTCCAGATCGCGCAATCATCCGGAGCGAGACCCGAGTTGCTCAAGACACACAAGGAGCGCGTCGAGGAGCTCAACACGTACTTGTCTAGGCTGAGCGAGCACCACGATATGCCCAAAATTGGACCGGGTTAAAAACTTTTGTGAACAAAGGTCAACTTTTGGTGCATTGCCATTGGTGGCCGATGGAAAGATATGGAAGAGCTACATTCTATTGCATGGAGATGGAGTTTTGGGCGTTTCTGTCTCTGCTTTGCTGAAATCAACTGCTGTATATACCCACGACATCTGTTAAATAAATTCTGACATGTCTTACAAGAATAGTTCATCTTCACAGTTATTCGGACTCGAAAGGAACAAGAGGTGCACCCGAACGTGTGCTGCTTATTTGCATGCTTGCTTGCTTTGCTATATATGCCGAAAATACACAACCGTCCCCTTTTGATGCCATATGTGCCAAAACGATCATGTTTCACAGTTGCCAGAGGCTTTCCCGTACAAGGGGCCCCGTCCCAGTCTAAGTCCAATTTTGCTGCCAAAAAGATACAGAGATGAAAACCAGAAATGCAGTTGCCCAAATCTATGTGTCCGCCGAGTCGGTTGTTGTGATTAAGAAAAAAAGGAGTGGTAAGGAAGTGGCCGTAGATGTCGTGTAATTAAGTTTAAAGGAATGAATAATACGCCGTCGCCAATTCCTCGATACGCTTATGCTCATGCAAAACTGGGGGAAAAAAAAAAAAAAAAAGGAGAGTGAAAATGGTATGGGGGAAAAAAGGAGAGTGAAAATGGTATGGGGGAAAAAAGGAGAGTGAAAATGGTATGGGGGAAAAAAGGAGAGTGAGAGAGGACAAGGACAGTGGTTGTCCAGCTTAAACCATCAGCACAGCCCCGACAAAGAGGCCAATGGCAGCAGAAAGCAGTGCCTGGCCACGGGGGAGGGAAGCATCGCCCTGCAGGTCGGGGCTCTTTGCTCCGTCGGCCTGGCCAGTGGGCAGAACGGCGACCCACGAGGTGGATGTCAGGGTGGTGGTGCCGCCGTCGGGAAGAGTCCTGGTGAAGGTGTGGAGGACGGGGGCAGACGTCGTCTTGGTGCCCGAAGTAATGGTGGTTTGGAAAGTTTCGCTGGCTTCAGCAGTTGTTGACGTGATGGTATCATCTGTGAACGGATTTGTCAGTCATGTGTACCACAATTACATCTCGCTCTTGCAACAGCAGAAGAAGATCACGAAAGCTCCGGCTTCTTGAAGCACTTGCAGCAAGACTCCCCCGAGTCTCCCTGCTACATCCAGATGGTCCAACATCCAACTCTTGAGCTGGCATGTCGTCTCGACAATGTCAAACGACAGCGCGAAAATCTGCTGACATACCAGTAGTGGTCTCGGTCGCCGTCGTCGATTCCGGTGGAGGAGTTGAGGTGGGGAGGGAGGAGGTCACGGAGGAAGGGGGCAAAGTATCAGAAGCAGTGGTGGACGCATCCGAAGTAGTAAAGGACGAGGCGATGTCTGACGACAACCTACCAGAAGAGGTGGAGGACACCGGAGCAGTAGTGGGAGAGGAGGAAGCAGCCGTAGTGGGATCTTCAGTTTCAGTAGTAGTAGTAGTAGACGTACCAGAAGCAGTAGCGGAGGATTCGGGAGTAGAGTTGGTCGTGCTGGGGGCCGGGGTTGTGCTGACAGCTGCGGTGGTCGAAGCGGCACCGGAAGTCGTCTGCTGAGCGGCAGTGGTTTGCTCAGCGGTGGTAGATGCAGGCACAGAAGCCGAAGATGTGTCTACGGTAGATTCGGCGGCAGTAGTGCTGGCAGGTGCGTCTATGGATATAAGAGTTAGTGGGCTGGTTGTCATGACCGTTGGCAGCATCTGGGCGTATAGCACGTACCCGCAGTCGTCGTCTCAGCAGCAGTGGTTTGCTCAGCACTCGTGTCCGAAGGAGTGGGCGTGGATGATGGGCCGGCATCCGTCGTCGTCTGAGCATTCGCATCCGCGGTAGTCGAGGAATCAGAAGCCGCCGACTCCGTAGCCGAGTTGGCCGGAGCAGTGGTTGAGGGGCCGCTGGCAACGGTGGTGTTGCTGTTGCTCGGGCTGTCCTCCTGTCTCTTGGCGATCTGAACAATGGCAGAGGCAACAGAAGGGTCGTTCTCATGGATGGCGTCGATGGCCTCGGCGTCTGAGGCGAAGACGCCGTGCTGGTATCTCTCGGGGAGATAGGCATGCAGCAGCCGGTGAAGCAGGTCGGGAGACGTCTTCTGGAGCTCCTCGACCAGCTCGCTGCTGGCCCCGTGCGCCTTGGGCACGGCCATCCTGGAGTTGCCGTGACAGTCGACGAAGCCGGGTCGAGCCGTGGCCACGCCCAGGCCGAGGACGAAGCCCACGGCGACGATGGCCAGTGCCCGCCTAAAGTAAACCATCTTCTTGCTCTTGCGTGGGGTTGTCTGGGTTAGTTGCTGCTCGTGTCCGGTCTGCTTCTCTCCTTGGGTGCTCCTCAGAAGTCCAGCCTCTAGGTGGCCGTCACGGTCACTGTGGTAGCCCGCGGGAGCCATGAGTGCGGATAATATACCGGACTGTCTCAAAGACGACAACGAATGGGGGCGTTGAGAGAGAGTGATGTGCGATGTGTGTCGTGTTGCTGCAGGCAGGGCAGGGCAGGGGGTGTCTTGAAGTTTACGAGACTGGACTGGACGGATGCGAGACGCACGCCACCACAAAGCGGAGAGGCTTTTTGGGTTCAACCACGCCGGACCCGAGAGGTCTAGCAGCAGAGTTCTGAGGTGAATGCGGGTCCCGTCCTCTCTTCCGGAGCTTCACGGTTGTCTCTTGGGCTTGGGGGCAAATCTGGGGCAGCGAGATGCAGGCTGAGGTCCACGCTTCTCCGTCTTGGATCACCCAGTCAGATCGATCGAGCTGCTATCTGTGAACAGCTGGCAGGCCGAGGCGGGAAGTAATAGATAGCCCGTATGCGTACGGTAGAGGCAACAAGCAAGTAACTGGAGTAGTACTATGCAGGTCGAGTGAGGAGAGTGGTGGAAAAGTGTGGTGGAAGAAGAGACTCTGGTTCCTCGACGGCGGAAAAGTATAAGTTTGGGGGGCTGGTCTGGTGGAGAGCGAGCAGGCCGGAGTCACTGGGCTTGCATAAACCCCAACACAGGTTTTTCGTGTTTGTGAAGACGATAAGGATAAGGAGGATGATAGATACGTAGATAGAGAATGGTAATGGCGACGGTCATACGGAGTGCAACTGAACAGCCTCGCTTGTATCACCAGTTCTGCTTCCTGTTGCTATCCACGGATACGAGGTTCCAGGTTCCCAAGCCAAGCCCCAGCCCACCCGTGCTTCAGCTGCGCTGCCATGGCATGGCAAGGACGGCATCAATGACAGCTCACAGCAGCAAGGACCAGGGCGATAGCAAGGCAGGCAGCTTATCCAGCTCCATATCCATGCGTCATTATTAGCGGACAGCAGCGGGACGTGGACCGGGTTGAGGGCCAATATTTCCAGACGCAAGCCGTGTGCTGTCTCTGACTGGGCCTTGGGAGAGCTCTAGCGGCCACTAGGCGGGCTGCAGGGGGGGAAGCCGATGGGAAGAGATGGATTGGAGGGACATGGGCCTTTGACGGGGGGAGACGGGCAGCCATTGCCGGGGCCATGACGAGGTTTCAGTTTATGTGAGCAGCAGAGCGGCTGTTTGCAAGCCATCAAACCGGCATCGTCAGTGCTTTTTCGTTTTCAGCGCTAGAAGGGAGCTTGCGTACGAGTCAATGCGGCACAGCTGCGAAGGATTCGATGTCTGGCGCCTGGACTTGATACAATCCAGAGCCCAATCCCGTCCATCAAGGGAGGAGACGGCAAAAGGGCGTACGAGTATGTATCACTTGTACACAGAAACAGCGAGTGTGTGAAGCAGCAGCAGCAGAAACCAATTTGAATCGACAATTCCATCAGATTCATTGGCCCAGAGCTTCATTCCAGCGGCAAACCGGCGGCACAAGTAACGCCACGTCATGGCCCTTGTTCCTGTTTTTAGCTCCAAGTTCGTGGAGGATATTCTGAGGCTCTCCCATTGTTTCGCCCCATGAGGCGTCAACTTAGACCATAGGCAGCCAAAACAGCTTCTCGGCGCTATCAACAACACGCAGAGCAAAGGGGCGAAACTCGGCGATAGCGTACTCGCTCTCGAGAGGATCAGGTCTAGATGATTACCGACGCGGGCATTGCTGAATCCCATCCCGCTCACTCGCCAGACGGACGCAGGAGCAGACGCAGACGCAGACGCACATGCTGTTTGGGGATGGGATTCGGCGACGCCTCTCACCTCGGCCGCCGTTTCACGACGTTGATCCATCTCTCTCTCCGCCCGTCTTACTGGGGGCTGGACCAAGTTTTTTTTGGGCGGTTTGTTTACTTCTGCGCAAAGCAAAGCAAACCCACTTGCCGACAGGAGACCATCGCCACCCACCGGCGATTCGACGTCAATGACTAGCATGGCATGCATGCTGGCGGCTAGACTGCAAACCGGCACCGCTGACGCTGGATCAGGTCCCGACTGGCCAGCATCGAAGCACAGACAAGTCTCGGAGAAAACTGGCTGCTTGCATCTCTGTCGCCTCGGCATCAACCGCCGAGGGGCTGGCGATGCCTGTCTCGTTCTTGCGATACTCGTCAGATATCAAACGTGGGACCTTCTCGTCGGAACATTTTCTCTAGGTGTCGTATCCTTATTTAGTAGCACATAACGCTGGTGGCGGAGTCGTCGCTCCGCGGTGGTGGCTGCTCGTACGAAGCGCCTGCATGTACGAAGTGGCATCGCCGTCTCCTGGCCTGGTGATGCTTCAAGGCCATTGCGGTCATATATCAACCATCCCGTCGCGCCCCCGTCTCCAGAATTACAAGAGGGTTGCGTGGGTTTCCTTACCCCGACTGAGAGTTCCCCTTGTCCACGACCTGCGTTCTACGTCTACGGAGTACGAGTACAATTGCCTTGATTTGAATCCTACGCGAATTTCCCTGTGCAATCGTTCATCGACGAAAAGGCGTGGCGTGATCTCGATCTCCACAGGCCGCTTCCTCGCTGCCGGCTTTCCCGCTGCTGACCTGTTTTGCCTGTGTGTCTAGACTCCCATACTTACAAGTACGGAGTACGCAGCGCAAGTACTCGTACAGCTCGCGAACCCTCCTCTTCCACATCCTCGGCCGGGATCACGGACAGGAAGGACAGGATAGGCCCTGTCGATGATGGTGAAAATCGGGGCGGTGTAACCCCTTTGCGAGGCAACAAACTCATTGACCGCATGATCCCGTAACCATGACCGTGTTTCCCCCTCTCCCAAGCAATGCAGCCCAAGACTCCAGATGTGAACATGTCTTGCGAACCGCCTTTTGGCCCTCGTTATTCTCCGCGGGATCGCCCCGAAGCGGTATGGAAAAGAAGGAGACACTAGCAGTAGTAGCAAGGAATCGTCAAGTCTTAGCAAGCTTTTAGGACTCCGTAACCGCACTCCGTAACTGAACTGACATCACCACCGAGGCCCCAGCTGAAGTGGCTCGTATTCGAATCGAACGAGAAAACTCTAGAGTCTTGGCCCAGCCCAGCCCCAAGTGGACAATGCCTTCTGCCTCGGTCTCTTGGGCAGCAAAAGCTTTGCGCTTTCAGCCAAGGTCTCACTTTCGGCACTCGATCAAGGGCTAGATTGGCGAGTTCGGCGACTCGGTCGCTCTCAGCCTCATGGAAATTAATGCAACAAGGTCGGCAAGGGTAAGGTAGGCTTGTTGTTACCCAAGCTTCTGGTAACAGTTCTCGAAGCGCAGTCGATCGGATGACACATACATAATGGGGAGGAAGCGCAACAACGCATATCAAACGATCGTTTCGCGCTCTTCGCGCCAATGTGCGTTTGCCCAGAGAGTCTGTCTCTGACCGGAAACCAACACGAAGATGGCTGTGTCGTCTGTCAATGAGAGAGCCTCTGGACTCTCAGCAGCCGCTGGTTGCAACCGCCAGCGTGCGATAAACTTCGTTGGATTCAATCCCATGCTTTAGTACTCCGTACGTCGCGGCGATGATTTGCGGCGGTTGAGAATGTCTCCACTCGAGCTGAATCTCTGTCGCTGTACGAAGTAGTAATGGCTTCGAGGCCAATTCATCGGCCCAAGCAGGCATCTTGCCGCGGACAGCAATTGGCTGCGTACAGAACATCCTTGTCTTGACCTGAGCTACATTGCATTGCAACATTGGTACCGTAGCTTCAGGTCATCTCGGCCTTGTGAGGTTGCTTGCCTCTTTATACTACTACATCTGAAGCCCCTGGATGCCTTTAGTTCAGTTGGGGTCGCAATCACTTGAGGCGTGAAGCTTTGCCTCGACTCTGTCTTTGCTGTCCATATTCGGAAGCTGGAACAACTAGCTTCAACGTGGCTGTTAACCTAGTCAAGCTGGGCTGTTGGATAGCCGCTCCAAGCAGTGAACTGGACAATGGAGTTGAGTCCACTACCTACTGGAGATGCCATGGGAGGTTTCAGTGGCAAGACAAGTTGGTCGACGGCTAAAATAACGTAGATCAGGCACAGACATGGCCGTCTAGTACAAGTAGATGCCGTTGCAGACACTAAGAGTAACGGCATATTCTGCCAATCAAACACCCAACAACTCGTTGCGTTCCTGAGTGAGGACAGTTCGCCATCCTCTCCCGAGCTGATTCATGCAAGTACCATGCACGGATGGTTTGCAGGGCCGTGACTTTGGCTAGCATGCCGCTTTCACGTGATGGTCAACGGCACCAGCAATTCGCATCGTCCCGGCCAAGCTTGGGCACTCGTTGCTTTCATGTGAAAATTGACGATTGCTGCGTGCCAAGCTGCTGCAATCTCCCCTGTTCCCCAGTCCTGTCGTTTTCCAATGTAAAGTTCGATGCCAACTCGCCCGAGCAGCAGCCATTGAATCTGCTCGAGCCCGTCACACGCTTCCTACGTCATCCGGCCTCGAGGCACAAGATCCCACCCCCAGCCGTCTTCAATGATTTCCAGCAAAAGTGGCCTCTCACGACATGCCAACTCACCTCAGCCCAGAGTCGGCAGAGACTCTGGATCCAGATGAACACGACGCCCTTCGAGCCCTCGACCGGTCGCCGCACCCCTATCACCACCAGAGCTCCGAGCTGCGCTACCCCTCGGACCATGTCGTCTCCCACGCCCAACGGGCTTCCTCTCCGGAGCTGCGCAACGACGCGAGCCAGCTGTCGCCGTCCCGTCTAGCCGCCTTGTCCAAGGAATCGACGCCAGCGAGCGACAGCGGCACCGACGCCGACGATGAACACTTCCTCAAGGGCTTGCCGCCGCCGAAGCTGCGACCCCATAAAGGGCTGAGAGGCCAGAACGAGGTCATATCCGGCACCTCGACGCCCCTGTTGTCGCCCGCCGTCCTGCGCGAGCCTGTGCCCGCATCAGGCCCTAGAGCATCGCAAAACGTCAAGAGATCCAATGAGAGGGTCATCCTGCCAGAGGCCATCCGGCGGAAGAGGATACTGGTGCAGCGAGCTGTTGAAGTGGGCATCATTGCTACCCTGGCCGGCATGGTCCAAGCAAACAAGCTGCTGTCGCCGGTTCTGGCCACTTGGCGTAAAGGTGCATCATGTACCATTCTTTCTTTTGTCTGTGATAGATTGCTGACCGGGTATAGATTTCTACCTCTTCGCTGCCTTGTACGGAGCGCTATTGCTGCTATATCCAGTTCGTGCTGCGATCTGGAGCTACAAGAATCGCCAGCCATCTTCCGGCCCGCTGTTGAAGATTCCCTCGGCCTTCGACCCCGCCCCTCTCCTCTATCCTCCGGCCATCACCATCTATGTTTCCTTACTCGTCTCTGTCAACAACCCGGCGGTGATCCTGCCCAACCTGATGCTTGCTATAAGCTCGATCCCTCAGCAAGTGGTGCCCAAACTCGACCATTACGTGGCATATGACTCTCTCCACTGGGTCCTATCTTGTCTGCCTCTGATTTGGCGGCCCTCTGTGTCAGATTCCTCTCGATTTGCGCCCACTTATTCTTTCCTCGCGCAAGAGGACCTCGTCTTACTATACCCTCTACACCGGACCGCGTGCGCCGTATTACATCATCTTACCACGACCAGCCTCCTTACGACTGAGCTCCAGCTTCTTTCGATTGCGCTGATCAACGTGTTGCTCCTTGCATCATCACCTCAGATCCAGATCCTAAAGGCCCTGCTATGGGGTGGAGGCTTGAGCCTGCTTGTGCTCTGTGGTGCCGTGATCAGATGGGGAATTGTCCTGGCAAGAGTACCCAAGTGGCGGTTCCAACGAGAGACATACCCACAGCGGCGTTCACTTTGGAAGTCTTTAGTGAGGCTGTTGAGCTGGAGGAAGCTTAGGGGCGAAATCCTAGGATCGCCTCACGATGTGTACAGCGACGATGCTTTGTTCACGACGGATGAGGACGAAGACGATTTGCGATTCAGTGGTCCCACCAGTGTCCAGACTTTCGAGTTAACAGCAGACACACCGTCTGATGGGCACAGACTTGCCTCATCCACCGCCGACAATGGATGGCCAAAAGCAGGACGGATCTCTCGCAGACACACGGCTCCTCACCCTGAAAAGGTCGCTCGCAAAACAGCAACCCACACTCCATCTGGCAGGCGAAAGCGGACGGCCTCTGTTTCGGTCCGGGCCTACTTCAAGTTTACGCCAGCACAAGCAGCACGGAGGAAGTGGCTGTACGCAGGCTATGTGTATGTGAGCCTGGCGGTCATCATAGTGGCCGTGATCCGCCCGTATATACAAAAGTATGCCCTCGGTGGCAATGAGCCTATTGGCTGGGCCTTGGGCTATTTCTTCGGCGACCTGCCTGCCTTTCGATATCGAGTGGTTAGAGCCAATCTAGAGCGCTGGATCTGCTTACCAGCCCGGATCGATACAATGAGCGCGAAAGAATGCCGCTTTGGCTGGGTAGAGCATGTGCGCCATGACGACTTTGGCGAGGCCAACACGCGACTCTTTATCAGCGCTTATTGGGTCGCAATCCTGATTGTCGGGCTGGCCATCGTGTTCCAGCTGAAGAACACGTACGAAGTCGACACCCGGCGCAAGGTCTTCCACTTCATGATGGTTGGCATGCTTCTTCCAGCAACGTACATTGACCCGACGTTTGTTGCCTTGGCCCTCTCGATCGTCTTGGCCGTCTTCTTGATCCTGGACCTACTGCGGGCAAGCCAGCTACCACCCCTGTCCAAGCCAATCGCCTCCTTCTTGGCTCCCTACGTGGACGGAAGGGACTTTCGCGGGCCTGTTGTGATATCGCATATCTTCCTTCTCATCGGCTGCGCCATTCCTCTCTGGCTGTCGCTGGGATCCTTGCCGCGGACCGGATCCGACTACCTGACCGGCTGGGAGATACCCACTCGAGAAATCAGCATGGTTTCGGGGGTTGTCTGTGTCGGTCTGGGCGATGCAGCCGCTTCCCTCATCGGGCGCCGTTACGGCCACCGCAAATGGCTCTGGGGTGGCGGCAAGAGCCTGGAGGGAAGCCTGGCGTTCACAGCTGCCGTCTTCCTCGGCCTGACGGCGGCCAGCCTCTGGCTTCGGATAGGACAGTGGCCCGTTGCCGGCCAAGGCGCGGGCATGGCGACCCGAGCTGGGCACGCCCTTGCGTGTTCCTCCATGGCCAGCTTGACGGAGGCGGTCCTGACGGGGGGCAACGATAACGTCATTGTGCCAGTGATTCTCTGGACATGCGTGAAAGCACTTGAATTTTGAGCGTATAGAAAAGCATGACATGGGCGTTTCTCTCTTTCTGGGCGGATGATTGACGATGGATGTTCGACTGGACAGCGTGGGATAATACGGGATTTGATCCCTCTTGCTCTTTTATGTTTTGATAGATGGAACGCAGAGGGCGATGTTAGACAGCTGACGAGTATTGATGCTAGATCTCAGTCCTGCATGAATGGGAGATGGATGAATACATCTCAAAGTTGATGCGTGAACAATAGTAACATGAAGTCTGTAAAGTCTAGGGAGCATCATGTATCTTTTTCATGTGAGCGTCTGTATCGATGTGTCGTCGCCTTTGGTATCTTTAGGTATTTTCCTCCTTTTTGGATCCATTACCCCCTTTATCCCTTTCCCTCTAAAAATGTACATTCTACCCGCACCATTACGCCATTAGTATAAGGAAGAACAATAAATAAAAGAAGCAAAAGGCATATCATGTAGTCAAGTCTTCTAAAATGGCTTCCAAGTCTTCTTTACGAAATGGCAGGCTCAACAGCTCTGTTCCAAGATTGTCTTTGCGGCTCGTCAACATTTGGTGGTCGTGGAATCTACACAGTAAAATGGCTGTCAGTACCTTCTTCATCGCAATATGAACAGTGATCGTTACGGTGGTTGAAAGGATGTAAAAAGAAAAGGGGGGGCGGCTCACTCTTTGAGTAGCGTCCGAAAAGCCATCTCGGAACTGCAGATGAATTCCTCCACGGCCTTGTTGTACACCATCCTATACTCCAGCCCAACACCGTCGTCGCCTTCGTCCTCCATGGCGATGAGGACTTCGCCGACGAGGAGGCGGAACAGGTTCTTGGCGTTTTCCGTCAGACTCTTGAGGACGAAGGCGACGCCCTCGCGGCCGTTGACGCGCTGGGATTGCCGGCCGAGGAGCTCATGCACGTCGTCCACGACGTCGAGCTCGGCCATGAACGGAGAGAAAGTGGTACAGTCGTGGAAGACGAAGTTGAAGCCCGAGCGGACGCCAATGTCCCACAGCAGAGGGAAGTCGGGTGTGTCCGCGGAGCCCACGAGGTGGACCTGCGGATGGGCGGCGAGCTGCGACAGGATCGCCTGGGAGCCGGGCTTGCGGAGGGGAGGGGCGTCGATGGAGTTGATGACGATGGTGATGGTGAGCTTCTTCGTGGCGGAGAGGAGGGAGGAGATGTTCTGGATCATGACGGCGGGCTGAGAGGCGGGCACTCTCTGGGAGGGATCGATGGCGGAGGCGACGACGCTGAGGATCTCGCGGAGGTTGGTCGTGTGCGCGTAGCCGTTGACCATGACGATCTTGCTGCTGCTGCTGCTGTTGGTGGACTTTCTGGTGCTGGCGTGGATGTAGGTTGCAAACTTGCGGAGGAGATGCCGCTTGGATCCCAGGCCGTAGAGACATATGCTGAAGCCCTGGGACAGCTCAAAGGCCCACTGGGGGAAGGACTCGGCGTGCAGCGCCTCGAGAGACTCGATGTTGTCGGCGTGGCGGTCCCGGTGCTCGCGCAGGACGGCAAAGTACTCGTCGTGCGAGAGCAGGTTGAGGGACGCCAGGGTGTTGTCCGACGTCTTGGGCTTGCCGGGCCGGTTGTGCAAGAAGTACAGCTCGTGAGGAGGCAGATCCCTCGGCGGCGTGGGCGACCTGGGTCTCTTTGGGCGGCTGCCCTTGGGGCGGCCCCGAGGCTTCTTCGAGGGCGTGGCGGCTTCTTCTTCTTCTTCTCCGCCTTGTACGGAGCCTGCCGCCGTTGTCTCGCCGTCCGTCTTGTCCTCGAGCTCGTCCTCGCCATCGTCGTCTTCGTCCCCGGCGTCGCTCGATTCGTAAATCTGCCTGGTGATGTCGTCGTCCTCGTCGCTGCCTCCGTCCCCGACGACGCGGTCAATCAGCGCTCGCGCGCTCTTCCTCCTCGCCGATCGGTCGGCGGCCCTGCCGGGCGTGAGGGCGGCATTGAAGGCTATGGCCTTTGTGGGAGTCGCCAAGACGGGGACGACGGCTGGTTTCGAGCGTTTCGAGTTGGGGGTGCTGGTGTTGGATTTGGGCTTTGGAGGGCGGCCGCGGCGTCGGGGCGTGGGTGTTGGCTCGGGCTCCGTGGCTGTTTCTTGGATGTCGACGTCCATTTTGTCGCCTAGCGATGGGATGTCGGGGGTTTCGTCTTCGTTGGAGTCCATTGGGGCCGAGGTTGGTCAAGTTGTCGATGGCGCTGAGGTGTGTTGTTGCAGCTGGGGATGGTTCGTTTTGTTATGGTTGGAGGGGCTGAGATGGTGCTGTCCGACAACAAGATGCGTAGCTGAGGAGAGACCTTGACCAGTCCAATTCGAACCTGCGACCTCGGACAAGAAGGATTGACGCTGTCGTCAAGTTCAGATTCGAGGCTGGATCACTTGATGCTCCCTGCAAAAGGCAGCACTCAACGCGGTACCTTGACGCGCTGGAGCTCAGGGCCCTGAAGCGCTAATTGAACCGGTGCTGTAGCGCCAATGCGACCCACTGCCCTGTGAGCTTTGATCCAACAGGGAATTGATCTCTTGGAGCTTGGACATTTGCGCCTCTTTTTCCTTCCGTCTCCGGACTTATATCTGGGTGTGATTCCGACAAGGACGGACAAAGATGAACTTCAATCTGTACGGATCGCTCAACTCGGCGAAACTGCTGTTCAAGCCCGGCTTGTGTCTGCCTCATCACATTGCGCCAACGTTCAACGACCTCCCCATCCCTCTCGATGCGGCCCTGCAAAGAGAAGGCCGGAGGGCCAACATCAGGGCCGTCGTTCTCGACAAGGACGACTGCTTTGCTTACCCCGACGCCAAAGAAGTGTATCCTGCGTACAAGGTATGGCTGCATCCCCCGCCCAATGGCGACTCTGCCGCGTCAGGGAAACTGACGGACACCCGCAGCAACACTTTGAGAAGCTGAAGCAGACGTACCCTGGGCGCAAGCTGTTGGTCGTCTCCAACACGGCTGGAGCCACCAGCTGGGATAGAGACCTCAAGCAGGCGGCAGAGGTGGAAAAGAACACGGGCGTCTTTGTTCTTCCTCACTCGGTCAAGAAGCCAGGCTGCGGCGACGAGATCATGGCGTACTTTAAAAAGTACCCCGAGACCGGGGTGACTGATCCATCGCACATCGCCGTCGTTGGCGATCGGTTGATGACGGACGTGATGCTTGCGAACATGATGGGCGCGTGGGCGTTTTGGATCAGAGACGGCGTGGTGCCGCTGAATCAGAAGAGCATCGTGAGTCGAGTGGGCGGAACTTTCATTCAAGGTGTTTTATTTTGCCCGTGATGCTGACACGATGCAGTTCTCCAGGATCGACCACTGCCTGGCGGGCTTCCTCCAGGCGCGAGGTGTGAGGCCACCTGAGCCTCGGGTCTCTGAAAAATATTGATTTAAGACCTCCGGTGCATCGGCTCCAAGTTGCCTGGTTATCAAAAGCATCCTGTGCCCGGTTCCGCATGGGCAATGGCTGTGAATCACAGACAAGATTTGGGAGTTGGCTGTAGCAAGGGGGCAATTCATCCGTTGTGCTCTCTGGCGATCGGCATGGACAATCGAATGGTTGCCCTGATGCACTGAATCACCGCATCGGCGAGTCTTGGCCTCGAGGCCTCGCTGTTATATATATTCCTTTGCCCTTTGCATCCGACTCTGCAACAAGCCTTGTCGATCGTGGACCGGGTGCTCTATTGACAGCTCTGCTACACCTTCTTCAACCGATAGCTTCTGGGCATCTTATACTTATACTTGGCTCCTCGGACCACATACACATCCGTCTTCACTGGACTGCGTCCCCTCTCACGAACATTCTACACGGCGCTTGCACACGATGGGTGGCAAAACGTGGTCCAAGCTGGAGGAGCGCTTCTTCTGGAAGACGATTGTCCCACAATCGCCAAAGGCTGTGAAACCGTCCGATCGAATCAACGACTGGAAGGTGTGCGCCGAAATCATGCAAAGAGAGATGGGGGTGAATGCGCGCCGCAAGTATTCGAAGCTTATGCTTTGTGCGTCCCAATGAAATCAAGGACATCCCGTTGAAACTTGCTACTAACCGATGCTCCCATCCTCAAGTCGAACACTATTTCCAAAACGTGCAGACGGGCCACAGATCGCCTTGTGCTCGCGAGTTTGTGGTGGAGCATAAGCGTGAGCTCGGTGAGTTCCGCAAGCGCCAGACGCTGGGGTCCATGGCTGAGGAGAGCCCGGAGCGTGCTCAGCGGCTGATGGTTCCTGGGATCGCAGAGAAAGCCTGTTAGGGTTGCTTGGCCTCGGGAGGGGAGGTGACTCTACTGCTCAGCTTTCTTGACATAGATCATACTGAGGAAATGGAATAACTGGAAACTGGGGTAGGATGGACACGAACTTGGTATCCAGTCGGACAGTGTCGGGTGGTAGGAAGAGAGTTTACAGAGGCACCTGTTCCACCTGCGCGAAGACATACAGAGCGAGAGGCTTTGTCAACCTTGCTCGCTGCTGGAAAGCATTGCATTTGCATCAACACCATACATCGAAATCAAAGCTACAAAATCTTTCATATCGAACGGCCAATGGACTGGAATTGAGATCACCTGTTGCTGAACACTTACACGCCCAAGGCCAGCCCCCCCGAAGACAACTCGTTCCCTTGCATTCTCAAGGCGCCAAAGACACAGCCAGCCACATACAGCCCTCTGCAATGATGATGATCAACACGGATGAACGTCTTGGGGCGCTTCAGCTGCTGCTGCAAAAAGAGCTTAAGCGAGAATTCTCAGCCTCAATGGTTTTCAGCTCAAAAGTGATCAGCGCTGATCTCGCCATGTAAATCCAGTACAGGTAGCCATAATACAACTACCTACTCAATCAAAGAATCCAAGGGCAGCAAACAAGCCCTTCCATGACCGAAGCGACTCCAGAACCGCAGACTTGTCAACATTCATGTTCATCATCACATTTTCAGCTTCCAGCATACTATCACCATCATCACCCCTGTTCCAGGAGGCGCAAACGTCTGCAGATAGTGTTCCAGGGGTCGCGAGATGGAAGCGGCTAGCCGGACGGGCCGCCCGTGTGGGGTGGACCGCCGTCCAGAGTTCTAGACGGTAGGCAGACTGGCAGACTATAAGCGGCACTTCGATCTCAGCTGGCCGGGCATCAATATTTAGCCCTGTGGCGGCGCTGGAAACGGGATGGGCCGGGCAATAGTTTCGAGGGCCGTGGTGATAGTTTGCAAAGCTGCATGGTGAGAGTACGCGATAGTATTGGATCATGGTTAGTATTAGGGAAAGCCAATGGGGAATCTTGCCTGTGTGTAACAGACAAAGGTCTGGAACTATAAAGAGCTGCGCTCCTCCAATTCTCGTGTAAGACTTCTGTATTCCTAGCCCTATCATCCCTGTTCAACCAACTACTATAACTCTCACTCTTCTAAACAACAATGGTCTACCTCCCCGCAACCCGGCACCTCAACGGCGTCCGCCTCCTCGCCCTCGACGGCGGCGGCGTGCGCGGCGTCGCCTCCCTCATCGTCCTCAAGGAGATCATGGCCCGCGTGCAGGCGCGCAAGGGCCTCAAGCACGAGTGCCGCCCGGCCGACTTCTTCGAGCTGGCGGCGGGCACCAGCACCGGCGGCATCATCGGCATCATGCTCTTCCGGCTGCGCATGACGGCCTCCGAGGCCATCGACCAGTACGACGCCATCGCCAAGGAGGTCTTCAGCCCGCGCCTCTGGGGGTGGGACATGTCTCGCTGGCTGCCCAACGGGATGGCTTCCGCCATCAACAACAGCAAGACGCTGGTGCAGAGCAGCCGGTTCGACGACAAGTCGCTCAAGAAGGCGATTGACCGGGTGGTGGAGAAGTATGGGCTGGACGAGGAGGATAGGCAGCTGAAGGGGGAGGCACCGCTGCTGCATCCCAACGCAGGCAGGATGTAAGTTTTTGTCTTTTCTTATCTCTCTTCGACTTTTTACCTTATCAAAACAATGGTAACTAATAAAAAACCCCCCGCATAGGTTCGTCTGCACGACGGCGCAAAACAGGGCCGAAACTGTGCTGCTGAGGACATACAAGAACAACACCATCCACGTCAAGTCCCAGGTCAACGACACCATGCGCGAGCACTCGGACAGGGTCACCATCAGCCTGGCCACGCGGGCGACGTCCGCCGCGCCCACCTTCTTCCCCGAGGTCAAGTGGCCCGAGGGCGTGCCGGACAAGAAGCAGCAGCTGACGTTTTGGGACGGCGGCCTGCTCAACAACAACCCCATCGACCAGCTGTGGTACGCGCGCTACGAGCTCGTGCAGCCCGACGAGCCGGCGCCGCCGGTGTCGTGCGTCATCAGCCTCGGCACGGGCTACACGACGCCCGGGTCGTCGCCGGCCGACTCGTGGTTCTCGCTCGTCGGCGTCGCGTCGTCCGTCATGGGCTTCGCGACCAACACCAACGCCAAGGGCAAGGACTTCTCGCGGCACATGACGGCGCTCAACAACAGGGCGGAGCACGCGCAGACGAGGTATGTCCGGCTGAACCCGCACTTGGGGAACAGCGAGATTGGGCTGGCGGACTATACCAAGATGGACGAGCTGAAGGCGCTGGCGAGGGCGTATGTGGAGGACGAGAAGAATCAGCTTTGGATCGACAAGGCGGTGGCTGCTGTCTGTGATGAGTGAGGGGCTGGGGTGAAGTTGAGACTGATGGTTTTGAAGCGATGAGATGAATGCATATGCGCTGGCATGAATTGGAGTTGTCTGTCTTGATGGGATTTGGATTGCTTAACAGAGTTTCTCAGGGTTGTGGATCATTGTTATAGGAAGGACACAGGCACTATTTCGGATTTATATGTTCCACACAATGCTACCACGTAGACTTCAAAGCATTTGATATGTAAGGCAATGATCGATTCTTCCCGTTCATAAAGTAGGCAGCCAATGTAAACACCAAGTCCATCTCCAAGTTCACACAACCCCCCCACCTCCGGCATCTTCCCGCCCCGCTCCGACCGGAGGCCCCACCGCGGGGGCCCTTCCGCCTGCCGCTCGCTCAGCCCGCCCCAAAAAAGGCGGTCAATTGCGGCAGAAATAATTCCTTCTTCGTTATCGGAAGCTAACGGCTCAAACAGCTCTCAATGTTCCCCCAATCCACTTCGATACATCTTGCAGTGACAAACCTACAACCCTCTCTTCATCCGCCCATTCTGGTGCAAGTTTTACCTCGCACCTCTCTATTCATTTCTCTCTTTTGTCAGTAAACATCATATAAAGCCGCCATCATGAGCATTCCGTCTCCTCTTGGCGGGGGCAGCGCTTCCCTTCCGCAGATGGGCAACCAAGACCCCAACGTCCGAGCTGTAAATCTTTCCTCCTTCTTCTTCTGCCCCTTTCCTTGTGCTTCGGCCGAACTCAAACTTACAAACATTTCTTCGTGTTTCTAGATTCAAGGCGCAATGGAATCGTGCTACGGCAAGTCCATCATGTCCGGCGTCATGGGCTTTGGCATGGGCGGTCTCTTTGGTCTCTTCATGGCCTCTGTACGTCTTTCTTCTTCTTCTTCTTCTTCTTCTCCCATCCCTCGGCTCTACATATATCTGAAAAAAAAAAAAAAAAAAAGTAACTAATAAGGGGATTCTCATTTGCGCAGATGTCCTACGACACCCCCTTCGGAAGCCCCCTCCAAGGCGCCAACGGCCAGCCCGCCATCACCTCCCTCCCCCTCCGCCAGCAGCTCAAGATCGGCTTCAAGGACATGGGCACGCGCTCCTGGAGCATGGCCAAGAACTTTGGCAAGGTCGGCGCCCTCTTCTCCGGCATCGAGTGCGGCATCGAGGGCCTGCGCGCCAAGAACGACCTCGTCAACGGCGTCGCCGCGGGCTGCCTGACGGGCGGCATCCTGGCCAAGAACGCGGGGCCCCAGGCCGTGGCGGGCGGGTGCGTTGCCTTTGCGGCGTTTAGCGCGGCGATTGATGCGTACATGAGGCAGCCGAGCGACGAGTAAAGATGGATGGGGGGTGGGGAGAAAGGCAATGTAGAGGGAGGAGTGTGTATGATGATGATATGAGGATTGCGGAACGCTGTGACTTTTTTATGATTTGGTATAATGGGTCGAGGAGTTCCGGTAGAAGTGTACATATAGAGCATCTGGGCTGGCGTTGGCGGAACTTTGTCTTTAGGTACGATATCTCTCCACTTTGGCGTGGCCCTTTTGGGGCACAGAGAAGGGAAAAAAAAGAAAGAGAAAGGGGGGGAGATGGCATGTGTATAACAATACCCTGGCTGCTATGAAGGCAGACTACATACCATCAGAAGCACTCTCAATGCCGTGAAATCGAGACTGGCATTTGTTCCCTAAGGGACGGAAAAACACGCGTGGCATCGCATCCTCATAAACCTGCCATTACTCTCATTACTATGTAGAACCCATACCCTTTTTCTGATATATCTTCTTGGTATAGCCATATCCTCGTCGTAGTCTAAACCCAGCAGAATCGCACTCCTCTTACGCCGCCTGGTAGACTTGGAACTTTCCCACTTCCCAGTAAGCATCCGTAAAGGACTGGGGTTGGTTTGCAACAATATCGGTGCAGTTGCTTGAACCTGCACGAAGATGACAAGAGTCAGCATCTCCATCAACATCTTGATAACCAAAAAGCGATCACTTGATAACCAAAAGACAGAGAGGAATCAAGGAAGGACAACTTACATCCGGAACTATCCCACACACCATACACCAAGTCGCCGCAGAGATCAATGTTGAGGATGATGGAGTTGTTCCTAAAGTGACTCCCGACATTGCAGTCCGTGCTCGGAAAGTCCGCCGCCGCCTCGCCCCAGGTGCTCGGATCGGGCTTCTGGCCGGTGATGTCGGCGGGGATGGAGCTCCGTGCAAACTGCCACACGCGGATGCCCGCGTCGCGCCACTCCATGGCCATGACGCCGCCGCCGTTGGCGTTGAAGGCCGAGCCAAAGGTGCTGCCGGGGCCCTGGACGCCGCAGCCGGCGTTGCCGTTCTTGGACGAGTCGCAGTTGTCCTGCAGCGCCTTGTCCGTCTGCTTGCGCTGGACGCCCATGGAGCAGCCCTTGGAGGTGTGGAGGGTCATCTGGTTGCCGTCGGCGGCCTTGTTGGTCGCCTCCATGACGTCGATCTCGCCGTTGTCGGGCCAGTTGGACGGGTCCGTCAGCCAGAGGGCCGGCCAGGTGCCGCAGCCGTAGGGCGTGTGGCGCACGTCGAAGATGAAGAGGCCGTCGTTGTACGTCTTCTTGGACTCGACGCGCACGGAGAAGCGGCCCGTGGAGGCGTCGGGGTTGCTGCCGGGGCCGACGGAGGTGTCGACTCTGAGGACGGCGGCATCTTGCGATGCAAAGGTGAGATTCTACCGCCGTGTTAACGACACTCGGGAGGAATAGAAAAGGCCCTCGGCCTCTCATCACATGTATGTATATGCAGTAGGTGAGATATATGAGAGAGATCACTTACCAGCTGTTGGGCTTGAGGCTGCGGAACGTAGTGGACAAACCCCTGGGCAGGGTCAAAGCCGGTGAAGTAGTTGAAGTTGTCAAAGAAGTCTTCTCCCTGGACTATTTCATTCGCAGTCAGCATGATGAAGCGATTTGAGGTAAACGGAATGGTTTTGTAGGTATGGACTCACATGTATCCTTGAGGGTATATGTAAGCTGTGAGTAGTCGGGATACGACTTCTTCTTCCCCTGCGTGACGCCAACAGCCACGCCAATGATGATGGCGATGATGACAACAGCAGCGATGCCAATCCATACTTTCTTGGACCAGTATCTCGGGTTCCACAGGGCAGGTGATGAGGATCCGGACTGGCGATAGCCTCGGTTGTCGAGGGGATATTCTTCATATCCGGGGGGCACCTCGCCCGGCTTTATGCTGCCTCGCTGCATTTCTTTCCCCTTGTCTCTTGTTCTGAAGTAACGGCCTGGTTTGCGCGGATGCAAAAAGGCACAGCGGATAGCACGCCGGAATGCAGCAGATATAATTACTCTCTCTGTGTCTCCTTCTCTCTCTCTCGATCTCTCTCTTCTCTGGAAGAAATCAGACGATTTGGAATAAAAAGGCGAACCAACAAGCGAGTTAGTGAATCGATGGATGGCAATCCCGGCCAATGAATGCAGCCTGGTTAATACCACCACCGGCGATAGCCTCTTTGGGAAGAGAAACAAAAGAGCAGCTCCTACTCGCGATAACGAGCGCAATATCCTTGGTGACAAACAAAAAGCTTGTCCACGGCAGATTAAGACGACAATGTCCGAAAAGAAAGAGAACGAGGTTGCGAATGTTTGAAAAGGAGAAGAAGAAGCGCCCTAGCAAAAGCTTGTCTGCTTTAAACAAACGGATACGAGAAATGTGTTGTTGACAGGTGAGAGAGAGAGAGGGAAGAGAGTGAGACGGAGGGTGGATCAACCTTGGGTTTTGGGTACAAACACGGATTGACCTCATACGAATACACGTATACAGACAAATACGGGCCTTTTTTTGTCTTTTCTCTCTCGCTCATCGCTTTCACGACCGTGTCTAGGTGCGAAGTAGATACCTCATATACAATGATTTTACTCTTATGCAAAGAAGCATCGGATACGGCGGCATCTCTCTATCAGTCCGAAAAGTCGGCCCCGGCTTTTGAAGGAATCCCGCTTCCCCGTCCATTGAAGTTCGACACATTCGCCTGATATTACTGGCAGCCCAGACCAATAGCGCCGTTCATTGTATATCCGTGGTGCGAAGCAGCGGCCGTGTTAACCTAGACCTGCCCCCGACAACGTCGAGGGAATACTAACCGAGAAAAGAAGACAATGCAGGAACCAGCAAATCCTTCAATAATACCGAAAACGGACTGAAAAAAAGCCCGGAGTGAGAACATAAAAAGTCGGGGAGCGATTAACGAAATCGGATCGACATAAGTTTTGTAACAATGACGCGCGTCAGTGAAACTGAAGTGGGAATCTGAGTGGCACCGGCAGCTTTTAGTACTTAGGTAGGCTATGATAGCACAACCGTAGATGATAATATCTGAAGAGTACAAAAAGGGAAGCTTCGCAACGAAATGTCTTGTGAATATCTTCGTGTAAATGGTTGTAGAGCTAGCCGCTACATCAAGGGTGAGACGGAAAAGGGGAAAAGGCGCAAGCTAATCAGGAACGGAGGGGCAGTGCAAAAAAAGTCAATGTCGATACGAAGCCAGTGAGCGAGAGTGACAGGGCGAGGGTGAGTGGATTCTGACGGGTTGGATGGTGTGGTGGGCTTTTGCTTTGCCTCTTGCATGTGATATCATTTCACGTGCTGGACATGTCGAGATACTACGACAGACTCCAAGAATATGATTGCGTCGGCATATCAGGGCAAATGTCCTCTTTGCATTTGAATATCCATGTCAAGGCTCTCCGTAACGAGCTCAAACCAAATCTAACCGTAGCCACAAGATACTGACCCCTCCAAACCCCAAGCGGCAATCAAAAACAAATTGCCTCTGATTCATTATAATAGACATGAGAATGCGTCTCAAAAGAGAATTGGTACATGTACGCTCTAATCGTCATCCTCCTCCACGCGAGCCTTCTTGGCCCTCCTCTCTTCGTCCTGCAGCCCGTACCCTCTCTTCGAAGATGAGTTCTGGTCCACCTCAGACAAAAATTTGTCCACATTGAACGGGTCGGCGGCATCCTTCTCAAACTGCACCGGCCCCTCTCGTGCCTATGAACAGACACCAGTTAGCAAGTGCTACAGATCGAATAACAGAAACGATGGGGGAAAAAAGACTGACCTCTGCTTCGCTGGCCCCCTTAAAGGTGCCCTTGCCCAGCGCCTCACCGAACCGGCTGGACTTTTGAATCTTGGCCATCTCCCGGTCACCCGCTTCCGCATCCTCGTCGTCCAGGTTTGCTCGCGGCCGGTAGATGCTGTTGATGGCATCTTGAGCCGCAAAAAGAGGCTTGTCGTAGGGGTTGTCCTCGTTGAACCCGCTGTCAAACCCGCTGGACTGGTTGAATAATCGTGAGTCGTACATGGTTTCCTTGGACTGCGAAGGCTTGGCTATGCCCAGAGCAATCTTCTCGGAAATGTCTCGATTTTGCTCCCGGGCCATGACCTGGATACGCCGCTCTGCGCCCATTCGCGTTTGTCGCAGTTTCCGCTCGTCTTCCTTCCGCTTCTCTCTTCGTGCCCTTTCTCGAGCCCGAATTTCTGAATCCTCGCTATCGGAACCTCCAGACTCTGAGCCACTGTAGCTGGACCGTGACGGGGATCGAGAGACTGACTCCCGCGAATCTCGAGAGTCTCTGGAGTCCCTTCTCCCCCGCCGACTGGCTGCGGCTCGGTCCTCCCGCGCCTTCTGGGCCAGGGCCCGTAAGTTCTCTTCCTTCTGCGCCTTTTCCTTCTCCGCCAGCCGCTGCTGCATCAGGGCTCTCTGCTGAACCTCGTCTCGGGCATGGCGCTCTGCCATTTTGATCGCCTCCGCAAACTGTGCGTGCTTGTCGTTGATTGTTATGTCCTGCAGGCCTCGTCCGTCTGCCGCCAAGCGCTTGTCCAGTGGCACCGTGAAACCCTTGGGGTTCTTCCAGTTTGACACGGGAGGCGGAATCCTCCACATCTCTTGGTCTTCGGCGGTGAGCTTTCGCGGCGGCGAGTGCATGACGGGCGGAGGTGGTGACGGAGGGCCACGGGGAATCTTCTTGTGTTTGAATTTCGGAGGCTCCATGGGATCTCGCTGCCGCTCGACAATCTTCATGATGCGGTCCTGCTTCTTCGAGTTGTCGCCCATCTGGTTTGCCGGCGTGTATCGCACAAAGGTCGGGTCCTTTCGCTGTCCGATGTTGAGGTTCTTTGGCTTCTGCGCCGCCACGGCTCCGCTGACGAGAGCTGCCAGCGCGTTCTTGGTCCTCTCCGTCGTCGCTTCGACCGACTCCTTGTCCGGACGCGACAGATCAATCTCTCCCGGCTCGCTGCCTCAGCGGAATCAGGTCCTTGAAGGATGTGTGGATGATGCGGCCCTCGCCGTGGCCCTGCCTCGCAATCGCGTCGTACTTGACCTTGCCCTCGGCGTCGACCTGAAGCGCCAGGGCATTACTCGTCTTGGCGCCCTTCTTACCCATGTCCAGAGGGTACTGGGCGATGGGGATCTCGGGAAACGCACCGCCGTCGCCAAAGTCCTCCTGCGAGCGAGGCCGCCATCCCGCTCGCTGGCCGTACGGCGGAGGACCGCTGCGCTTGAGCACGATTTGCGTCTCGTCCAGCTGGCCAGGCCCTACGATCCGGGGCCCGCGCTGCTGCGCCCGCGACGGCGCCTCTTCATCTTCTCCGGTGTATTTCGGCTTGGGCAGCGACGCCTGCAGTGATGCGGCCATGGACGTCATGTTGCCTGGCGTCGCGTGAGGGTGACGGTTGCAGATGCGGCGAGAGTTGCGATGGCCAACTTTGGGGTCGAGAAATTCCAGGTATGGCGGTGCAGGTGTGGCTTGGGCTGGCCGGGATGAGGCGCAAGATTGTGGCGCAAATCAAAGTCCCGGCTCCCAGTGGCTTGAACTTCTGAAGTTGTGTCATTTGCAGCTCTCTACTACAGAATCGAAATTGAACAATCAATGGATGCAATTAATGTATGTATTTTATCTCACTTGCTTGAAAGCATCTCCGGTTTCAATGTTTGGCCCTAGAGGCTCACCACCAGCTGTTGTCAAGCCAAAAGACGCCCGTCGCCATGACTTGCGGCCACGCTGGCCTACCCAAGGTATCTCTGCGCATTGGCGTGCATGTCCACGCCTCCATCCGTCCCATCCATCCCACCTCGTGATGAACAGGCGGTTGGCCAATTGCATAACCGCATGTCTTGAGTTGCAAAAACAGAGAAAAAGCAGCATTCGTTCAAACGTAGCCCTTGCGCGCACCCTGGAAGAAGAACCGTACAACAAACACCTGCAGCGCTCCCATGCAGACGATGAGAGCAATCTGGATCATGCTAAAGTTGACAATGCGCTTCTCCGTGCTCGCCACAGTGCTGAAGTTGCGGTTCTCTCGTGTTCTAAAGTACTTTTGGTTTCGCGAAATGGTGGACAGCTGGCCCGAGATCTTGTAGATGGATTCCTCCAGGATGGAAGTCTGTTCCGGTGACGAACCCTGCTTGGAGGGGAGCTGTGCGGTTCGAGACTCGTTTTCGACCTGGACGCATTGTGTGTTAGCCTGGGAACCTTGGTTGCAGACGTCTCTCCACCGTTTGCTTGTACTGACAGCAATCTCGAAATCGACGAATTTCTCGGAGAATGTGCTCATTTCGTTGTCGAAGCAGAACGAGTACTCGCCAACCTGCTGCGCGGTGAAGACAAAGTCGCCCTGTCGCTCCTTTTCGCCTTGCAGGATCACCTTTCCGCCCGGGCCCTCGACGATGTAGTCGACGTCGAACGAACCGCCCGATTGCACCTAATGCACGCTCAACGTCAGTACATGTGTGTGTAGCAAATACAGCATGATTGCTGCTACAGCGATGCGGCGCCACCAACAGCAAAGTAAAAGGCAATCTTCTCGTTCGGGTTCTTCGTGGCCGCGTAGAAGCAGGCCTTTTCGTTGGCGGTCAGCTTGTAGGTCAAGGCCGTGGCGGCAACATTGGAGGCCATCAAGGCCATCAGGCCAGCTAACAGCGTCGGCAGTCTCATCGTGTGGTTGTGCAGGTCGGCGTTGTCGAGGGCTTGATCAGGATCAGGGAGGCTTGTGAATGGGACACACTGGCCCGAGTCTTGGTGTTGAATTGAACCCACCAGCCACTTCCAGGTTGCTATGCATCAGCCACTCCCCATCCCACGCTGTTAGTAACAAGCAACAAGCCACATGTATCCGTACACGCGCCTTGTCTCGGTCTCGGCACGGAATTTCACGACCCCGCCCCCTGATCCCTCGAGTTCTGCCTTCTGCCATGCTGCATTGATGCCTATCGCGCTAAGAGCTCCAGCGTCGGATCGCCTGCAATCGGGGCAAGCGGCGTGTGGGATACCTTACCTTACAGTGGAACACCTCGAGATACGAGTACGTACCGCTCCAGCCACAGCTGAGACACCGCTATATCATTGGCGTGATCCCGCGCCCAGTTTGTTGTTATTCGTGTTATAGTGACGTCGATTATACATACATTCACGGGCTGCGAACCCTTTGCTTCTCTCTCCTCCATCTCCCTGACATCGCCATGCGGTGACGAGACTCATTTTCTAGCTTCAACATCCTTGAACACCGCGCATCTGATACGTTTTAACCCCGCTCTGGCTGTCGTTTACCGTGCCCTGCTCCTCCCAGCGACCCCTCGCCGTCTGACCTTGCGGGGGTGGAAGCTGGCATCTTGGGCAGCATGGCCATCCAAAGGAGTGTCGCAAATGCGTCCTCGGTCGCAATGAGGATAGGAGCCCTTCTGTTCTTCCGTGCTGTACGTGATGCTCTCCCTTTTTTCTCCGTGGGATGGGTGTGATATTGGATTCTGAGCTGACGCCACATGTAGTTTCCCGTAAGTAGCGCCGCCTGCTCGTCCGGAGACCGTGAAAGTGCGTAGGTAAGTAAAGATAACACACCTGGCTAACCGCATGATAGGCTCGGCTGCCGTCTATAATCTTTGCTCTGTTTGCCATATACATTCCTGCTTTCTTGACGAGTTTCTTTGCTCCGCCCGAGCTTGAAGTTGTGGATGATGAAGTCGACATCACGGTCAAGGAGACTGTAGTCACGCCGGATGACGAACCGGACCAGGAGCTGGTCGCGGATGAAGTCGACGTAAAGGAAACCATTTCCTTCTCCGAAAAGGATGTACCGGCGTGGAAAATCATCTTCTACGGTGCCCCGAGTTCAAAGCGACCCTTCAGCTCCTTGCTGAGCTTTCTCATTAACCTGGCATTCGTTGCCCTTACGGCCGATGCCTTGTACCGCGCCCGCTGGTACTATCCTGCCGAGGACCTGTCATTTGTGCGACTCGGCTATGTCTCTCACAACGAGGCCAACTTTCTCATCCGGGAGCCTGACCAGGCCAAGATGCCCGTCACTTTCCAGATCCGTCATTACAACGGCCTCATCTGGCAATCTGTCGGCAGCGTCAAGGCCACCACCAACGAAACGGACTTCACCAGCGTTCTCACCATTCCGCTCCTGAGCTATACTGAGCAGCAAAAGTATGAGTGGCGAACGTCCAACAATCACACGGGTGAGCTGACTGCGGCGCCCCAGCCTGGGAAGATGCCGACTCAGAACGGAGGCAAATACACCTTCTTGTCCACCTCGTGCATCCTGCCGCGTTTCCCTTACTCCCCCTTTGATCATCCGCTGGCCATCCCAGGACTGCGGAATCTTGCCAAGAGACTCCCTGAGCTGAGTGCGCAATTCATGCTCTTCCTGGGCGACTTCATCTACGTCGATGTTCCCGAGCGCTTTGGCCGGTCTGTCGACGAGTACCGCATGCAGTATCGTCAGGTATATGCCTCTCCGGATTGGGCTCCTGTTGGCCAGAACTTGAGCTGGATACACGTATTGGATGATCACGAGATTGCGAATGTAATTCACCCCCCTCACTAGGCGCCGATAATCTCTCATATCGTATCGACTAACGGATCACATAGGATTGGGATGCCAACACCACTGGGGTTTACGAGAACGCCGTCAACCCGTGGCACATCTACCAGGCTCAAATCAACCCTCCGCGTGCTGTGAGGGCTGGCACGGCGAGTGAGCGCCGACAGGGTGCCACATGGTTTGAGTTTGTGCAGGGCCCCGCGAGCTTCTTCATGCTCGACACTCGCAGCTACCGATCCAGCAACTCGCTGCCCTTCAATGCGACGGAGAAGACGATGCTCGGCCCCGATCAGCTGGCTGACTTCCTGGCCTGGCTTGCTCGACCCGAACCCAAGGGCGTCAGGTGGAAGTTCGTGGCGTCGTCCATTCCTTTCACCAAGAACTGGCCCGTGAACGTGAAGGACACTTGGGGCGGATTCTTGGTCGAGAGAAAGAAGATCCTTGAAGCCATGTGGGATGTCGCCGCCCGCGGTATCGGCGTCGTCATCTTGTCAGGAGACAGGCACGAGTTTGCCGCAACCAAGTTTCCACCCCCTCCGGAGTCCGACTGGCCCGAGGAGTCGACTGTCTACGAGTTTTCAACCAGTCCGCTCAATCAGTTTGCTTCCCCGATTCCTTCCTACAGCCAGGTAGACGACGAAGATGTCTTGATGCAGTAAGTTTGACCCTGCTCTGCACTCCTAGTATCATTGAACTGGCCTGACCGCATTTATAGATATCATCACTCCGGCATGTCCAAGTTTGGCTCGTTCACCATTGAAGAGGAAGACGGTGAAAGCAAGCTCCTTTACCGGCTCTTCATCAGCGGCGATGAAAAATGGAACACGACCATTACAGCTCCGCCCGTTCCTCCTGAGGAGGAGAAGAATGCTTCTTCAGGATCTTTTTGGGATAGGCTTAGGGGTTGGTAGGCCCCTTATGTAACAAAGTAAACACTTTGGAGTTTGTTTGGCGGGTATGAGCTTTTGGGTGTCGTCTTTGGTCGATGGAGAATTGGGATAAGTATCTACATCTGTTGGAGTCTGCTCGCAAGGAAAGGTCGTGCACGAACGGGTCGGTCGTTTTTTGTTGCTTGGGATGAAACAGGACCATGTCCAGGTATGCCGGAGGGTTTACATTATGCTAACCACTGTGAGATGAGGACATCGTTATTCTATCGAGTTTTTATATATATCTAAGCAAAGAGTCGGACGCTTGTCCCTCCAATTTGGACAGGTTCCTTGCTACCACGACTCTGACAACCATTCATGAACCTGTCAAAACAGGGATACTCTACCACATCGTCGCATCATGACCTTAATTTTTCGATACCACGTCCTGAAACCAATCGAAAACAACTTGGTTCTGAAGCACAGCCGCGCCAATGGAGCAGTGCTCCCCCGCCCCGTCCTCGGCCGAAAACAAATGATACGTCGCCAGCTCTCCAACCGCATCCGCAAGCGCCTTTGCCTGCCCAGGCAACAAATCGTCATTCTCCGCGTCAGCCACGAAGAACGGGACTCCGATATGGCGGACGGCATCGCCCAGCTTGAAGTCGAGGCACCTGGTCGCCCACTCGAAGGGCGACTTGGTGTTGAACGCCCACAGCCCCTGATCAACGGCCCAGCGCAGAGGGGTCGGCGCGTTGGGGCTTGACACGGCAGAGGCGACGCCCTGGTCAAAGGCCTCCTTGTTGCCGGCGTTGAAGAGGGCGAGCAGCTCTGGAGGAAATTTCTTGAGTACCGCTGCGCCAAAGTCGCTGACGCCGTCGATGGCCATGACGGCGGCGATGCGAGGCTCGAAGCGCGGCTCCATGGCGGCGGCGCGGGCGGCGAGGAAGCCGCCCAGGGAGTACCCCCAGAGGCCGATGGCGTCCAGCTGGACGTCGTCTCGTGCCAGGGCGTAGTCGATGACGACGGAGACGACGCGTTCCCAGTGGTGGGTGAAGCCGAGCCCTTGCTCGCGGCGGACGGTGGGCTGGCCCGGCCCTTCGTACGTGATGACGTTGATGCCCCGGGAGAGCGCTGCCTCGACGGCGACGTGGTACAGCTCCTCCTGCGAGCCGTCGTAGCCGTTGCACATGATGACGGTCGGATGCCGGCCGGGCCGTCCGCAGCCGTAGAAGACGATGGGGACGTGGAAGCCCTCGGCCCGCAGGTCGGCTCTCTGTCCCGGCACGGGCAGCAGCGCAATGGCCTTGTCGAAGGCGGCCCTGTGCTCGTCCCACGTCGTCTTGATGCGCTCGTCGTCCCAGTTGCCGTGGAGGAAGAACTCTGCCGAGCGGAGGTAGGTGGCCTCCCTGAAGTAGGCGTTCCTGGCGGAGACGGGGTGCCGGGCGGCATCGATGCCGGCGGCCTGTCTGCGCACGCGGAGGGCGAGGGCGCGGAAGGCAGCGTAGTAGCTCTCGAAGTCGCCGGGCTGGATGCTCGCTGCGGCGGTGAGGACTTCGCCTACGTCGGCGCCTTGGTAGGGCGCTATGGAGACGGCGCGGAGGATTTCGAAGTGGAAGCTTGGGTCGGGGCTTAGACGGAGCATGGGGGAGGGTTGGGGCCTGCTCTCTTCTTCTGCCATGTTGGATGATGTGGTATGAAGACGAATTTGTAAATTGACGAGAGGGAGTTTGATGAACAAGGTTGAGAGGTGTATAAATGGAATGTTAGTTGAACGTGAGTTTGGCCAATGTTCAAGAAGAAGCTTTGCTATGATACACTCGACGATCTGCTCAATGGGAAACTCGCCGAGGGCATCGAATGTTTTATATACAATTCTCACGTGTTTCCTGATGCCACTTCTTACACTCATCAAGCAAAAGATCCTAGAATACCGTAAGCCCGACCTGCCAATTTTCCGTCCCCTTCGCATTCGCCAAAGAACCCGAAGTCTCTTCAGCCCTATGCATCATCGACTTTGCCCCATTTTACGGGGCAAGTCTTATGATACCTCGGCAGTTTGAGAGGGCATTGGAACGCAATGATCTGTGTTTCTCGTCAATATGTAGTTTGTTATTCCGCCTGTCGGGTTATTGCTTCGGTTGAAGCCGGTGATGACGCTGATTTGGCAGAGCGAAAGCGAGCTTGACAGAATTGTCGTTGGTTTCGGGGTGGGGCCTAGGCCTAACTTGGAAGAACGAGAGCGAGAGCGAAATCCGACCCCTGGAGGCGCTGTTGCAATGCGAGAGCGAAGAGACAGATGCGAGTTTCTGGATATGGAGTGCATAATGTGATTGATAATGAAAGAAGGTGATTGACCAGCTTGAGGTACTGCGCAGAACTAAGTACGGATCCAAGTTGGTAAATCGTGGCATTTCCGGGTCACTTATATCTACCAGGGGGCGTACCATCTTTCGCCTGTCCACAACAACTCACACTTACAAAGAGCATACAAACATGGTTCAATATCCCTTCAATATCGAACGCATTGCTTTTTACGCCACATCTCATCACTTGCACGATGCTATCGGCAGAATGGTCCCCGTCTCAACCACCCGCACCGGCCACTCCACCATCCTCCGCCACTTGGCCGGCAAGTTGGCGGCAATGCCCTGCACCTCCATCTTGCCCACGTCACCAACCCACCAGAGCTTCTCAATGACGAGGATCGAGAAATAGTACGCCAGAATCACCATGGCCCTCGGCCGCACCTCCGAGGTCAGCTCCAGGAACTTCTTCTTCACCGCCATGGGAAAGATGACCATCCGTCGCCTCGCGTCGTCCACGTCGTACACTCCGTCCTTTGGGTGCAGCAACAGCAGGACGCCTCCGATGTAGCTGAGCGTCGTCTCGTACGCGTCCTGGATCTCCCTGTCCCAAGGCTCGGACGCCACGTCCTCGGCGTCCCGCTCGAGGATGAATTCCAGGCCCCGCCGGTGCGCCTCGCCGAACCTCGCCCGCGCATCGTAGATGATGGGCGAGCTCCTCATCATGCCTGACACGATGGACTCGGGGTGCGCCATGATGATGCCCCAGGCTTTGTTGAACAGCGCTTGCGTCGTCCCCGTGATCAAGATCCACTCGAGGGGGGGAGTGTATGGCTGGAGGCTTCGGAAGCGCAACGTTGCAAACGTGCAGATGCGCAGCATGTGCGATGTGAGGCATACGACTTCGAAGTTGGACTCGTTCAGCTCACTAACCTCCTTCTGATGCTCGTGGACGGCCATTGCTAGGTAGCGTCTATGGATGTCGAGCCCGTCAAAGGAGTCGTCGATTTTGCAGATGAGCGAGTGGATGGCTGCGAGGGCATAGATGGCATACAGCAAGGCCTCCGAGTCCAAGGCCATCTTGGGAACCTTGTTGGCGAAGACGCTGTACGTCTTTTCATCAATAGGCAACGACGGCCCCGTCTCGGTGAGATAGAGGTGCATCAGCCTCGTCTCCAGCAGCCGTCGCTGTTTCGTCTCGGAGGCGTCTTCGTCCAGCGGGTCCGCCGAAGATAGAGGAGAATGAGAATGCTTGCTTGAAGCGGTCTCGGAGGTCCTCGATCCGCCAGTCGGGGTCGCTTTCAACGACCCCGGGGAAGTAGTCTCCTCGTCCTTTTTCTTCTGCGGGAGACGGTCATAGATGCAGCGGGCTCTGTGGCGTTCGCAATGCTGGCAGATGGGCTTTGCCTCGTTACACTTTACCCGCCGTGTGCGACATCGCTGGCAGCCATACCGCGACTTCTTGTGGTTGAGCTTCGGTACCCGAAAGGGACCATCGGCCGGGTTGTTATCAAGCGAGTACTGTCCGAACATGTCTGATATGAAGATTGGCCGTTGTCTTCCTCAATAAGGGGGGAGGAGGTTTCGGTCTGAAGATGCTCCGGTGCGTTGCAGAGCAGCACCCAGCTTGTCCTTCACCTCTGCCGGGCGAATCAGAGCGTTCCAGCAACTTTACGACGAATCACTCGGCGAATCACTCAGCGACCTCGACCCCAATGTCCAACAGTCCATCAGTTGAGCGAATGGCGTGGCGATACCTGATGACGGCCGACTGCATCGGCGTTGCCCCGCAAAAGACCGAATCCGCACGGAGCTGTGAGGCGTACAAGTCGGGGCAGTGAGAATGAGACGCAGATGAGGAGAAGGAAGCAATACTTGGTAACTTCGCCAGAATTGAATGATTTCAGTCAGATCTGTGAAATGCGTAACTTTTGCCTATTAAATCCGCGTCTTCCTGAGGCAAGATATCATGCGATTCTGTAGGATTTGACAAGTTGTCAGATTATCGCGGCCTCAGCCAGAACTCCGAGTCGGTCTTCCCAAAGCAGAACTCACCCTGGAGGTACTTCGGTACTTCGCTACGTACCGGGGAGACCCGCCCGAGAGCTCTCCAGCGGGGCACTTTCACCGCCTTCCCCAATGCGCGCAACTGCAGAAGAAAAAAAATATGCTGGAGACGGCAGAATTCAGTCGCATCTTTTGACTTTTTCAGAAATCCTCCCAGCGGAGCGGCATCACCCAATCTTACCTTGTGCTTCCATCCATCACAAGCAGAAATTTCGACACAATGGGCGGAATGACAAATAAGAAGCGCCGCCACGACAACAAGTCACATCGCCCAAGCAAGAAGCAGCGAAAAGCGCAGGCCTACAACAGCGACTCAGAGCCGGAAGAGGAGCAGCAGCAGCAGCAGCAGCAGCAGGCGTTTGACCCCGTCAACCTGCTGGATTCCGACGACGACATTCACAATGCGCCCGCGGACGATGGCGCTGGTGCTGACGAGGATGCCTCCTCGAGCTCCGACGAAGAAGGGCCTGTAGAGACGAAGAAGAACAAGGCAGTCGCCAAGAAGTCAAAGTCAAAAAAGTCAGAGACGGAGCCGGAAGCTGCACAGCAGGAGGACGACGACGATGAAGAAGAAGAAGAAGAGGAGGAGGAGGAGGGTGGCGAGTCGGATGACGACGACGACGAGCTGGACCTCGGCGTAGACGCACCCAAGAAAAAGTCAAAACGAAACGACCCGACAGCGTTCGCGACATCGCTCTCCAAGATCCTATCCACCAAGCTTTCCGCCTCAAAACGCTCCGACCCCGTGCTGTCCCGAAGCGCCGCCGCGCACGAGGCCTCCAAGGCCGCCGTGGATATCGCGCTCGAGGCCAAGGCCCGCAGGAAGCTCAAGGAGCAGAAGAGGGTCGCGCTGGAAAAGGGCCGCGTCAAGGACGTCCTGGTGGCGTCGGTGGACGAGTCGGGCGAGCCGGAGATGACAACGGCGGAAATCCTGGCCATTGAGAAGACGCTGCGCAAGACGGCGCAGAGGGGTGTGATCCGCATGTTCAACGCCGTGCGGGCTGCCCAAGTGCAGGCGGCGGAGGCGGAGAAGGCGGCGAGGAAGGAGGGCATCATCGGTGCGAAGACGAGGGAGGAGAAGGTGAATGAGATGAGCAAGAAGGGTTTCTTGGACTTGATTGCTTCGGGAGGTGGCGGCCTGAAGAAGACACCGCTGGAAGAGGCGTAGGGTATCTGATTGCTGGGTTCTGGTTCTGGTTCTAGTTCTTGTGCTTGTCTTGTCTCCTTGTTTTACTTTTGTTTCCATATGTACCTATCTATCCGGGGAGCGAAGTTCGGCCTGTCTTCAGATCTACACATCACTAGGTATACAATATTTCATCCCAAAGATACCCCCCCCCCCCCCCCTGGGCAAAATGCTTGCGCCCAACCCCAAGGCTCGCCGACCCAAGTCCACCACTTCTATTCTGTCCAATGGTATAAATACAGGGGTGTCAATTTTTTCAGTTACCGGCATCTGACATACCGTGATCGCACATCAACGGCCTCCCTCAGAATCACTGGAAATCGCTCGCTTGCATATTTCTCGTCATCGAAGGCAGCCTCACGACCAGGCCGTCCAGTTCCTTGGTCATCTTCACCTGGCACCCCAGGCGGCTGGTCTCCGTCAGCCCAAAGGCGAGGTCCAGCATGTCGTTCTCGTCGTCTTCGGGCTCGGGCATCTTGTCGTAGTAGTCCTCACTCTCCACGATGACATGGCAAGTCGAGCATGCGCAAGAGCCCCCACAGGCGCCCTCCATCTCCAGGTCGTTGGCCTGCGCAATGTCGAGCAGGTTGTCGCCGGCCGACACGGCGAATTTATGCTCTTCGCCCTCCTTGTCGATGAATGTGACCCAGAGTCTGTACGTTTGATGTTAGCCGCCCTTTTCTAACTTTTGCAGCTGTGGGTTTGTCTTTTTTTTTGGCTGCTCACTCTTCACCGGGCTTTGGCGGGGTGACATGGCCATGCCGCCTCTGGGGGGTTGTAGAGAATGCGCGACGGCTCAGAGACAATGGAACAGATGGAAAAGCTCTTGATGAAGGCGCGTATATCCTTGAAGCGTTCGGCGAGGCATTCAGTCGTCTGTTCGGCGCAATCGTGGAGAGGCTTCGACGGCATCCGGCTTGCGACAGCTTCGCCAGGCCTCGTGAGAGCGTCCTTGAGGCCGACATGTGGAGCGCTTGACCGGGAATCGGCGGCAGGAAAAAGAAAATATTTCGAGTCAAGTGAGACGAAACTCGAGACTGCTGTCGTCGCGATATGGGATTGACCTGGGCTGAACTATCGCCAGTGCCCAGAGACAAGGCCTCGGCAAGTTGGGAATGACTGGGAAGATGGCAGAAAGAGCAAAGCCGGACTCGCTCGTTAATAAACCGCCTCCGGTTTGCTGGAACGCTCGCAACTCCGAAGCTGCAAGTTTGCGGGCGTGAATTGGCCGCCCCGGCCGCGATAAGGATGCTTATCGGCTGCACAATGCATCTACCGGGGGAGGCACCGCAGCAAGCAGTATGTACCTTGCCTTTGTACCTCAGCTCCCACTGCACCCACCTGAGCTTTGCCAATGACTGCATTTTTATCTCGAGTACCACCGCAGGAGCCCAACTTGGGTTGAAAGACAAAAGCGCGAAGAGGCAGAGATCCGGCATCTCTCTCCTCTAACCCCCCCAATCAACCATGTCCTACACAAAGGAACACGCCGTCAACCCCCTGCGGCCGTACCACCGGCCTCCCACCATCGAGGAGCGGGCGGAGCCGGTATCGATCCCGAGCTCGAATCCCTTCTCTGGCGGCAACAGCTACGATGTGGCGAGCGGTGCAAAGTACGCCTCCAAGGCCAAGAACATGCTCAACGACCTCGACTACAAGGAGCTCATGTCCGATTCGCCGTCGGTCGTGGGGAGCGCCCGAGAGCTCGTCGACGAGCTGATATGGAAGTACATGTCCGTCCTGCTCGGGCAGCCTTTCGAGGTTGCAAAGATGATCCTGCAGGTCCGGGATCAGGATGAAAAGGCGGCCCTCACGGTGGCTGCAGAGCCAGAAACTCCTGCTGCTGCTCCTCAGGTACCAAGCCGAGCTGGTTCGGCATTCGAAGTAAGCAACTGCCTAGCGAATCGCTGCACCAGTTTTTCTTCTTCCTTCAGCGCTAATCGAGCATCATCACAGGGAGAGGATTCCGAAGGCGATGAGCCGGCATATTTCACAACAAACGACCCCGCCATACCGAATCCCTGGAATCCGAACCAGCCTCAGGCCGAGAGGCGACCCAGCAGTCGACGGGCATCATCTCCTCTTCAGTCTCCAACGACGCCCAAGAAGGCGCCCGCTGTCCCCGAGCACTTCTTGAATCTTCGTCGCCCCGATGCTGTTCTTGACGTCATCGGGCAGCTATGGCAGAGAGACGGCGCATGGGGAGTGTGGAAGGGTGCAAACGCAACCTTTCTATACACCGTCTTGCAGTCGCTCTTGGAGAACTGGTCAAGAAGCTTCCTGAGTGCTGTCTTCAATGTGCCCGACCTGGGGGTCAGGGACAACATCGACCGTCTGGTTGATATTGCGTCCCCGTATCCTTGGGCTTCCCTCCTTGTGGCTGCCGCCGCCGCCGTCACAACTAGCCTCGCGCTGGCACCTCTCGATCTCGTCCGCACGAGGTACGTAGTACAGCTTGCATGGACTACCGACTTTCACAGGCTGACATGACAACAGGTTGATCCTCACCAACCCCTTCAAGGGACAGCGAAGGACCATTGCAAGCCTTCGAGCCCTGCCATCCTACTACTGCCCCTCCACCATTGTCGTCCCTACCATTCTACACTCCCTCGTCAACCCCATCTTCACCCTCTCTACCCCCCTGGCGCTGAAGACCAAGTTTATGCTCACAAGCGAAGTTGCGCCCATGACTTTCTCTGCTGCCAAATTCTTTGCCTCGTCAGTAGGGATTCTCATCAAGCTGCCCCTGGAGACCGTCCTCCGCCGAGGCCAACTCGCTGTGCTCTCCGAACCCGAGTACCTGGAAGCTCTCAATGACGACGAACCAGCACTGGAGACCATCGTGCCTATTGGCAAGTACTATGGTACTTTCGGAACCATGTACCACATTGTTACCGAGGAGGGTGCTCGAGAGATTCCACCCAAGCCCGTATTAAGTAAGCGCGGCAAAGTCAAGACCAAGAATCTTCAGCCTACATACAAGAAGGGCCAGGGTGTGGAAGGTCTCTGGAGAGGATGGCGAATCGGCTGGTGGGGCTTGGTCGGCCTTTGGATGGCCAACATGGTTGGGCACGGAGGAGATGGCGAGTTCTAGACGACCAAGCGAAAACAGGAGGAGCCGAAATGGCATGTATACCAGTGAAGACAAGGGGGGGAAATGGAAAAGGAGGAGAGGAATGGAGAGATACCAGAACACCATCTCCCGATGACGACAGGACAAGGAAGAAGAAGAAGAAGAAAATCTCCGCTTCAACGACTTTTATGATGGAACGACAACATCATGATTATACCTTCATTCATACGCATACACGACTGGCTGCGAACACCATCCGTTCTTTCTTTCTTTTAGAAAGCAGAGCATTTAGTACTCCTTGGTTGCCTGATTTAGGATGTTTGCTCTGCCACTGTTATAGCGTTGAATGGATGCAATGACAATGGCAAATAGTAACATGACGATCTGACATTCAACTCCAAATATGGTCACTTCTGTAGCATAACTGGGCCAATTGAAGATTTCCAGACCCGATGGTCTATTCATCACACATCGATGCTGTCAAGGAGGCTCAACTAATAAGAACAATTCAGCCCGCAGATGCTGTATTCAGCGCTCAGTAACCCAGCCCATCATGCTCAATCGTCTAGACACTTCAAGAATAGACCAAGTAGGATTATTCGCAATATTGCAAACGATATTTCCGTCGATGAATGCAGCTACTGGTGTCGCTCTGAAGCCCGAAGTACATAAACCGACATACGGTTGCCGTCACGTGAGCAGGCGTTCACCTGATGATCCTCCCACCTTCCGTCTGCCCTTCAACTTCTGCACTTCCCCATCGACAAACAGAGGCATAGCCAGTCCAGCCCTCGGAATGCGACCAGGAGGCCTGAGTCTGACCGTTCAATTTCAAATCACTCTTCGATTTTGACGACATGTCTTGATTTCGAGCAAAAAGGGCCATTCGACACCGCTGCAACACGAGCGGGCGCGCGTGCCGCACCCACGCAACAACGCGCAAGGGCACAGAGTGCACAAGGAAATGGCAACGTCCGCGGAGCCTTCGAAGATGGCGGACCGACCGATTGCCGCCGGCGACCCCGTCGTGCGGAAATTCAAGGCTTCTGAGCTGCCTTTGCCGTCGGCCACTCGAGCGGCGATCGAGTCCCTGGCGCATAGCTTCAAGAAAGAAGGGGCATACGACTCCATAAGGAAACAGGTTTGGGACAAGTTTGCAGCCAGTGTACGTAAAGTCAATCGATTCCAAGCATGCCCTCGACCTGGCATCGCTAACATTGTCTTTTCTAAACTTCTAGGACTACGAGGCCCAAGTTACAAAGGCCATCCTCGAGGTAGCAGAGCAAGAAGTCGAGCGCAATCCTCATCAGCTCCTCACGCTGGACCCCAGAAAGGCCGCGGCTCTGATTGATGGCGCGCTGGAACGGTCGGGGGTGTACGACAAGGCCAAGGACGTGATTGGGGAGCTGATTGACGTCGCCGCCATCGAACGAAGCATCAGGGAGACCAGGCGAGCCGAAATCGGCGCGGAACTCGCCGCCGAGGAGCAGAAGCGCGGCGCCAAGACGGACGAAGAGTACGCTGCCGACACTGCCGCCAAGCAAGCCGAGCGTGAGAGGGTGCGGGAGGAGCTGAGGCAGAAGGAGGCGGCTATTGAAGAGGAGAAGAAGCGCATCGCCAGAGAAGAGCGCCGGCGGGAAGAAAAGGAGCGGGAGAAGGCCGAGCTCAAGCGTCAGGAAGAAAGGGATGAGCGCCGCAGAAAGCGCGAGCAAGAGCGCGAGGAAAGAGAGCGACAGCGCGATCTGGAGCGAGAGCAAAGGCACAAGGACCGAGAGAAGCGAGAGAAGGATCGCGGCGACGACGACCGGGATCGGGATCGCGATCGAGATCGAGACCGGGACCGAGACCGAGGCCGGGACAGGGACAGGGACAGGACTCGTGAACGAGACCGTGACCGTGATCGTGATCGCGATCGTGACGGAGACCGAGATCGCGACCGCGACCGCGACCGTGAGATTGGAAGTGCTCGCAAGGAAAAGGTGGCTCTGTCTGAAGAGTTGAAGGAGAAGTTGTCCAAGGAGGAACATGAGCGACTGGAACAAGAGGCTTTGGCCGACCTGCTGCGTGAAAGCAGCAAGGCGACCCGCATAAAGCTGGAGATGGACATTGACACCACATTGGCCCCTCCCCCGAGGAAGATTGGTCCGGCCTCGGCTATCAACCCAATTCGACGAGACTCTTCCAAGACTGCGGAGTCTAGAAAACCAGTCGAGAGGAGGGACTCGAAGTCATCCATCGACCCGAAGCCGGCAGGACTCAAAGAGGAACGCCGTTCCAGCAGAAGCGCATCACGAACTCACGACAGAGATCACGACAAGGATAAGGAAAGAGACAGGGACCGAAGTCGACTACGAGACACCGATGACCGGCGCCGCCGTGATCACCGTTCAGACTCGCCGAGGCGCGATCGTAGTCGATCCCGAATCAGAGACAGAAGGGATAGAAACCGTTCGAAGCTACGCAGAGACAGGAGTCGGTCCCGGCGCCGTAGGGATGACAGACGGGACCGAAGCCGCTCAAGGACCAGACGTGACCGATCGACTGCTAGAAGCACTTCGCGCCGGCGAATTCGAAGTCGGTCACGGCCGCGATCTGTCCGACGCGAGAGGAGCCGCTCACGAGTCAAGACTGACCGCCGGGACCGTAGTAGGGACCGCAGTCGAGACCGCCGAGAGCGTTCGCGGTCTCACGGGCGGGCCGATCGACGAGACAGAAGCCGGTCCCGCGCTCGACGGCAACGCAGCCGATCAAGGGACAGCCGCCGCGGCGGCGCAGATTCCTACTATCCTCCTCGGTCGGACGCACGCTCCCCCCGTCGCCGCAGCCGTGATCGATCCGGCGACAGAGACAAGGATCGCAAAGACCGTGACCGGGATAGGGAAAGAGAACGCACGAGCGACCGACGCAGCCGCTCACGGTCCCGGCCCGGCTCATCGGCCCTGCCGCTCGCGGCGTCCAAAGACGAGCTGGAGGAGTGGAAGCTCGAGGAAGTCAAGAAGCGGGAGAAGGAGGCCAAGGCATACCTGGCGGCCCAGAAGGACGCCAGGGAGAAGGGCCTGCCGATCCCCGGCGTCGACGACAAGAAGACTAGCAGTAGTGGTGAGAGAACACTTGCGACGCGACAGAGCAGCATAAAGGGTGATGGACAAGCAGTAGTTGACAGATATGCCCCTGGAGGAGCCCGGGACGAGAGACTTAGGAGCCGATCGCGGAGCAACAGCCGCGACAGGACCCGATACCGCGAACGAGACAGGGACAGAGATCGCGACAGAGACCGAGAGCGTGAACGTGAGCGAGAGCGAGATCGGGACCGCCGAGCAGCAGCACCCCGCGATAGAGACCGCGACCGAGACCGAGACCGCGTTCGCCCTCGAAGAGACCACAGCCGGGACAGAGACCGCGACCGCGACGACGATCGAGACAGAGACCGAGACCGCGACCGAGACCGCCGCGCCAGACGAGACCGCAGTCTGTCCCCCCGCCGCGAGCGCCATCGCAGTCGGAGCCGCCGCCGGAGTCGAAGTCGATGAGGGAGGGGGTTTTTCAATGGGAGGAAATGGAGTAGCAGCATTTATTTGCCCTCTAATGTCTCGTTTTCCTTTTGATCTTACTTTGACCTTATGGGCGTGCGCACGCTTTTAGTATTTACTACAAGTTTAGAGGGTTACGGAATGGTAATGGTGATAACTGACTGCTTTGACGAACGATAAGAAAGATACCCTGAATGATGGAGGGCGAACAAGTTCGGTATGGAAAGGAAAACGAGGGAATATGCTTCAATGGGTCTCGGCAAGGACGCTTTCATAGGTTCAAAGACGTTGATGACTTGCCGCGCAACTCAGGTCATCTGGGTGAAATCCTTTCCAAGCAGGGTATCAATCATCATTTTCAAAATTCCCATTGTGAATTCTACGGGTTCACTGTATAGTATCTCCAAGCGTCCCTTGCAGCAATCACAGCGTAATGCATCTCGTATCGCATCTCTTCTTTGTTTTTTTCTTTTTCTTTTCTCTTTTTCCTTCTTGAATCTTTATAAACATGCATCATTCATTTCCGTGCCTGCCATGCCTGCCATGTCCGCTGTGCCACGAAGAAGCCAGCATCCGCCTCCCCCTTTCGCTCATGGTCAACTCGAGTACCACCATTAGGGCCACCAAGGAGGACAGGCCAACCACGACCACTCTCTTTGACCTCATTGCACCGTTCCCACCATTCATCGAAATGAACTCGTTGATCCAGGCAAGCGTTGCCGTACCCAAGCTGGCGAGTTGGTCATAACCGAGGGAGTAGTAGGTGAGTCCAGCAAGAGCGATGATGTAGCCCACAGTTTGGAGGAAGGTGATTTGAGTGGACCAGATGAGGACAGAGGTAATAACAAGCAAGATACTCTTGAAGATGCCAGTAAGAGTCATGACGAGGCCTGAGGTCCTTCCAATCTGAGTACAAAGTTAGCGTTTGACATGATTCTATACCAGAACGTCTCCCAAGCAAGAGGGGCAGGCCTACCAAGAATACGCTAGCAATGTTGAGAATAAAGGCAATGGAGGCGTTGAGAAACAGCATTCCAAATCCGGCATGGACGGCGTCGTCCCATTTGAACTTGGGCAACTCGCTAACGAGGGCGATGAGGAAATTCATAGCAGCACAAACAGGTGCATAGTAGTAGAGACTGACGAGGGGGTCCATGTTGAGGCCCTCGCCGCTGAGCATGACTTGAATCATGACCACGCGAACAGCTTCGAAGCAGGTGCCGCCAACCTGGAAGAAGAAGCCAATCCATGAAAACTGGATTTCGCCGAAACTGGAGATGGCAACACCAAGCACGATGACCAAGACGTTGATAAACTTGGACAAGCTCGGATCAGCAACGCCCCAGGCCCACGAGGCGAATAGCACAGCAACCGGTGACGCAGCCTTGAGCATCTGAATGAACGAGACGGAGAGGTAGAGGTAGACCACATTGGAGCAGATGAGAGAGCCGGAGTAGAGCAGGCCGATGGGGAGGATGGTGCGGAGGTAGAGCCGGCCAGTGACGGGAATGTTGCGGCGAGAATCGAGGAGCGTGGTTGTGCGAGCGAGGATCTGAGTTGCAATGGTGGCATAGATGAGATGCCAACATGTAAGTAAGATGGCTGTTCAAGGGTCAGTATATGACAATCGCGTTTAAGAAGGATGACTGATGTGGTCAGAAGCTGGGCTATGCAAGGCCAACTTACGGTATTCTAGAATCTATCGTTAGCTTCTCTCGTCCATAAAGTCCAGACTGCGTACTCAGTCCCTGGGGATCCATGACACTCACTAAATCCAGCAGTGTCTAGAAGCCACTTGTTGAAGATGATGGTTACATTCGAAAAGAACATCCAATTTCTGTATGAAAGTCAGCACTCCTGTTCCATACTATCCCGTTGCACTTGCCCCCGCTCGCTCAAGCAGGCAGTCGCACAAGAGGGTATCCTTACACGATATACGCCCAAACAGGCATCTGGACCTTGACGGAGGGCACGGCCTCCATCATGGGCAGTAAGCCGCGGTTTGCACTGGAGACGGTCATGGCCGGCTTTGCCGCTGGCACCTGTGAAGCTTCTGCGGCTTTTGAAGAAGTGACCGTTTCCTAGGCGCTGTCGCCCGGTGTCCGCCAAGCGAAAAAATCAGAGGGGATGAGAGCAGATATAACGATGTTCTGACTGTTGGCCCTTCTCTCGAGATCGACTGACCGCGCTGCGCAGCTTCCGGACCCTGCCGCCGCCAAGGGTCGCACGGCGCAAGAAGTGGTCAACCGTCGTGTACTCGTGTGAATCGAGATGCAAAAAAAAGCAGCAAGGATATTTGTCCGCGTCTCCAGTTCGAATCCCGTATGTGAGATGGCCAAAACAGCTGCGATTGCTATCGATTGGCCCTGTCGCTTGTTCGTCTCTTTCTCTGCTGCCGCTTCGTTCGTGCAGAGCTACCGGGGGTGTTGCGCTTTCGGTCAAGATCACCAGTGCCAAGACAAGGCGCGAGCTACCGCGGAAAATAGGCGGGCGAGCTGGATTCGATCATGCAGTGTGCTCGGCTGGACCAAAACGAGAAGAGTGAAATCAGTACGCAGCAAAAGGTGCAGAGAACGTCGAATCCAAATCCGCTGACAAAAGGACCAAAAACCGAAGACGACGATGGTTTTCCCGTGAAAAGAGCGCGACCAGACAGATGCAAAGGAAAGGAACGAAAAGGCAGCCGAGATCTGGGCTGGGCTGGCAAAATGGGCAGCTCGGCAGGCAGGTGCGAGGTGGAGGGGAATGGGAAAGAGCACTTACTTGTATGAACAGTCGATGGCATGGCAACATGGTAAGAGCGCCCCAACGGGCCAATCCAGACCAGCGGCAGGCCGGCAAAGTTAAAGCCACCGGCAAGCACTGCTACCTTGCGCCTGCCGTGCTTGCCACATGTGGTTGGCATGGAAGGAGCTCTCCGAGTCGCCAGAGTCTTATTTGGATGCCCCAGCTGGGGAATGGATGCGGTTTGGCAGGCGCAAAAGTGTCTCTGCTCTGCTCTTGCCGCAGCAGTTGGTGCTTGTACCTTATTACTCTCACCTGAACCTGGTACCTTATACGAAGTACCATTCGGCATAACGCGGGCTGCTGGAGGCGCAGAAGCTGTCAAAGCAGTACTTTGCGCTCTTGTTACTCACAAAAAAAGGTTTGTCCGGACTGGCGGTGGTAAGAACTGAATGCAAGGGATTGAAGGGATGAGATGGAAGGCAAGCAAGTGCCAGAGGTCGGATTAAAGTGCTCGTGGATATACGTCTAATGGCACTGCGCTGCATTGGGCTTATTACATACTATTGCATTCTGCCGGCATGAATGGTTAATACTGAAGCCAGATCATTCATCCGCCTCTGCTATATGGAATCGATATTGCAACATGTATTGAGGCACGTGTCTGGTGCATTTTGCCGACTCACTCTTTACCAACAGCCTGCGGACCATGAAGCACGGCCAAATGAAACAAGAAACAAAAGGCCGTGTCACTCACAGAGCGAGATTGTTTCGCATCCCACACATGCCCTGCGCTGCACGGTATCAGTACCCGCAACTTCGCAACTTGTCTACGTATCGTACGAAGCATTGCGGAACACGCCCGATACGGTGCTAGCGGAACCTCAGGCTGTTGCTCCAAGCCATATGTATCCACCGTTGAGCAGCCTTCCGCCTCGTATCAAAACCAAGCACATGTAGGGAGGGAGATGGGCAGCAGGCCGAGGATCATTAGGGGGAAAGCCGACATCCGCCAGGTTGCAGCAAAGGGCGAGAAAGTGGCCTAATCGGCTGCCATCTCGGATGTTCGTCTGGAGAGGTATCATTGATCTCTGTCGATCCATCACGTACATACAGCAACAAGGCAGTTGTCGTTCCCTCAGATACCAACTACATCCGTTCACCGTCCAAGGCCGGATGCGCGCCCGCTGGAAAGCCACCAAGATCTCGCCTCCCACTACCATCCGTCCCGCGCTGTCTCATCTAGTCTCGTTTAGCTCAAGAGAACAAGTAATCGCTAATGGATAGGTCGCTCTTCGTTCCCCCTACCGAGAGACACATCTCTTGGCCTCTCAGCATTCCTGCTCCAAGTAGGTCTTCACCGGAATAAAGGGGGGCCCTCCTTGTAGCCGTCCAATCGTCCCAGAGCCAAAAGCACCCCCCTGTGATGATGTTTCTCGACCATTTTAGGCTCCCCCCTTGCAGAACCCTTTGATAAGGCGCCGCTACTGTATTCCAGTGCAGGCGCAGCGAATAACGGAGCTTTTGCTCGCCCGCCAAGCTTTTCCGCCGACTCCAGCGGGCCTTTTGCAGGGGGGGGGAAGCATCCCATGCCACATGCACTTTTGAACATCTTTGTTACGGGATCAAGCGCCTGGACGGGGCGCCGATTGGGCCGAGATTTCCCAAGCCCTTGTCTAGCGTATTGCTTGTTTTTCTTTTTTCCCTTCTGGCCCTTCCTCTCTTGAGGCCTCTTCCAGCTTGGGGCATGTTAATGCGGCCGGCCAGCGGAAAGCTTCCATCGGATTTGCGTGTTTGGGAAACAAATCCAGACCGACGGATCGCGTCAGGAGCCCTGGCTGGAACACTGTGGACAATGGGCGTTGGAAATGGCGCTACTACGTGCAGCAAACAGAGGCAGTGGAGGTTTCTCATTGACAACTAAGGTACTAACGTTCTAACTGGTGGCACGAAGTCGTTTGGCGTAACGATGACGAGGGGTCTCAAGGCGAAACAAGCTGAATCCTTTTGCACGACCCATGAAATGATTACTTCATGACGGACGAGTGTAACCGAATTTCACATGCTGCTACTACCTGTACTACTGTACAAGTTCCTCGTGGCTGTGCTGCTCCATACGGGCGCGTGGCGTGTGTTCATGGGGCTGCTTTTCAGATGCCCACCAGCGGGCATCGCCGTCCCATGGGTCAACAAACATCCAACAGTCACCACCATTCAGTATCTCATTCATAAAGATGGTGGGTTTTGTTTGTAACTCTGCCTTGCTGTTATCTGTAACTCCGCGTCACTCTAAGTATTCATTCATTCTCACACCAGTTGAAAGGGAGGTGAGCATCCGCCCTCAACGTCCCAGCAAAACACTGGACCCCTAAGGTAACATTGTACACGCCTGAATCCAAACCCCATCATCAATGCTATCCTCAAAAACCCACACCCAACGCCATCGCTATGCATTTTAATGTTTAAGAGAAAGAAAGGGAAACGCAACACCCAAGTCATATCAACCATGTGCACCCCCCCCGACCAATGGAATATATTCATGTTGATAAGGATGTGTCTCCCGCCGCCGGAGTGTCTCCAGGGGCCGCCCCCGACTGCTCAGCCCCCGGAGCGGCCGCCGTCGATGGAGGAATCTCTCCTCGAGCGGTTCCTGGAGATGCCGTTGCTGCCGGGATAGTGGGGGCTCCATTCTCCGCTTTGACTTCATCCTGCTTCGTCGCGGCCTGTGAGGCGATGCTCGCAGGTGTTGTAGCCTCGTTTTCTTCCTCGCAATGTAATATCATGGAGGCGTCGACGCACTCGTAGAAGAGCATGAACACCCCGGGCGATAGACTCATGACAGTCTCTTCGTTGACTGGCGACACGTTATGATCGCTGAGCCTCCACCATGTCGAGTCTCTGTCAGTGTAGCTGGGCTTCTCATCCGTCGTCGTTGTCTCGTCCGCGCTTGGCTCTGCTGGCTTGTCGGCAGGGCGCTCGGGCGAGGCGACCGCCTTGCCGCCTGCGTGACCGACACTCGGCGATGTGAGCGGCGGATACTTGCGATAGCATATATAATGTCCGTTCTCGTGCCGTCCATAATGTGTCACAACCGCTCTCAGCTCGTAGATTGGCCCTGTCAGCCTCGATTCTCCCATATCCCCCGCAACCATGGACGACATGGGCTCCAGTGGCCAGCGCTCCTCCACGCCTTTCCCCTTCTTGACATCTGCAGTCTCCTTGCTCGAGGATTTGACTGGTCCTGCACTTCCCAGGCACCACGGACCCAGGTCTAGCGTCATTGGAAAGCTGACGGGCGCAGAATTCTTGATCATGTTAAAGGTTGACGGATCAAAGACGGATCGGTTCACGTGGATCGCCAGACTCTGAGGCGGCCGCGCGACTACAATCTGCTTCGTCTTCGTCACGTTGACTCGGCTTTGTGCTGCTATTTTGCAGCGATCTTTGATCGTCTCTTCGTCGAATTGGTCTTCCTCAAGAGCCAGTTGGACGGCTTCCAGCCTCCGCAGGGGCTCGGCCAGCTTATCGTCGGTCGCGCCCTCTGATCGCATTCTCTCCACAAGCTTAGTGAGGAGTCTCTGTGCTTTCAGCAGGGTGCATTTCGCGCACTCTACTCCCTCAATAGCCTCGAGCTTGCTGTATGCATCCAGTCGTTCGTACAGATCGTGGTGGTTCTTGTCGAGACCAAGGCTGAGAGTCAGACAGTTGAAAGGGATCATTGACAGCCCTTCTGAATGGCCGCATTGCACGCAGGCCACTCGCTGAGCCTGAAGACCCTCCAAGGGATTCCGTAGCATTCTTTTTGAGTCCGCTATAGAGCTTGATAGTTGGCTGTGATAGCCACTGTCGTCGCTGTGCTCACTGGTAGAGCCTTCATCCGTGTTGTTGACGTCGCCACCCTCCAATCCCGCGAGCTTCTCGGAAGCTAGCTTCTTAGCTGCCAACGCCGCTGCCTTTTCGACATCGTCCAGGACTTTGCTGTAGTACTCTTGGGCGTCTTGTTGCGTCCACGTGTTCATCGATTTGAGCACAGAAGGCGTCCAAAGCGTTTTCCCATTGTTCGAAACGTCGTTGAGATCTGCAATGAGTGCGCGCAGCGTATGAGCTACATTCCCATCGGCTCCATGACCTGCCTCTTCCAGGCCCTTGAGGCACGCGGAGAGGTAATCAGGCATCGACTGCAGAGAAGCCAGTCCCTGCAGGACGCTGTTCTGGTAGCACGAATTATCCCGATTCCCGAGTCCTGCCGGCCGGTCAGAGTCCGTCTTGAGGCCCAAGACGCTCCCCGTCATGGACAGCGCTCTTGTTCTGGCGCGAAGCACCGAGTTCATGACGCCATCTTGACGGTCCAGCCCCATGACCCTCCGCATCGCCTCGCTCTTCGCAGCATGATTGCTCTGATTCGTAGTATCGCGCATCGGCCGCGTCGTGGAGGAGTCCATCCAGTTGTCAAGGGCGAAAAGCAGCGGCGCAGGTGTGAGAAACACCAGGGCGTCCCATAGAAAGTTGCCGAGCAGCGAGAAGATGCCCTCAAGCGATCCGTCGGGGCTGTAGAACTTGGCTAGCAAAGTCACCGCAAGGGCGGCGACGGTGACGAGAACGGCGACGTCGTTGATGCGATTGACAGCAGTCTCTCGCCGCGCGTAGAATTGCCGACGGGCTGCGACCTGGTCGTCGTAAAACGTGTCGAACCCGCGCTGTCGCGAATTCATGCTGTAGGAGCGTTTCCTTTGCTCGCTATCCACGCTCTTTGAAACCCGCAAGAATTAGGCTATCGTGCAGCGGCGTCGCTTCGATGACGATGTTTCCATGACCAGCAGGGCGGCGCGCAACTTTCTGTCGATAACGAAGCGATTTGAACCGTGGCGATCGAAGGCACCTCGCTGAACGAGCCGCCAGGGTAAGCAGCAGAACGAGGAGGAGGAGAAGGAAAGATACGATAGAAGGAGAGCTCGTTTGCTAATATGAAGCACGAGGCACGACTTGGCTCAACGATCTCCCAACTTTTCTATGGAGGTGCTGGATGATGGACGTGGGCTTGCCAGCTGCAGATTACGGCAAGACCTGCAAATTCAATGGAATTCTTTTAGTGGTGCGCTCGTGCCAAATAGCGCCTGGCTCGTCGTCTTCACGTGGCAAACAGGCGCACGTTTGGAGGTGCATGAACCCATGCAGACATGGAGAGCTTAAGGTACTACAAGTCACTCGGCATATGGAAGGTCTCAATTTCTGCAGGGCCATTGACATCCAGTACATGATGAAAGTGATTCTAAAATTCGATCGTCGGAGAGCATCAGGTATGTAAACTGTGTACAGAAGAGTTACCTACCTGAGAGTCAAGAACTGCAGTGCTTGGAAAGCTTTACAAGCAAGCGGCTACCTAGTACCTTAGGAGAGCTTCACCTGGTGTATTACATAAGGCAGGGAGCTACAAGGAATCCCACCCAATCCATACCGCTGCGGAGGTATTACTGGTGGGACGAGTCTCGAGACACGCCCTCTTCATGGTTGATCCTCAAGCCTCAACTCTTTGTTGCACGTACTTGTAGTATAAGCCATGTCTTTCTTATCGAAAGGCCGAATACTGAGGTTGGTCGCAGTCATTATCCTTCTGAAACATTGCATTTCTCAACCACTTACTCTTCTGCTATACTCCAGCTCCAGCGTTGGCCGCCTCAGCGCAGCTCAGAGCACACAGGCATGGTGCCTCAACCTTCGGCAAACCTCGGCTGCCCTCCCACGGCCACGATCCTACGCGACAACGCTTGAGTCAAGCCCCAAGGGCCTCGTTCTCCAGAGCACCGATTCTGGATCGCCAGTGAAAGCCGAGTTGTAAGCATCTTTGTACTACCAGCTACCGCAATCTCCAAAATACTAACACGTGCTACAAGGTCCAAGATATGGCTCCGGTGCGTTGTGCTCACATGTCACAGATGACAGCATCGAGCATGAAATGTAACACTAACCGACGAACCCTTTTCTTGCAGCGACAACTGCTGTTGCGCTCAGTGCGTAAACCAGGATACCCTGCAGCGCAACTTTGACACCTTTGCGGTAACTATTGACCAAGCGTTCAATATCGTGATGCGGAGTGCTCATGTTCTCCTGTTTGCAGATACCCAAGGACATCTCACCTGCGGAAATCTCGCCCAAGTCTGACGGTGTCGACATACTATGTATTCACAGCTCCAGGCTGCGCTTGCTAGGAACCACTGTTGATATCTCTTAGGGTCGGACTCTCATAGGAGCCACTATACTTGGTCTTGGCTGAGTAGTAATCTCCAGCGCACCAAGCATAAGGACCTCTCAAATCAAGAGTGAGTTGGGATTATCAAGCTTCACGATTCATGTCCAGGCATCTGACGCTCTCCTCAGTGACAGAAGCTTATGGGGCGCAACCATATCTTCAGCTCCTCCAGAGGTCGACTTTGCTAGTGTCATGAACCGCTCCTCTTCTAAGGGAATGACCGAGCTGACCAGCAAGATTGTCTGTATATGCTGCATTCCCACGATGCAATGGTGGAAAACTCACCAGAAGCAGCGCCGATACGGTTTTTGTTTCGTCGTCAACTCCCCCAAGACGCCAGAAGATACCGAGAAGCTCCTAGAAAGCATTGGCCCCATTCGAAATACTCATTACGGGGGCTTTTACGACTTCATCCCCAATCTTGCCCTCGCTGATACGGCTTACACCAATCTGGCCCTCCCAGCACACACGGACACGACCTATTTTACGGAACCCGCGGGTCTACAAGCCTTCCACCTGTTGTCTCATACACCGCCCACGAACAAGCCCGCGTCAGAGGTGCTGGGCGGACAATCGCTGCTGGTAGACGGATTTCACGCTGCTGAGACGCTCAAGAGGGAGTCGCCAGAAGAATTTGAGATACTGCACAAGGTCAAGCTCCCGTGGCATGCGAGCGGCAACCAGGGCGTGGCGATTGCACCAGACATGGCATATCCTGTGATTGAGATCGATGGCGACAAGCTGCACAGGATCAGATGGAACAACGACGATCGCGGTGTTGTTCCCCTGGATGTCGACGTTGATGCGTGGTATGAAGCGGCGCGAAGATGGGATGAGATCCTGAGGCGTAAAGATCACGAATACTGGTTTCAGCTGGAGCCGGGGCGAGTACTGAGTAAGTGCATCGACCATCCTTGGGATGACTGACAGTCGAGTTGCGATGCTGATCCTGTCAGTCTTTGATAACTGGCGAGTGCTCCACGGGAGAAGCGCATTTGAGGGATTGCGGCGCATCTGCGGCGCCTATAGTAAGTCTCCTCTCACAAGTTCTGGCCACATTGTCTGTGTATATGTCTTGAGAAATGCCGTGGGAGTTGACTGACGACGGTATGGAATAGTTCCCCGCGATGACTTTATTTCGCGCTGGAAATTGACCAACTTTCCGCGTGAGGATGTGATTGCCTCTAATATGCAACTGCGGTAAAGATAAGGATGTTGGATACGTGTAGATGCATCGAATAATGGGCTCGAGTAGCTTTGCGCATATTCATGACATAGAAACAATGACCAAGTCTGAAACAAGAGGTGCTGGTCTATGCAGAGAGACGGGCAACCTCGGTGAATCTCAAGTTGTTGTACTGATTTTCGTAGGGCTAACGACGCCTGTCCAGACAATCAGGACCAAGTAATATCGATTGAGCAGATTCTCCTGCAACTCACCGAATAGATTATCCAATGATCCAGTTCTAGACTTCTCAAGCGTGAAGACGAAACATACCTCAACCAAAGCCTCCCCCACCCCCACACATGACGTGGGGATCTTCAAGGCTCAACTCCTCGACCGAGATAGTACGGAGTAGCCATAAACTACAAGTCCGTGTTCGCAAAAAAGAGGGCGGAAATACTAGATCCCCGCTAGGAAGCTTCTAGCTATAACAATCGGGCTGGTGCGGCCCAATAAGCGGCTCCTCCCAACGGCAAGTCCGTTGGTTGTTGTTGGTGCGGATAAAGAAGATGGGGTGGCTGCCGAGCTGGGGGATTGTTTGGCTGTTTAGGTCGTATGGAGGGGCCTGGAGATCGAATCTCGACTCAGGCACAGAGATAGGCTAAATGTAAGGCCAATAATCGAGCCACTGTCCCCTCCGCATTAAAGCCACTGTGGTTAACTCCTTTTAGTAACTCCTCACGGAAAAAAAAATCCAAGTGCCCGCTAGTCCTCCCGCTGCTCTTTACAAGGCCAAATACCTTCAACTTAACACCACGCCTTTCCCTTGCGCATTGCATTAATGGCCTTGGTATGTAAAACAACAGGCTTTTCAGTGCATTTTAGAGGCACTGGAGAAGTGCAAGCTGTTTTTTTAAGTGTTGCGCTGATGCAGAATCTTTGCCAAAAATTGCACATGAAATTGAAGGCATCTTGCCGATGTTATCCTGAGATAGACCTTTTTCTCCGGTGCGGGCTTACCTAAAGAGGCTTAACCACAGTGGCTTTAATGCGGAGGGGACAGTGGCGGGATTATTGGCCAAATGTAATACTAGCAGTTGATGAGCATCGGGACGATAATATAAGCAAGGCTGTTCTGGAATAGGTGCTGTGTAAGCCAATTAAGAGGCATCTTGCCAGGAGAACCTCAACTGGCAACTGAGATTTGGAAATTGACCTGGCTTGTGATCGATACGACATCTCTTCACATTGGCAGATACGGCGATAGGTTCCTAGCATTCTAACGTGGGGTGAGTGGCCCGTTGACAGCGCATCCCCACATGGGCTACTATAGGTAGCTGGAGCCTGGGAGGAGTGACGAAGTCAAGCATCGAGACCAGAGCAGAAATACCGAGTCGACATTGGAGCGCGTCCACACGGGCAGATAGACGTAAATGTCGCACCCGCGGAGAGGGTCCCGCCGTGGGAAGCCGTCGCCTCTCTCCGGCGGTGACATGCAATGCAAGTCAGTGAGGTGTTATAAAGGAGCGTCTTGCCCAGGCATCTCCCCGCAATCATGTTTTCTGGTGATGGTGTCACTTTGTCAAGCAGTTTTTCTTTGATACCCCAGTTACGCGTACCTTGAATTTGGCCGCCTTCGCTCTTATAAGGCGCCTTGATCTCCAGACCTGCGGTTTATACGCTCAGTTCGACACAACTCCAGCCAAGATGACGCAAATGAAGAACGGCGCCTTTCCGCACGACAACGCCGCCGTTCCCAACGTCGAGCGAGTGCTGCCCCTGTTCTCGCTCAAGGGCCGGACGGCCATCGTCTCGGGCGCAGGTGCCGGCATTGGGCTCGCCGTGGCCCAGGGTTTCGCAGAGGCCGGAGCCAATGTGGCCATCTGGTACAACAGCAACAAGCAGGCCGTGACCTCGGCCGAGAACATTGCCAAGACATACGGCGTCAAGTGTGCGTACAGGATTTGAAGTTGTCTTTTCCCTTCCTCCATCAAATGGGTGGTGTTTTGATTCGTCAAGTTGGGGGAGAGAGAGCGAGAGCCGTCGTTAACGTCTTCTACGGGGAACCAAACAAACAGGCAAGGCGTACCAGGTCAACGTGACTTCTGCCGAGGCCGTCGACAAGGCCATCACCGAGATCATCAAGGAGTTTGACGGCCGCCTCGACGTCTTCGTGGCCAACTCAGGCATCACATGGACCGAGGGCGCCTTCATCGACGGCTCCGTCGAGTCGGCGCGCAACGTCATGTCCGTCAACGTCGACGGCGTCATGTGGTGCGCCAAGAGCGCCGGCGCCCACTTCCGCCGCCAGAAGGAGGAGGGCACGACGATTGACGGCCGGCCGCTGGACAACTTCATCGCCGGCAGCTTCATCGCGACGGCGTCGATGAGCGGCAGCATCGTCAACGTGCCGCAGCTGCAGGCCGTGTACAACAGCTCCAAGGCGGCCGTGATTCACTTTTGTAAGTGGTGGATGATAGATACCTGATATAGCTTGGCTATGTGTGGATTTTTGCAGCAGAGACTGACAATCAAGTGTAGGCAAGAGTCTGGCGGTCGAGTGGACGGGCTTTGCCCGCGTCAACACCGTGTCCCCCGGATACATCATCACCGAAATCTCCAACTTTGTACCCCCGGAGACCAAGACGCTGTGGAAGGACAAGATTGTTATGGGGTAAGTTGCCACAGAAAGGCCCGTAACGAAATGTTTAGGCGGTTACTGACGTGTGTTATGTCTGTATAGCCGCGAGGGTCGTGTCGGCGAGCTCAAGGGCGCGTACCTTTACCTGGCGAGCGATGCGAGCTCTTACACGACCGGTCTGGATATGATTGTGGATGGCGGCTACAGCCTGCCATGAGGGGTTTCCGACCGAACAAATACACACAAAAGATGAATTTAAACCAGAAAAAAAAGAGGTATATCAAGGGATTGAAAGAGGATGGTGTTGCTATAGAGGACATGGATACAGTTACATGTAGATTTGCTGCGTAGCTACAATTTAGCGTTCTTAGAGATCAAGGCCAAATAAAGCACTAGGATTGATGTAAGTTTCAACTCCAGCGACCAACACCATACAGACTGCTCGACTAGGATATATTGCTGCCTGCCATGACTCCAACACACCGTGCGTCAAGTGGGTGGTTCAGATGCAATTGATGACGATGCTCCGAAACATCAAACAACAACCCGACAGACAACAATCACGTCCTCCTTCGAGGCTTACATCATCAAGCCCCCTCCCCCCAAACAAGCAGCAAGTCTCGAAATCTTCAGGGTCTGGCGGGCGGAATTGAAGGCGGGGCTCCAAGCGGGAAACAATCAAAGGGACCATCTGCTCCGTTTCCCGCTGTCCAATGCGAGAGACTCGTTCAATCCCTTGTCCAACCCTGACTGAAGAGGCTCGGAAAACGCATGGCAAAAGGAGGGGCAGCTTGGGTACCCGAGTTGTTGCAGCGCGATTCCAACCTGGAGGGACTTGATGTGAGCAGCTGTTTGTTTCGGTGTCACGGCTGTGAGGACATGATGGACGACGAGATGCACACAGAGGCGCTTGGCAGATCGACTGAAGAGGTTCGATTCTATCAGGGCCGAGGCTGGATACTTGTACCTAGGGTAGGACTTCAAAGTGGCGGGTGATGTCAATGAACATGAATCCATGTTGCGCCTCCCCGCCCCTTTATTTGCCTGCTGGGTGGCGCACTTTAGAGCTGGCTACCTTACCTTACGAAGAATCACCAAAAGTCCCTGATACTGCTGTTATGAATGATCAAGAAGCAATGCAAGACTTGTTGAATGCTTTGCATGTAGCCAAATAGTGCTTGTGCGCCTAACTAATAGGCAAGAGACATCATCTCGTATCAGAGCCGAGTTGTAACAGTAAAGCGATCTTTGACGCCGAGGTTGGGCAGCACGAGGCTTCAATGTACAAGACAAGACACCAACCTGTCCCGCCTGGCCTCTCCTTTGGCTGGTCCATAGCAGTACATGTACGAGCTTCTGGCAGCGGGCTCCAGGTGCTAAAGTTGGCACGACCTCCGTCCCCTAGCGGTGGATGTGGCCTAGCAGGTTAGCAGCCAAAGCCTCTTGCCCCATGGCCAGCTCCCCCAAACTTCTTCTCCTGTCAGCCTCCACCACTGCACCCAGGGATCTCGCCTCTGCCTCGCCAGCGCACCGATTCCTCGTCTCGACACCGCGACTCGGCTCTCCGTCACGTCCATCCTCTCTGCCTCCTGTTGCCCACGAGACTCGCCTCACCCCCAGCGTCTGAACCGCCGGCCGCAGGCCTGTTGCTTGTCGCCCCTCACCGCTACCCGCCACGCTGCCGCGGCTCCAGGGCCTCTTCGACCGCAGAACCTCCCGACGGCCTCCAGTCCTTGGTCCCTTAAAATTCAACAGCCCCCCAGACAAGAAACGACCGCGTCTCTCCTCCATTCCCTCGAGCCTCTAGTCTCCCAGCCAGCTCTTCAGCCCTCTAGTTGCCCGCCATGGACTCCGAAGGCGACCACACCGAGCAGGCGCCTCGACGGACCGCTCAGGTCGACAATGCCATCCGCGCAATTCAGGAGAAGAAGCCGCTGCCCGAGATCGACTTCACTATCCACATGATGGAAGATGGCAATCAGGTCAGCACGCTCGAGCGAGTGTGCAAAGGTACGTCTGGCTGCAAACTCCCCCCGTCATGTCTGCTCTGTCGGCGTCTTTCTTCCTCTCAGCTACCCCGCGGTTGTCGTCGATAAGGGGAGGCTGCTCGTCTGGATTCGCCGCCCACCCAAAGCACACACACACACACACAACGCTCAAGTATGGCTCCGCTGACGGCTCACGGCACCGCCCGTCTACAGATGTCCAGGCGCCGGCCATGTTCAAGCCCACGGACGAGCAGTTTTTCGAAGACGACAAGAAGGAAAAGCCCGACATCAACTTTCTCAAGCAGCACTTCTACCGCGAGGGCCGGCTTACCGAGGAGCAGGCGCTGTGGATCATTAAGAAGGGTACCGAGCTTCTGCGTGCCGAGCCCAACCTCCTCGAGATGGACGCGCCCATCACCGTCTGCGGCGATGTCCACGGCCAGTACTACGACCTGATGAAGCTGTTCGAGGTCGGCGGCGACCCTGCCGAGACGCGATACCTCTTCCTCGGCGACTATGTCGATCGAGGATACTTTAGCATCGAATGCGTCCTCTATCTGTGGTCCCTCAAGATCCACTACCCCAAGACGTTGTGGCTGCTGCGAGGCAACCACGAGTGTCGCCACCTGACTGACTACTTCACCTTCAAGCTGGAGTGCAAGCACAAGTATTCCGAGGCCGTGTACGAAGCCTGCATGGAGTCATTCTGCTGCCTTCCCCTGGCTGCCGTGATGAACAAGCAGTTCTTGTGTATCCACGGTGGTCTGAGTCCCGAGCTGCACACGCTCGACGACCTGAGAAGTGTAAGAGTTTCCGGTGCTGGAGGATCAAGGGGGGAGCGAGACCGTCCCGTTCAAGTAGCAGAGGCTAACACAACCATGTAGATTGATCGATTCAGGGAGCCGCCGACTCAGGGCCTCATGTGCGATATCCTATGGGCCGACCCGCTCGAAGACTTTGGTCAGGAGAAGTCGAGCGATTTCTTTTTGCACAACCACGTCCGTGGGTGTTCCTACTTTTTCTCATATCACGCCGCCTGTGCGTTCCTGGAAAAGAACAACCTGCTGTCGGTTATCCGTGCCCACGAAGCCCAGGACGCCGGTTACAGAATGTATCGCAAGACACGGACGACGGGCTTCCCCAGTGTCATGACCATCTTCTCGGCACCAAACTATCTCGACGTTTACAACAACAAGGCGGCCGTGCTCAAGTACGAAAACAATGTCATGAACATTCGACAGTTCAACTGCACGCCCCACCCTTACTGGCTGCCCAACTTCATGGACGTCTTTACCTGGTCGCTACCCTTTGTGGGCGAAAAGATTACCGACATGCTCATTGCCATTCTGAGCACCTGCTCGGAGGAAGAGCTCAAGGAAGAGACGCCGTCGTCACAATCCCCTGGACCCAGCTCGCCATCCCTCTCTGGTGCTCTGGAGGATCCCAACTCGATCGAGTTCAAGCGCAGGGCGATTAAGAACAAGATTCTGGCCATTGGCCGCATGTCGCGCGTCTTCCAGGTTCTGCGAGAGGAGTCGGAGCGCGTGACGGAGCTAAAGACTGTCTCGGGAGGAAGACTGCCCGCTGGCACCCTTATGCTCGGCGCCGAAGGTATCAAGAATGCCATTAGCTCATTCGAGGATGCCAGAAAAGTCGATTTGCAGAACGAGCATCTTCCCCCCACTCACGATGAAGTGGTTAAGCACCAAGAGGAAGAGAGGGCAATTGCCCTGCAGAAGGCGGCGGAAGAGGCGGATAATGACAAGAAGCTGCACCAGCTGTCCCGGAGACTCAGCACGTAAGTGGTACCAATCGGCACGGGGTCGTTGGATCTGTATGGTGACTGACAATGCTGGACTTTATAGGGACCGCAAGAGCCGAACATGAAAAACGCAATGGGATTTTTCCGCACAGTTTTGCAGCGACAATGGGATTTAGACAAATTTGGGATACGGACTGGCAATGCGAGCTCCCCTGTCAAGGAGCCGATGACTTGACGCTTTCATGTTACCCATATTATCGATCTCATCTTTCTTTCCTCTCCATCTTGAACGTTGTCTTATGAATCAAAGACTAGGCTTTGGCTAGAGCAAAAAGTGTCCGGGGGAGGGTTTGGTGACGGGAAGGTTGGGGTGTAGGATGGGTGAGGATAGTGGAAGCGATGACATTGCATTTTCAAGCTGTGATTTTGCTTGTTGTGTTGCTGTGTTTGTGTAGCAGAGGCGTGCGGCGCCAAAGGTTGTTGCACGGAGATGTCGACCATCCCATGCTGCGGTGATGCTTTCATATACTTGTATCTGTCTTCTTCCCATTGTTATAATCAGTTAGTAGTATACCAGGTATATGGATGGTACGGGTCCGCTGTCACGCGAGCGTCGACGATGGGGCCCTTTGATCGCTCTAAATTCATGCTTTTATTTTTGCTTGTTCTAATTTCTGACAAGGCATTGACGTTGCATTGCGGCTGAAAATTGGGATTGCGACCAAGACCCATTTGGGGGGGGGGTCAGCAACCCTCGTGTCAAATCTCGAGGCTGCGCCAGGAGGCGGATCCTTTGGAGTTCCCAGGATCGGGGACGAGCTGATAGTTTCCCCCCTTGTGACCCTTGGATCTAAGCGAGGCTTGGGGCTCTTGTGTTTGGCATGCAGAATGGTTTGGGAGGACAGACGTTTGGGGGTTGTGGTTGTAATTGTTAGTTGGATTCTGTAGGAGGACGAAGAGGGATGAAAGGGGTCTTGAGATCAGAGAGCTGAAGACTACCTAGTGATAGTCGCTAATGGTCATTTTGACGAAAGACTGGCTATGACAAGTTGCAACTGGGTAACGAGTTTAGGCAACAAGCATGTGACTGGACAAGGCACAGAAAGACGGAATACTATAAATTAAGGTAAAATTGAATTGCATCTTGTGTGGTTGTCAACTCTGTTTCGTCCCGTCCCGCCCTCTTGGTCCCGGCTTTTGGTTAAGGGTAAGGTACATATGTAGTCTAATGCCCCCGGGCGATATTTGCCCCGTCTTACGGCCCCTCAGGTTCGTCCCAGGAGGGCAACGTCTGCGACAACGACGCGATGGAACTGCAGGGCCCGTTTTCGGCAAAGTCAGAGGAGAGAAGGGATGTACAGACAGAAGGATTCGTGGTGAAGCTGGTGAATCCTAGCTGGTCGTAAAGGGAGGTACTATTACGACGAGTGTAAGTATGTTACCTACTAGTATGTAAGAGCAGTAATAAGAAGTCAAAGAGTCGTCCATAGGGCGTGGAGACGAGGCGGTCCTAGAGCTGGGAGCTGGCCACTTGGACCTATCATGACTTTAGCTTCACTTGTAATTTCCACCCCTTCGACTCAGTTTCCTTTGGGGAAATGATGTGCAGCACGATGTCCTGAGCTAAACTAAGACATGCATGGGGAAAATGCAATTCGAGCGTTGAAGAGAATCCTGAGCGGAGTCTGGCCGAGGAATAGCGATGAGGCGGCTGAGGATTGTCGATGTGCTTGGCCTGGGCTGGTATAAACTGAGGACGAGGACCCTGTTCTTCATGACTAGTCGAATGGGCTTTTTGCTGTCCAAGGTTGATGATTTAGCTTGGCCCCGTCCATTTGACGAAGTTTCGTCTCCTCCTCCTTTCTAGTTTTGATTCGTTACTTGATACACTAAGTATATCTATCCATCTTCACTATATTTCTTGCCATGGAACCAGCCAAAGATGGCCTGGTCGAGCGGCAGCATAAAGGCCAAGACGAAGCCGCGTCGAAACAGTCACCGCCAGAAGACGAACGCCAGCTGATCTCTCATCCTCTCCCCCCTGCTGCTGCTGCTACCACTACTTCTCCTCCTCCTCCTCCTCCGCCTCCCATCGAGCGAGCCGCCAGCCCGTCGTCGACGATCAGTTCGGGCTACGGGCCTACCATGGGCATGTATCCGGCCCACGACGAGGGCCTCCCCGAAGTGGTGATGCCGGACGAGACGCCCCAAGCGCTGTCCCGCCTCGAGGCCGAGTACAAGCGCAAGTATCTCGAGGGCGACGCCGCGCCGCAGACGGTGATTCCAAAGGACGTGGACACGACCAAGATTGCCGTGGCGGGGGGCAGTCCGATGTACGAGGTGGCGCCGTCTGACGGGACGAGAGAGGACGTTGAAGGGGCGGGGACGACGACGGGGATGGGTGCCGAGAAGAGAATCTTTGGGTTGAGGAAGAGGACGTTTTGGATTCTGGGTGGGATTTTGCTTGCGTTGGTGGTGGCTGCGGCGGTGGGGGGTGGCGTAGGGGGAGGGCTGGCCTCGAGGAAGGATAAAGGGGGGGCGTCGCCTGTAGACGAAGCTTCGACGACGAGCAGGTAAGGCTTCACGAGACAACGAACGACACCAACGACGGAGAAAATAAGAGAAAACAAAAGAAAATTGTAATGACTGACCTGTTTTCCAGCGGCAGCGCACCAACATCAACCTCTCCATCACCAAGCTCGACGACCAGCAGCACCTCAACATCATCAACATCATCATCAACGACCACCTCGTCTTCTTCCCCCACGCCAACGTTCCTCAACAACCAGACCACCTCGGGCAACACCTTCGCCTTCCAGGCCTTCGCCTCCGACAAGTTCCTCGGCAACGCCACGGCCGTCATCGACGACGAGGGCGCCACCGACCTCGGCTTCGAGGCGCACAGCTACGTGTGGCTGCCGGCGCTGACGGACTGCTGCATCACCTTTTGCACAAACGCCACCAGCAGGGGCATGGTCGGGTGGTTGTGCAGCCAGCGGAAGCAGCCCGAGTCGTCGGATCCGTTCAAGCGGGTGTATGTGTGGTGTCATCAGAAGCATGAGAAGCCGAATGCCATTTGCATAGGTGAGTTTCTGGGTAACAAACGATGAATAGGATGTGGACGGTTTTGGGTATTGACTTGGTTGTGTGTTAGATCCAAAGACTTGAGGGAGTTGCTGATAGGGGTTCCCCCCCTTTTTTTTTTCTTTGCGCTCTTGGGTTTTGGGTTTTCTTTGGTGGTGTAGCGATTTGCTTGTTTACGGCCAGGATTGACTGGCCATTCCCTGTTGATCGATCGAGGGGACATAATATGGCGAGTGCGCTTGTTAGGCTTGTATACCTCTCTGCTATAAAATTACCACATTCTTCTCGCTTCAAGATAAAGGGTTAGTATCCGCCTACCCGGTATGTAGCCAAAGGTGAGGCTCTGCCGCTTAAACAAGATCCGCTGAGCTGTTCTGGCACCATTATTCGATCTTCCCTAATAATGCGCGGTATGTCTCTGAGGACGTGAGATTGTTTTATCTTTCTTCGCAAGCAAAGTTGCCGATGCCGACCTGCTCTCTCTTACTGACTAATACCTGGTCCAGCAGATCTCAAACTTCCTTTTTCTTTTCTTATAGAGACATAGGCGAACAGGGGATTTCCTTGTCGTTTTACTGCTCGTGGATCGGCTTGTATTCAGAGGATTCCAAGTTGAGATCTCGGCCGCACACATTAATGGAAGGGGAGACAGTAAAGCAACATAGGGTTCTTTAGGAATGTATGATAGTGCCTGGAGAGAAGTATGAAGATCCAGCCTCTTCCTCATCTAGATCTGACCTTTGTCTTTTCCCATTCTTCTCTCCATTTAACATTTCAAATCGCATTATACAAATGAGTATCAGCAATGGAGTCCATTATCATCTTCTCCTTCTTGTCTCTCTAGATCGGGCCTGTCTTTGCCCAAGGAGGCGGACCTCCAATCATGAACCTCTCTGGATCTGAACTTAGGGCATGTCGCTTGCTGGCTTTGAGGCTTCTTTTCCGAGTCCCCGGCACGCAAAAATTGTCTCAGGAGGCCTGTTGAAAGAACAGTGCCTCTGGGGAGTTCCAACGCCGCGAGGAGCCAACCCTCATGCCAATAAGGGTATTACAAGCCCGACCCAACCGACTATCCCTGGCACAAGGGATGTCTTCAGCGTACATTCAGTTTAACAGCATCCCGTTTACCGAGTCTCCAACCATCAAGAACCGACTCAGCAAGCGATCGCTCGCCTCGTTCGAGGCCTCCATTGGCATTCCGTTCGCTGATTACCCAGCCAGAAAGTCCGCCTCAGAAAGAGATATATCCTCGATAGCTCCGCCCTTTTTCTTGTTTCACTCATATGCTCGATCCGCTCCATCTCGCTCAAGAGGTCGTATGTCCGCCGAATTGCGAAGCTCGCGGTCTCCGGGATTCAAAGAATGACGCTTGTTTGGTTCAAGTTTGAATCGAAATCGACCTTCTCCTTATCATTATCACGGTATTCTCACTCGAAGGCGAGGTGTGTGTTTCCCTGTTGACGATGAGGGGGGCGATGGCGGAAATGCCGCCAGCGACATGCCCAAAGAGTGTGAGCCAGACTGGGACGTTAATACGCCATCCTTTCTCTCAGACCCGTGGATTTTTCTCAAGGATCAAACGATCAAGCCCAGTGGATTCTTTTTCCTGCTTTGTTCTCTCTTCGTGGACTGGCCCAAATTCTGAGCACTTTGACTTCATGTTTGAGGCTTCACTTCTGTGTTAACCTCAACCGGGCACAAAGTTCAGATCTCAAGTTTTCCAGTCGGTCCTGCCAGACTGATTGGACAAACAAAAAAAAAAAAGGCAAGTGGAAAAGAAGATTGAGGTTGTCTGATTATGTCTGGGAAGGCGTATATAAGGAGCCGGCTTCTCCCTCACCCCGGTTCGGCCTGCATTCACTTCCATTCAATGGTTGATTCGGGGGATAAACTCAACCCATATCAACAATTTACAGACTTACAACATCGATATGCTTATAATCTTCTTTTTCCTCTCGACCGTCTGGGTGGAGCTCGCCTTCACCCGGGGGGCTATTGTCAACCTCCCCGGCTCTCGGATTCAGGGCATGGCGCTTGGGGGTTCCGAGGCCTTCAACGGCATCCCCTTTGCCGAGTCGCCGGCCGGCAAGAACCGGTTGAGAAGGCCTGTTCGAAGAACTGAGGGCCTAGGAGATTTTGACGCCGCCCGGAAGAGCCCCCTGTGCCACGACGGGTACTATGAGCCAAACCCTTCGGATTACCCGTGGCACAAGGATCACCTTGAGCATAGTTATACCGAGCGGTACAACGTTAGCACGACTGAGGATGCTCCTGTCCGAAATTACCTCTCGACGGAGGACTGCCTGACCATCTCGGTTACGCGTCCGGCGGGCACCAAGGCGGGAGACAAGCTGCCGGTCATGTTCATGATCCACGGCTACGGGTTCGTCGTGGGATCCCCCGAGCCATACGATAGAGACACCTTCCTCCAGTTTGGGGTCGACAACCATCACCCGTTCATCTTTGTCACAGCCAACTACCGTGTTGGTGCCTGGGGTTTCTTGCCCGGCAACGAGAGCATCTACGGCGATGCGACCAATCTCGGTCTCTACGATCAGCGGATGGCTATGGAGTGGACATCGGACAACATCGAGGCCTTTGGCGGCGACCCGGACAAGATCACCCTCTTTGGTCATGCCGCTGGTGGTGTTTCCGCCTTTGCCCATCTGGTCATCAACGACGGGAATATCACATACAACGGCAGGGAGCTTTTTCACGGCGTCGTCATGAGCTCTGGCAGTCTCATGCCCGCCAATGCTGCCGACTCTTCGAGGGCTCAGCTGGTCTACGACTCAATTTCCGCGGCTGCTGGATGCGATATCGCAATGGAGTCACTGAAGTGCTTGCGGGACCTGTCCGACTTGGACTTTTGGGTGGCGAGCAACTCCATCCCTGGCATCAACGCCGTCGAAGCCTTGAGGCTCCTATATATTCCCCGGCCAGACGGCAAGCTGCTTCGTGACAGCCCCGAAGAGCTGATCAAGCAGGGCAAGTTCGCGCAGGTGCCGATAATCATAGGCAATCAGGAAGATGAGGCCGCCCTGTTCACGCTGGAACACGGGCTGTTCGAGAACAAGGCCGGCCATCAGCTCTGGGGTTACCTCAGGGATTATTACTTCAACCAATTCACCCGGGACAATGAAACTGCTCTGCGAGAATGGACGTACCTCTACAGCGCCTTGCCGGAGGACGGCAGTCCGTTCCGCACCGGCGAGTATTTCGAGACTTGGTTCGGCCGGAAGCTGGTCACCGCCACAATGGGCGACATCTTCTTCAACTTCCCGCGCCGCATCGCGATGCAGTTGATCGCCGAAGCTGCTCCATCCGTGCCGATGTGGGGATACACGGACTCGCACAATCACGGTGACCTGGCCATCTACGAGGGTCTCGTCGGTACCACGCACGGGTCCTTCTTGGATTCGGTGTTTGCCCAGGGCGAATGGGCCACGCTGCCGTCCTCTTACAGCACACGCGCGCACTTGATCAACTTCATGTACAGCCTGAATCCCAACAAGGGCATCGAGAGCATCGAGAGTGGTGAGGGAGGCGAGGTGCTGCCGGGCCTGGCGCACTGGCCGCAGTGGACAATGGACATGCCGCGGCTGCTCTGGATCAACAGGAAGCACAACGCGTATGTCCAGGACGGCGAGCGGAAGAAGATTTTCGAAGAGATAAAGAATAACGTGGCGTGGATCAGACTCTAGGCTGGGAAGGTGATGGAAGGCCCGTTTCTTGTCGACCACGAGCTTGGGTATCTGGTCTGTATGATTCCTTCAATTGTTGTCTTTAGGACATGTCTGTTTTGTTCGACTTCGATTTGGAGATGCCAGGAGCTGTCTGGGCCACCGCGCTCCAGAGTTCCAGGTTGTTCAAGTGTTTGCCCACTGGCTGCCTAGTTTAGTCTCTTGCAATTGATTGTCAATGATTCAAACTGGCTCCCTCAAGCCTTTGAGATGCAATGTCATTGTGGTCGTGAGCATGGATATCGTGAAGTCTTCAGTATTATAGAATGTTGTGTGTATGTTGAAGGTTAGTTCAGCCAATGACAATGAGTTCGTGCCTTGTGCGGGCCGTTTCGGCGCCCCTTTCGAGAGGAAGGAGCCGGGCCTTAGGTTCTTACCTTGCCTTACATCTGCTCGTACCTGGTAGGTACCTTCCATTCTCTTGGCTCTACACCTTGATGGCTTCAACCTGAAGTTGCCCACCTTTTGGCTTCGTCAACTCACCTTCTTCTTCCTCAGCCATCATCATCTCCAGCCGGATGCGCAGTAACAGCACAGCCTCGTCACCGCCTGCCACCGTTTTACACACAGCAAGGAAGTTTGGACCAGGTACCTTCATTGACACAGTACCTACATGTTTGGCGGAATACGAAGCAACAACCACCGAGCCCAAAACTCCGCCTGATATGCCTTTCAGAAGCTCTTTGCAGCTTCTATAGGAGGTGCACTTCAAGTTTGATGCCGGACATGGATCAAATGTCCGTCGGCTACCCAATGGCTTCGCTGCCACGCACTGCAGCAACTCTTCGAAGGCCAAAGCCGTTCGTTACTGTGCAGTCGCCAACCCAAAAACTGCCAAAACTGGACACTAGACGCTGAGGCTGTGCATCAGCCTGGGGCTGTATCCACCTCACATGTCGGTTCAGTGGTTTGAGAGAGGCGAGCGAACCGAGCCAGGGGCTGGCGCTCTTGGCTTGAAACCAGCCCAACTTTAGTTGACAGCGACCTGTGTGTTTTTGTCCGCTCTCCGTGGCCGTCCGTTTCACTGTTCAGCGGTGTGCTCGTACATTCAGAGGACATTTGCTTCAATGGCCAAGGAAAGAAGGGGATGCTCTGATGGTACTCTGTACGACAGGCATAGCTTGATGATGTCCCTTGGAACGGCTCAAGCAGCAATACTCCATGAGCACGGTACGAAGTAGTACTACTATCGTACTACTTTACTCGACTTTGGCTTGGCAATTGCTCAGCACGGAGTACGAGACCTGAATACGGGGTGCTGCTACCTGACAGGCAATCTTCTCTGCGAATCCCCCTGGGGAATGTGCGCATTGCCGGCCTCGTTCGCTGCCGGAATCTCGGCTCCGTGGCAATTACGCAGCACTGCCTCCAGTGTGCGGCCGTGGCTCCTGTGTGTACTTGCGCTTCGTGCGAGGTTACTTCCTCTCGACGTCTCGTTACTTTACGCTTTGCACTTCCGGTCTCCAGGCTCTAAAGCCAATCCACGGGGCTGTGGCATCCAGCAGGCACAGAATTCGAACTGGCAGGGTTACTTGATGGACAAGCAGCGATCACCCATCCTCCGCACCAAGATGGAGACGCACCACCTCCGTGCGGCGTTTCAGGCCGTTTGCCCCAAGTTTCCCAGTCGAGCCGGGCTTCATGGGGGTTTGAAACTCGACGAGCCGGGGGGGCGCGGCACTCTGACGATGCTAGCAGGACGGTGAAATTGCACCTGCGGCCAACCATGTGAGCCCATGCGCTCGACTCGTATACCCACGACTAATACACTGACACCCTTTCCCGCTGGCTCAAATGAAAATGACGCGCCTTAACTCTTCTGCACATCCGCATTATCGCTTTCCCCCCTACCACCGCTTCGTACCTTTTTTCCTTGTTTCGCGTGCTGATTTGCATGCTTCCTCGCCGCCACACACACTCTCTCTTCTCTCATTATTGTTTTCCGTGTCCATCGTCGAACCCTCGTGAGGCTCGTATGTAAGCAGTGGAGCGACCACTTTCGTTTGACGCGCGGCGGCGATCTCCTTGAGCCCTCACTTCTTTTCCTGTTCTCCATCCAGCTTTCGCCATTGCATAGAGCTTTGTCCTAGCAACAGCCGCTCGTTTTCCAGTTGCATCTCTTGCTCTCACTCTTTGAATCTCTTTCGACCTGTCGAGCTCTTCGGTTGCGATACCCCGGTGGAAGCGAACCGCAGTCTGACACCGTCCTGCGAACCCTCGACTCGCGCCGCTTTGCTTCCCTGTTGGACAGACTGGATCTGGACGACTTACTATTCCCATCTACTTAGACGACATACAGACATCTCCTCGACAAGTCCGGAATCCTTTGAATCTACGACTTGCTGCACGCAATGAGGTCTCCTTTGGTGGCTGCGACAGCGGCCCTGTGCCTGCTGGGCCAGGGGGCGACGGCCGTTTCCCTGACCATCACCGACGACAGTAAGATGGATTGAGATGCTTCCACAGCGCAGCAACCAGACCAGACATGGCTGACCAAAAGCACTCCAGACTCGGTCAAAAGCGCCGCGAGTACGATTGCCTTCGGCCTCATGAAGTACTACACCGGAAACAATACTGGCGATACTCCTGGAAACTTGCCAGACCCGTACTACTGTCAGCTACCCTGCTCTTCTGTCCATTGCTCTATTGGGCCTATTATCGCGAGCATCAATGCTAACTATGAGAGATAGGGTGGGAGGCCGGCGCGCTGTTCGGAACCATGATCGACTACTGGCGCATGACCAAGGACACGACATACAACGACGTCACGATGCAAGCCATGCTTCACCAGGCCGGAACCGATGGCAGCTTTCTGCCCACGAACCAGTCGCTGACCGAAGGAAACGACGATCAGGGTTTCTGGGCCATGGCCGCCATGTCCGCCGCCGAAGACGTCTTCCCCAACCCGCCGTCCGATCAACCACAGTGGCTGGCCATGGCACAGGCCGTCTTCAACCAGTATGTCGGCCGGTGGGACCCTCACTGCGGCGGAGGTCTCCGCTGGCAGATTTTCTCGTGGAACAAGGGTTACGACTACAAGAACTCCGTCGCCAACGGCTGCTTCTTCAACGTTGCCGCTCGACTGGCCCGATACACGGGTAACCAGACCTATGCCGACTGGGCGCTCAAGGTCTGGCAGTGGGAGAAGACGATTGGCTTGATTGGCCCGCAGTACCAGATCTTTGACGGTCTCAGCATCGACAGCAACAACACGTGCGGCCAGATGGATCAGAACCAGTGGTCCTACAACGCAGGTATCTACATGCATGGGGCCGCCGCCATGTACAACTTTACCAACAACGCCACCTGGAAGGCCAACCTGGACGGCATGATCAAGGAGACGGTCAGCAAGTTCGTCCAAAACGGCATCGTCTACGAGCAGTTTTGCGAGCCCCGAGGCTTCTGCAGTGTCGACCAGAGCACGTTCAAGGGCTATCTGATCCGTTACATGGCGTCTACCATACAGCTGGCTCCGCACACCATCCCGACCCTCATGCCCCTGATCGAGAATGCTGCCGAGGCTGCGGCGTCCAGTTGCACGGGCCCAGCCTCGCCTACCTTCAAGGGAATTGATGGCACAGGGTGTGGTTTCACGTGGATCCCCAAGGGTACATATGATGGCAAAAACGGTGTCGGCTCGCAGATGAACGCCTTGGACGCCGTCATGTACTCTCTGGTCCAGAAGGCCCCTGCGCCCGCCACAGCCAACAAGGGCGGTACTTCCAAGGGTGACCCCGGTGCTGGTATGGGCAACATCGATCCTGCTGGCGATATTGACAAGGTCACGAAGCCTACAACCGGCGGAAAGGTTGGGGCAGCGATCCTCACCCTCCTGTTGCTCTGCAGTGTCCTCGGTGGCAGTGCAGTGCTACTGCTGTAACGAAGAGCACAGCGGTCCAACGAGGGGGAAATCATCTGGATATGTTTCTCATATACATATTCATGTGTTGGTCTTGCACAACACATGCTCTTTTTGTTTCTTGTTTATCAAAGTCCCGAGGTATTAGAGCGTAGGATGGATGCTCTTTGTGGCTGGCGTTTTGGGAGTGGCCTTGGATATATATTTCTCGATCCCCATTTTTCTCTTTTTGTCGTGTGAATAGGTCCATCTCGTGGCGATGTGGAACACGGCAATCAGTACACTTGTTGTTGTCGTCTTCGTCATCATTGCCTACTTGTTCATTTGCAGCAGTTTGGAAATACTTACCCTGCCTAGACACCGGGCAAAAGCCTGATATCAGAATTGCACGACATTATGACCGTACACAACATTGAATCTTGGATCACGTTTTCTTTTGCTTAAGGGCAGCGAACAAGGCTTGTTGGGACGGGCCGCAAAGTGGCAATCCGTCCGGGTCCAATCAATGTCCGCTTTACTACCAAATCAATCACATCAGTTGAATCCCACTTGAATCCTGCGTCTCCCCCGCTTCTGTGGCCAGCCGACTGAATCCAGTCAGGGGTACTTGGTGCGCAACTGCTACCGCCATGTAAGCTTATGGCATAGTAAGGTGTAGTTACCGCATCAATGGGGACCTAGACTCGACATAAGGTTAAGCAGGTATACGAGTAGTACCTGGTATGTGACGAGTGGCTCGGGGTCTCGACGTCTCCGGATTTGTGGCTTCAACCCCGCCATGATGCCCGGATATTGGAGCTTCCCCGCCCTTTTCGGTTCCCAATCTTTATTACCAGCTCAGAGTGTCATTGCCATCGGACATACGTCACTGATAGTCAGGCCACTTCAAGTCCTTGGAATGAATTGAATAAATAGTTCAGCACCGTGATAGCATTCTAGAATTCCAGACTCTTTCACCTCATCTCACAGCCAACCTTTAGTGATTGAGCGTCCCTTTCTCTCTTAATATCATCATCAATCACCATCTCATCCGTCCCCATGACTCCTCCCCTCCAGGCTGCGTCTCAACCCCTCGCGCCCGCGCCCGTAATGTCTACAAAGCATTTCATCAATGATCCGACACACCTCGTCAACACGGCCCTCCACAGCCTGACGCTGACGAACCCCAACGTTGCCCTCGACCCGGCCAACAAGATTGTCTACCGCCGACCTACCGGCGATGCCTCGCAAGTGTCCATAGTCTCGGGCGGCGGATCCGGCCATGAGCCGTCCTTCGCAGGCATGGTTGGCCCGGGCATGCTGTCTGCAGCCGTGGCAGGGACAATCTTTGCGAGTCCTTCTGCCGAACAGGTGAGGACGGGCATCATGTCACGGGTGGACACGGACAAGGGCGTTCTGGTTGTGGTGATGAACTACACGGGTGACATTCTCAACTTTGGAATGGCTGTGGAAAAGGCCATTGCGGCTGGCCAGCAGGTGGAGATGGTCGTTGTGGGCGACGATGTTGGCGTCGGGAGGAAGAAGACGGGCAAGGTTGGGAGGCGAGGAATCGCGGGCACCGTGCTTGTGCTGAAGATTGCCGGCGCTCTCGCGGCGCAGGGACGATCGTTGGAAGAGGTGGCAAAGGTTGCTCGGCTGGTGGCGGCCAACATCGTCAGCGTTGGTGCCAGTCTGGAGCATGTCCACGTTCCGGGGCGGGTTGTTGATACCAGCGAGGGCTTGGGGCCGGAGGAAGTCGAGGTCGGAATGGGCATTCACAACGAGCCCGGGTCGAGCAGGGAGAAGATGGAGCTACCGCAGCTGGTGAAGAGGATGCTTGCTCAGCTGCTCGACCAAAACGACAAGGACCGAGCTTTCCTGAACGTCAATTCGAACGAGGTCGTTCTCCTCATCAACAACCTCGGCGGAGTTAGTGTCCTGGAGCTGGGTGGTATCACGGCGGAAGTGGTGAAGCAGTTGGAAGCTAGCTATAACATTCGGCCGGTCCGCATCATCAGCGGCACATTCATGACGAGCCTGAACGGCCAAGGATTCAGCATCACGCTGCTCAACGTCGTCAACACGGACATTGGCGGGCCGAGCATGATTGAGCTGTTGGACGCTCCGAGCGAGGTCACCGGCTGGTCTGCCCCGATACAGAAGACCTCTTGGGAGGCAAAGAACAATGCCACGAGGACAGGCTCCGCCGGCGAGAGCATCGAGACGGAGCCGAGCGGACTACGAATGGACGTCCAGCACGCTACGAGTGTGCTTACGAATGCGCTGGAGCGCGTGATTGCGGCCGAGCCCGAGGTTACAAAGTACGATACGGTCGTTGGAGATGGAGACTGTGGCATTGGCCTTAAGAGAGGAGCCGAAGGTAAGTCTCACAGAATCCTGCTCCCACACTTCAATCTGAGATGGAAGAGAAGTCGACGCTAACGTTTACAACCTCAGCCATTTTGAAGCACATCCAGCAAAAGCCTCTGACGGGAGACGTTGTCGTCGACGTAGCCTCTATAGTGCAGGTGGTAGAAACCGCCATGGACGGCACATCCGGCGCTTTGTACGCCATCTTCCTCAACGCCCTCGTCCACGCTCTCCGCACCCTGGGCACGGGCGAGGCCGGTCCCTCGGTGTGGTCGGCCGCCCTGAAGCTCAGCTGCGAGGCCCTGTCCAAGTATACCCCCGCTCGACCCGGCGATCGCACGCTTGTGGACGCGCTCTATCCCTTCGTCGAGGTTTTGAACAAGACTGGGGACGTGAAGAAGGCTGCTGATGCGGCGAGAAAGGCGGCTGATGAGACAAAGGGCATGCAGGCGAGCCTGGGACGGTCGGTGTATGTGGGCGGGAGCGGATACGAGCAGGTGCCTGATCCCGGCGCTTGGGGGTTGGCGTGCTTTTTCTTGGGACTGAGTGGCGTGAAGCCGACCGAGGAGGGCTGGGAATCTATCTAAAGTTTTGGCATGGGAAATGGTTCGAGATGAATTGGGTAGTCAGCCTTGGGAGGCCAGGTATATGGCCCGGGATTTTATCTGCAGGCATGACCACGTGTGCTTTGAAGCAACCAAAATAAATTGTTATCAACGCCTATATTCGCCTTTTCGAGTCTCTCGCGATGTTGATTCCGTCATCCAACAGCTCAATGTCGATTAAATGATTCCCAGTAACAACCCAAAGCAGATTCGTGTACAAACTCTAGCTCAGAAGGACCAAGATGACGCTATCTCCTCTCAGGAACCTGCAAACACGTCAGTATCTTGTGCCTACATGATTGATCATTGCTTTTTCTCTCCTAAGCGACACTCACGCCCAAGATTGGGGGGTTGAGAGAGAGAGAGAGAGAGAGAGCATACATCTTGCTGATGAACCTGTCCTTGTTGACCGGCCGGCCCTTCTTGCCGTCCGCTAACCTGGGCGTCTCCGTCCACATCTCCTTGACGTTCTCGAGCACCATGTTGCAATGCCTGTCAAAGGCCTTGACGCGCGCGAGCAGCTTGCGGTTGGAGCGGATGGAGATGAGGACCTGGGTGTGCGAGCGCACGGCCGTCTGGAGGATGGAGAGGGGGCCGGAGGAGAATTCGTATTCTTCGAGCTGGGCGATTTCGTACTCGCTGATTTTTTGCAGAGAGATGTTAGATCCAAGTTCGAGCCCGAGTCCGTAGGAGGGGAGGGGCGCGCCGATGAGGCAGACAAGGGGAGAGACGTACGTGAGTTCCGAGCGAGACTTGGTGAGGAGTTCCCTGTGGAGAGAGAGTAGAGTTAGCGCGTGATAGTCGTAATTGGTGGTCGAGAGAGAGATGGAAACATACTGAATCTTGGGGTCGGCCATTGTTGCTGTTGGGGCTGGACTTGGGTTGGTTTGGGCGTTGATGGAGGTTGCAGTGCGCAAGGCTGGGCGTTGAAGCTGTTGAAGCTCCGAAAAGTTGCAAGGCGAGGCGTATCGCGGGCGGTTGACGGTGATTGGCTCGTGTCGCGGCGTGTTGTGGGAACAAATTCGAATTGGCCTTGTACCGAAATTATGTAAGCTCTCCAGGATGGCCAGTCGGGGCACGTGATGCAGATGCCCGCGAAAAGGTACGTACCCGAATAGCCGGCTCCTCCACGTTCCTTATCGGTTATCGGCAATCGGCGGGCCAATTTTCAGAGCCCATTGGGTGGAGCTGCTTCCTAGCATTCTTGCCGAGATTCATCGATCCGGTCCTCGACCTCGTCCTCTCTGCTTCTAGATGCTCTAGATATTCTTTGGAATCCGCCTCGAGGGTGCGTCTTGTATATTCGGCATCTGATGTCCTTCCGAACAATCGCGGCTCGAGCTGGCGCGGCGGCGAATGCCGCGGGCCGGAGCAGCTACCGCAGCACCATGGGCATGGCGCAGTTGAGCAGGGCCATGAGCTCGTCACTCGGCGCACGACCGGTTAGCAAAGAGAGGGGTGCTCTGTTGTGCATGACGAGATGCTAATCAAATCGAGAACAGCTGTCCCCCGAGGCCTACAACGTCAAGGAACTGCCTGGCGACGAGCCCAACGACGTCGTCTTCGAGAGCAAGTACGGGCTCAGAACGGTGCTGCTGAACCGGCCAAAGAAGCTCAACTCTCTCAATGGCTCCATGATTCGCAAGATCGTCCCGCGGCTGATTGAGTGGGAGAAGTCGGACATGGCAAACGTCATTGTCATGAAGGGCGCGGGCGAGAAGGCCTTTTGCGCAGGCGGTGATGTTGCCGAACTGGCCAAGTACAACCAGGAGAGCGCCGACGGATGGAAGAAGTCGGCAGAGTACTTTGCTCTCGAATACCAGCTGGACCACTACATTGCGACATACCAGAAGCCCTACATCGCCTTCATGGACGGCATCACGATGGGCGGCGGCGTCGGGCTGAGCATCCACGCGCCCTTCCGAATCGCGACCGAGCGGACAATGTTTGCCATGCCCGAAACGACAATCGGATTCTTCCCCGATGTCGGTGCCTCTTTCTTCCTGCCTCGGATGAACGGCTCCATCGGAACCTACCTCGCGCTGACAAGCGATCGGCTCTCGGGACCCAACGTTTTCTACAGCGGCATTGCTACTCACTACCTCCATTCGTCAAGCCTGCCGGATCTCGAGGCACGTCTGGCAGAGCTGCGCTTCCGCGACGAGGATCCTCTGCCCCGGAGGCTCGAGCTCATCAACGACACGCTGGAGGAGTTCTGCACGGGTCTGCCCTACGACCAGGCCTTTACACTGAGCGGCGAGACACGACGAGCCATCGACCGGTGCTTCAGCAAGAACAACGTGGATGACATCATTGCCGCCTTGAAGGAAGAGCGGGGTGAGACGGAGGAGTGGGCGCAGAAGCAGCTGGCTACGCTTAAGAAGCGATCGCCCACTGCCGTGCACGTTGCCCTTAGGCAGATGCGCGTCGGCGGCAAATGGAGCATCTCGGAGACGTTTGAGAAGGAGCACCAGATTGCCACCAAGTTCATGCAGCACCACGACTTCACGGAGGGTGTGACGGCGCTGCTGGTGCGCAAGGAGGCGGCCAAGTGGCAGCCCGAGTCCCTCGAGGCCATCCCCGCCAGCGAGAACGTTGCCAAGCCTTTCTTCACCTTTGACAAGGACGCCGGATTTAAGCTCTTCACCGAGCGGACATACTCCGAATACCCCTACGCCGTCCTCGGTGTGCCGACCGAGAAGGAGATGCAGGCGATTGTGTCCAGCAACGCTGTGACGCCAGCGGAGCTCGCCAAGCAGGTCAAGGCATCAAGAAAGAACCGGCAAGGCGTGGCGGAGGTTGTGGACGAGATTATCAGCCGAAAGGTCACTGTTGATGAGCAGGGCAAGGCGAAGTGGGTGGCTGATGAGGCGCCGGCTTCAAGCCGACTGTGAGAAAAGGAGGAAGCAGGGGAAGGATGGATAAAGAAGAACATAGATGACGCATATACATGTACAATAGTAAAATGTGAAATAAAGTGACAAAATATGACCATGCACTTGATGCGATGAATTGAAAAACAGAGGTGGTGATGTTGTCGTCATGGTGTTGTGTGTGTTCTGTAACAAAAGCTGTGGAGATGGTTCGCGCCCGTGCGCCTTTTGCACGTTGCGGTGGGAGGCTGCAAACCATCGGGCGTCATCGACATCAGGCGAGAGATAAGTGAGAGACGGGCTTCACTTGTCGGTGCTAAGAAAATGCAGGGCGAGCAACACCATGGAGGGGCACCGCAGCCTAAAAAAAAGGCAAGGGAGAAAAACCACGTCACGAGATGAATGACCTTTTGTGGAGGGGGGGGAAACGCTGATGGGCAAACAAGCTCTCTGGAGATGGCGTCAAGTCAGCTCTGGAAACTATAAAAGGGGGCCAGCAGCCCCCCTCTCCTTTGCTCCCTGGGTTCTCGGAAGGAAAAGAAATCAAAAGAAAAGGGAACAGAGACCGGGAGTCATATCGTCCGATTGTTGCCTCCTGTTTTCCCGTGTCGGATTGCCAGCTCAACCGGAGCTTCTTTGCCCGGGCCGCCCGCCAGCACCTTTTGTTTGCCGAGAGTTGTGTAAGATAACGAGCCTTTGCTGGACCTTTCTTGTCCGGAGAAAGCCAGCCAGCCCTTTGTTCGTTTCGGCGCCGCTTCCGCTTCCGGGGTTCAGCCGGGCGCACCAACCAGCGAGAGGATCGACTGCTCCATTGGGTAGGTGGGGTTCGGCCGAGAGCGCGGCAGGCTGGCATTGGCACTTGCACTTGCACTTGCAGTCGAGCCTATCAAAGCACTCGCATTCCAGGCCCTTTTTTTCCAGGCTTCTTCACTGCCGAGACACGCCTGTTGCTGCAGGCACTTTCTCACTAAAAAGAGCTCTAAAGGTGCGGGCTGTTTTGTTTGTTTGTCGCCAGTACAACCCACAACACCGGACGGCTACCTAGAATCGCTGTGGCACAGCTAGCGAGTGCAAGGTACTGTTCAGGTACCGGCCAAGGCACGCCGCCGCGTTCAGGTACACGCTTTTCGCTGGCGACGTGACGAGACGAGAGTCGTCTAATCACACAGCTTCACCTTATCTGCTGCATCTACTGCCCTTATTCACCAGAACAAAGAAACCACTCTCTTTCTCTCCCTCTCTGTCTCTCGCGGCCCGCTTCTTGTTTTGTCTCTGTAGCAACGTGGACCCGGGCCTCACTTTGCATTCTTTCCGTCTTTTCCTTCCTTTGTCTTGGAGACTCGAGATACTTGTAGGGTCCCGGCGCGCACTCACTCACTCCATACCTATCTCACCAGATCCACTTGCGCAGAGAGAGACGCGACCTGCAGGTATTTTGGCGCGTCACGAACATGAAACCCGCCTCCCCCATTTGAGTCGGTTACCAGGACAAGACAAGCGAACTCCAGCAACCCAGCAACTGAACTCTCCACTTCTTCTCTTTCAACCCTTTCGGCAGAACAGCACCTCTTCAGACCTCGCATCGCCAGCCAACCCCCAGCAGCAGGGCTCGATCTCTCCCTCAAAGGGCGGTCGAGGGCGAGGCACGTTCGCCATGGCTTCACCAATGCCCGCTCACTCGAGCGCCTGGAATCACCCGCCTGCCGCTGGCGAGACGGACGAGTACGGTCTGCAGACCAAGTTCATGAACTGTACGCTCTCTCTTCACCTCTCGTTTCTCGCTCTGCTCGGCGTTGCCATGTCTTGGTTGGCCGCCAGCGACTAATGCCCCGACAGTAAAGGTGCACTACACGTTCGACAGAGAGGCCAAGGAGAAATGCCTGGCCAGAGGCTCCCAGCCGCTGCAGGTCCAGACGGTGCCCGTCGACGACAGCAACACCATTGGCATCGTCGACTTGAGGGCTTGCGTACACGTCATTGCCGAGTGCAGCCCGGAGCTGACCAACCACGACTGCGACTACACCATCTATGCAATCGACTATTCCGAGCCCGACTTCCCTCTGGTCGGCCAGGGCCTGCTGTCGTGGGTTTTCCAGTCCATGCGGCCCGACTTTGGCAACTACCAGCCCAAGATGGTGACGGGCCGTGTCACGAGGAACATACTGAGTGTGTTTGGCGGCGGAAATCGAGAGACCCTGGAGGTCAGACTGAAGCTATCTGAGACGACGAGGATCCAGCGTTCCGTCACATATGCTCCTCCTCCCATGGACCAGCAGCCTGCGAGGCCCATGGAGCAAGCCTTGCCGCCACACGCCGCCTCAGAATGGAACTCTCTGGTCCAGTCCAACTCCCAGGTCATGTCCCAACAGGCGAGCCACAGCTACGGTGGCCCCCCTCCTCCACCCATGCACAACAGCCATTCACCCGCCATGGCTCATGCGTTACCTCCAGGACCGCCGCCGCCGTTGGCCAGGCAAGGCTCCTTTGGGCCAAGCTACAATCAGAATTCGCCTGCTCAAGAGCAATCGAGCGTTGCCCCCATTTCCGGCGACAACCAGTCTCAGCCCATGCCCAGCATTCCCGCGCCGTCCTCACGACCATCTAGCAGAGCGTCGAATCGACCACCGCGGAGAAAACCGCCCACGGGCAGGCCACGGGGCAGGCCACGAAAGAAGCCCAATGAAGGCAACACGTCCGGCTACGAGGATGGAACCGAAGGAGAAGAAGCCGCGCCCCCGAAGGAGGACGAGCCTGTCAAGAAGAGGGCGAAGGTGACCAAGGTGGACAAGGCAGACGCGACTCCCTTTGCCGCCGAGCCAGAATCTCTCAGGGTGGCTGCTAGCAATTCCAGCTCCTTGCGCAACTTCCGGCCTCTCGCGATTAACAGCGACAGCGTGACAGGTAGCCATCTGCAGGAGGTCCCTCGAGCTCCCACACCCGTTCCTAACGGTCGTCTCAGGGGTGTACCCGGACGGGAGCCCAGCTCCCTCAAGCGACGCGAATCCGCGCTGAGCCAGCGGCCTGTGTCAAGCTTTGCAACGAGCGAGACCGGTGGCTTCCCTTCTCCCGGCATGGACGACGACAGATCGCCAGATTCTGCGGCCCCGACGCCAAACTACCCCGAGGACAGTCCCGCGGATATTGGATCCTCGCCACCCGTTCAGCAGGCCACGCCTTATATGCGGTCCAGCCCACCCCCCTCAAGCCCAGTTCTACCCCCTATGCCGGCAATGGCCCGTCAGGAGCACAGCATGTCGGGCAATGACGTGAGCGAGCTGTTTGGAGAAGGAGACCAATCCATGATGGAGGAGCTGCCACCGCAACCGCGCACCCACAATGCTCCTAAGCAGAGCGTGCCGGTCCAGGTCTTCCAGCTCCAGGACGGCCCGTGCGGCCAAGATCTGGTGCATGTTAGGACATACAACACTCCCTATCCGACTTCCAACCCACCGGCCTCCACTGAGAGCTCCTTACCGCCTCCTGCGAGGCGAGAATCAAGCCGACCACAGCCCAACGGCCAAACTACGAAGAGGAAGAGGCCGCAATCGACATCGCCAACTTTGGCCCCAACGCCACCACCTACAACCGACGCCATTGAGCGGGCCATGAGCCCAAACCTGATCTCCACGCCAGCCCCAATCCAAGCTCCGACTCCTATCCCTCTTCCGCCAGCCATACGCGCTCCTGACTCCATCCAAGAGCCCATCTTTGTGCCTATTCCTTCCGCCACTTCTCCCGCCAACGCCCCCGACGGCCCAGCGCCGACCCCTGCAGCAGCACCACCACCACCTAATGAATCATTTGCGAATACGACGCCTACTCCTGAGCTCTCACAGCTTGGTGATCTCACAGACGACATCTTTAACGATCCCATAGTTCAGCTCGCCTCTACGTTCTCGTCGAGAGAAGAGGCACCTCCGCCCGTCCAACCGCAATCTCGATCTTCACAGCCTCCTCAGTCAAGACCGCAGACCTCGAAACCCAGGCATCCTCGTCAACTTAACCGATCACAGTCCGCAGGGCCGCTCGTATTACCGTCGACTCCGGCAAGCGACCCCATCGGCCCCTCAAATTTGTCCCAACCTCCTGCTGTCGCCTCGAATCGCCCATCCTCGGTGGGGGGCGCCGACATGCGTCGGCCGACCTCCATGGGGCCGCTCGCCTTACCAGTCCCTGAGACCGCGGCAGAGCCTACGTCGTCGGCAAACCCAGCAGCTCCGGAGGAACCCTATCCGCCAAGCGATTTCCTTCCGCCGCCGTCTTCACCACCCGCACAGAGATCAAATAAGAATATCGTGAAGAAGCATGCCATCAAGCAGCGACTGGAGGAGGCGATTAATAATGGGGAGATGCCCCCCTTCTGCAGCAACTGCGGTGCCATTGAAACGCCTACTTGGAGGAAGATTTGGATTCAGGAGCGCGATGGCGTCCCGGAGCGGTGCGAATACTCGGAGAAGCCAGGCAAGATCACGGCAGTTGAGGTCCTGCAGCGCGATGAAGACGGCAAGCCAACCCTGCATCGCGTCGTCAAAAAGAGTCTGGCCATCACCGATGAGAAGACCAAGTGGCAGGAAGCCCTGCTTTGCAATCCGTGCGGCATCTGGCTCACCAAGTGCAAGACTCACCGGCCCCCAGACAGATGGGATAAAGATGCGTCCCGGCTAGGCCAGGAGAGGCGGAAGAGGGGCACCGGCCGAAGCACATCTCGCCCGAAGAAGAATCGTGCCAAGGATGATGCCCCTTTCAACCTTACTTCAGAAGCATACCTACCCACGGATGCGTTGGAGCCAGTCGCACCCTCGTCGCCAAAGATGGGCGAAGTGATTTCTCTCGAGACAAACCCATCGCAGAGGACAGAGAGCGTCGAAAGCCAGGACAAAGACAAGGCCAATAGCAACAATGAACTGGAGACGAGATCGAATCCAGGATCGTCCCATTCTCAGGGCAGTGGAACAGCTCAAAGCCCCATTGATATTGACTTTGATGAAATGGCTGGCAGCACGAAGAGACTGCTGTTCCCATCTCCAAGGAAGGAGGGAGTGCCGAAAGTGCTTTGCAATGTCGATATCAATATTGTTCAGACTTCAGAGTATCGTCCGGGACAGCAAGTCAAAGGAGACCAAGAGAATGTCGTCGCCGCCGCCGTGGCAGGGCTGCATGAAGGCACCAGCAAACTAGACGATTTGGAGGCTCTCTTCAACAGCCCGCTAAAGGAACGGCCGTCCACTCCGCCACCCGACGGAGCACCTGCTCAAGCCGAGGCTTTCAAGACGCCTACACGACCTACCCCGAGCCACAGACCCATCACTAGAAGTGTTTCACGGTCCCTGCGATCCGCCAGGTCGATCCTTTCGCCAAACCAGCAGGCTCTCGAGCAGACCCCCACTAAGACGCCAAGGTCCATGCTGAGAGTTCCCGGTAGCAGCGGCGCTAGGAGGCGCAGCCCGCGCACTCATCAGGGCAGTTTCGATGTCTTTGATTCCCCCGTTAGTCGAAGCATAGTGCAATTGCTTTCGGAGGGCAACGTCCTGGGCACCGGCGAGAACGAGGTTGACCTCAGCAGCCTGCCCGGTCTCGGGCACATGGAGGAAACCTTTGACTTTAGCCTGTTGAGCACGGATAATCTGATGCCCAGCTCCCCATCGAGAACCGGGTCTACGGGACTGACTTTTGATTATGACGGCGTCACTAATAACATTGGTGATTGGGTGGACAGTATGATGAAGCTGAAGTGATGCAAGGAACGCGGTTAAAGAATAAGGGCTACGGTACTTGATGATATATGTTGGTTCTTGATTTAGCGCATGGAGTTTCGGATGGTAGATATTACAAACGAGCTTTACTACAAGAAGCACGGTTGGCACGAGTGAGATTGTGTGTCTTTGCTCGCTTGCAGCCAAGGAGCGAGAGCTGTCTCTCTTTTTACCCTTTGTTTTCTTTACTATACTCTCACATTTTATAAAGAGCTTTAGCATAGTTGATACCAGAGCAATGCTCAATTTTTCATGATGATTTGCCTGCCCTGTTTGTATCTTGGATCTCCTTATCATCTGAGTTGCGGGTTAAAGTTATAGAAGAGGTCGAGGCATTGAGGATATTGCAGAGACGGAGAGCTGCCTTTGTCAGAGCTGGTAAACGTGAGAATAGTCCAGAAGGAATTATTACTTCTTTATCCTACTTTACCATTGAAGAATCAATGCATTAATTGACCTTGTGGATGAATTACCTGGTATTATCAACAGGATGTGGTTGGTGAGCAGAGTTGCTATCGGCTCAAAAGTACGTGCTACTAGATGTACCTGCAGCTCTTGAGCTCTGCCACTTAACGCGTCTGGTCGCGTCTCCACGTCTTTCAACTTTCAAAACCCCCACCAAACCTGACATACAACCTACAACATACAGCATACAGCATACAACATACAGCTTCCTCAAGCGAAATAGATGCAATTGGCGCCCCGGCTTTCTTGCTGATTAGCTATCACACACACCGACAAGAAACAGCAAACAACGAAGCCACCAGCTTCGCCCACCGGCCCGCCATGGCCGCCGACGAAATGCAGTCTCGATTCGCTCCCAACGGGGCCCTGGAGCCAGACGTCCTCGGCGAGCTCCAGTCCATGGCGCGGCTGCACGACATCTCGGCCGAGGACCTCTACTTCAAGTGGGAGTCGTACTGCATCAAGATGGACGCGGACGCGCAGGCGGTGACGCTGGACGGCGTGCGCGGCCTGAAGCAGAGCATCCAGGACGAGCTGGAGAAGTCGCAGCGGCGGGTGCAGCTCAAGAGTGAGAGGAAGAGCGCGCCGACACCGAGGCCCAAGGCGGGCGGCAGGGGAGGAGGCGACGTGTTTGGTATGCTGGACGGATTGGTGCCGAGCACGCCTGGGTCTGGTGCGAGGTTGCTGAACAGCAGCAGCAAGACGCCGGGGAGTGGGGGACAGCAGCTCAGGAGGAGGATGGAGATGCAGAGGGACATTCCGAGTTCGCCGGCGGCTGGGCTCAATGAGCAGCTCAAATCGATGCAACTCCCGTCAGTACACAGACAGCCATTGATCGCATCGAGCCTCGGGTGCTAACCAGTTGGTGGTGGTGATGTAGGGCGACGTCCTTTGCTGATCGACAGAATGCCGGAGACGTGGTGGAAATCCTGAACGAGGAGCTTCCGCCTGCCGAAGCGCCGATTGCGCCTTTTCCCGAGCCGAGAATCAAGCTTACTGCTGCCTCTGACCAGAAGAAGACGGGCTACAAGCCGCTTGCGATGAAGCTGTCGGAGGCGAGCGAGATCCTGGACGACCGAATCGACGACTTCATTGATCTTGTCCGCGAGCACCACAATCTGGAGGACTCTGCCTTTGGCAACGCGGCGACCGCAAGCACAACCGAGGTGGTGGCTGTAGGCCGCATAGCGTCGGACTCGCTCGAGGGGAAGATCAACGCCGCGTCGATAGTGCTGGAGACGTCCAGGCGGACGGGCAGGGGCCTGAGAGTGCCGCTCAATCTGGATGCGGTCCGAATCTGGAGCTTCTTCCCGGGCCAGATTGTCGCGCTCAGGGGAAGCAACATCACGGGGGACGAGTTTATCGTCAAAGAGATTCTGGAGTTGCCTCTTTTGCCGAGCGCAGCGTCCAGCCGTGCGGCCCTGGAGGCTCACAGGGAGAAGCTCAGGGGCGACCCAGACGCCATGGACTCAGACTCAGAGCCTGCGCCGCTCAACATCATCTACGCAGCCGGGCCATACACGGCCGATGACAACCTCGACTATGAGCCGCTGCAGGCGCTCTGCAATCAGGCAGCCGACACATATGCCGACGCCCTTGTTCTCACAGGGCCGTTCCTCGACATTGATCATCCGCTTATTGCTACGGGTGACTTTGACCTCCCTGAAGAGGCATCATATGACCCCGATACCGCCAACATGAATACCGTCTTCAAACATCTCGTCGCGCCCGCGCTAAACCGCCTTGCCTCTGCCAACCCTCATCTCACAGTCATTCTCGTCCCTTCGGTGCGCGACGTCCTCAACAAGCACGTCTCCTGGCCCCAGGACACCATTCCCCGACGAGAGCTCGGCCTGCCCAAGTCGGTGCGCATCGTTTCCAATCCAATGACCCTGTCCATGAACGAGGTGGTCGTCGGATTGTCTAGCCAGGACGTGCTCTACGAGTTGCGGAGCGAGGAAGTCTCCAGAGGGGCGCCGGCGGGAGACCTCATGAGAAGGCTGTCCCGCCATCTGATCGAGCAGCGGCACTTCTTTCCCGTGTTCCCGCCGACGGACCGGTCGAGGCTGCCCAGGACGGGAACAGAGGAAGGGCTCGCGACGGGGGCTATGCTGGATGTGAGCTATCTCAAGCTGGGCGAGATGGTGAGCACGCGGCCTGATGTGCTGCTGATGCCCAGTTCACTGCCTCCTTTTGCAAAGGTATTGTCACATCTTATGCGCTTCTATCTTTCTTTCTGGCTGTTTCTTTAAAAGGAATCGTCTGACTAACTGAAACGGATATTCAGGTCGTCGAAAGCGTATTGGCCATCAACCCAGGCTCACTATCAAAGAGGCGTGGACCGGGAACGTATGCTCGCATGACGCTCTACCCTCCACCGTTGGATGGAGAAGTCATAGATGGCTTGATCAGTCATAGGGTCTTTGACAGGGCGCGGGTAGAGATTGTGAGGATATAGAATGACAGGAGCTTTAGTCTTAAGGTGACGGTGAGCTTTTGGATTCACTCATTTGAGTCATGTTTGTTTCCTTTTGGCCATAGTTTATGCCAACCAGATTTGGGGGGGTATATATTTGTACAGGTATTAAAAGTCCAGATGACGGATGCTTGCTGCATCTCCCATGAAAGCACACCGTGTGTATAAATCCTTGCCAGTTCCTCTTGATGCATGCTTCTTTCACTCCCGGCTATCAATCTTGCGTCTCTTATCGCCATCATACCGATCCCTTTCGCGAGACGTGCTCCTCTTTCTGCGACTCCAATCATCATCCGGCCGGAACCGATCATCCTCACCACCGTCAAACCGGCGCTCTCCTCCCCTACTCCTCCTGTCGCCGTCAAACGCGCCCCATCGCCCCGTATCCTCGGTCCGCATGTCCTTGTACTTGGTCGCGCCCTTCTTGCCCAGCTTGGTCATGTCCCGCCTCTGCAGGTACTCGGGCAAGGCCTCGCGGTTGCGCACGTCGTCCTGGATGCGCGACCCCATGATGTCGCGCTGCAAGAGCCCCGCGGCGGCCGTCTCCTCCTGGAAGAAGGCGCCGCGGTGGTAGTACTTTTGCATGTAGGCCATCTTCCCCTTGCCCTCCTTCTCCTCGCGCTGGCGGGCGAGGAAGGCCTCGTCCTCGGCGGCGCGCTCCTCCTCGGTCAGGTTGCGGCGGCGCTCCACCTCGGCGAGCTCCCGCTCGCGCTCCTCGATGGCCTGGCGCGCGCGCCGCAGGCGCTTGAGCTCGCGCACGCGCCACGCCGCCTCCTCCGCCGCGGGGTCCAGCCCGTCCGTGGTGTCCACGTCCGAGCCCGAGTCGTCCTCGTCGTCCCAGTGCTTCTTGCCGGCGGCGCGCGCGGCGAGGTCCTTTTTGATCTGCTCCTCGACGAGCTCGTCGGCGGCGCGCCTGCGGGCCTCTTCCTCGGCTTGGCGGGCGGCTTCGGCTTCGGCTTCTGGGTCTTTGTTTCCCCCTGCGCCTGCGCCGGCGCCGGAGCGTTGGCTTTTGGGTATGAATTTTGGTCGCATCATTAACCTCCTGGGCGCTTCTTCTTCTGATTCTTCCTCTTCTTCTTCTTCTTCGCTGCTTTCCTCTTCTGAGCCGCTCTCTTCTTCTGATTCTTCTTCTTCTTCCTCGGTGACGAAGCCTTGTTCGGCGGCTAACCGCTCCGCCCTCTCCGCGGCGATGCGACGCGCCTCGGCGGCTTCCGCATCTTTACGGCGCGCGTTGAGGTCGACCTTGTTCAGGTTGCTGATGATCTTGCCTGCGCCTGCGCTGACGGCCTTGGGCGGAGGGGCGACGGCGACGGGCTCGATGGGTTCGTCGGCTTCGGAGTCTGAGGAGGAGGAGGAGGAGTCGGCGCCGGTGGGCTTGCCGGGGCGATGGCGGGCGGGTTTGATGGGGTTTGCGGTCATGCGCTTTGGAGGCATCTTGGGCGGTTCGGGGAGGGGAAGGGATTGGTGGGTTGTGATGGAAGGGACTGGGGGAGAGCAAGAGGATGAGGTTGGATGTTGGAAGTTGTTGAGGGTCTGGAAAATCGAGGTGGGTCTGCGATAAGGGACGGTGTATGTCAGTTATCGAGCTGCTAGCGGGAGGCTTGTGGCCTGTAGATAGGTAAGGTACCTATGCCTTTCAACCAGATTAGACAGGTAAAGACATCAACTCCATTAGATGCTAGATGTTCAATTGCGTATAGGCAATTGCTAAATTACATCTGTTGCGCGTATGTAGAAACTGCAGCGAGCTTTTTTTCGAGGGGCATTATGTTCTAGTCCTATTTGTTGAAGTTGGTCTCCAGTGGTAGGCACTTCAGCTGCTGTCCATCACATGCCAACTAACGGCGATTCGCGTTCAGTTTGACAAAACAACGGCCACGATCCCTCTAATTATAATACCCCTAGACGAGGGACAACGTAGGTAAAAACCATCAAGGGCTCATGTCGATGCTCGTAAGAACACACACTGCCCTTCTTCACTTGAATTGATCACGAACTGGGCTCATGTTGTCGACGAAACTCGCCGTCTGATAGGGTAGCTCTGCTTGTGGAAATGCGGAGCTGGCCCCTCGTCCTCACGTCACAGCTCCACCAGCCAAGCTGCAAGCTCAGGCAGAGCATCTTCAAGCTTCAACCTCTCTGCTCTCATCACTCATCACTCAGATCTCATCTCACCTTACCTTCTTTCGAAACGATAGAGGCTCAAGGCCTTACAGCGTAATACCTCTCTAACAGTTATCATACTTTGTACCTTCACATATCACACCCAAGGCCTGCATACGGCATACAATGGCGCAGCGAACCGTCCTCGTCACCGGTGCTACCGGACTGCTGGGCAGAGAAGTGGCCGCCGCCTTTCGAAATGCCAGCGGATGGACCGTCAAGGGCTCGGGCTACTCGCGGGCAGATGGCGTTGACATCATCAAGCTCGATCTGCAGGACGGAGCTGCCATTGCCAAATCAATAGACGAGATACGGTGCGTTGCTGCTTATTTGGCCAACGACGCTTCACCCCTGCAGACTTGATAGCTGACGAATCTCTGAGCCTACGAACAGACCTCATGTGGTAGTTCACTGTATGTATCATGCGCCGAGTGTCTAATTGGTGGAGGCAACAGTTGTCAAAGCGGGATTGCTGACTTCATGTTCCTATTCCCCCTCAAGGCGCGGCGCAACGGTTCCCAGACAAGGTGGACAAGGACCCGGAGGCGGCCCGGAAGCTCAACATCACCGCCAGCAAGTCGCTCGCCAGCGTTACTGCTGCGCGGGATATTCTGATGATTTACATCTCCACCGACTATGTCTTTCCAGGCCGGCCCGGCGAGGCCCCTTACGAAGCCGATGCTACCCCGGAGCCCACTAACCTCTACGGCCAGACCAAGCTGGATGGCGAAAAGGCCGTCCGGGAGGAGTATGCCATCGCTGGAAAGGAAGGACTCGGCGTTGTCCTTCGAGTCCCGGTGCTGTACGGCCACGCGGAGAACCCTTCGGAAAGCGCCGTCAACGTGCTCATGGACAGCGTCTGGAAGGCCCAGACACAAGGCACCAAGATCAAGATGGACCATTGGGCCATCCGCTACCCTACCAACACGGAAGACGTCGCAAGAATCTGTCACGGTAAGTTCTGTCTCGTGCTGCTGTCTCCGGTTTGGACGGGCTCCCACACCGGGCTTCCGATGTCTCATAACCTCCCTATTCCCCCCCCTATGCAAAATCCTGATGTTTCGTTATACTGCCACCTGGAAGAGCTCTTCCGAAGCTAACTGCACTGTACCCATAGATGTGGCGATCAAATATCTCGACTCGAGCGATCGCAAGCATCTGCCGCAGATCCTCCAGTTCTCCAGCGAAGACAAAGTGACCAAGTACGAGATCTGCCAGCGCTTTGGCGAAATCATGGGCTTGTCCATTGCCAACATTGAGCCCAACACGGAGGGCAACGACCCCAACGCCAGCGTGCAACGGCCGTATGATTGCCACCTGAGCACCCGGGAGCTCAAGAATCTCGGCATCGACGTTTCGACATGCGATTTCGTCAGCTGGTGGCGCCGCGAGGTTCGAGCTTTTCGCAAATAGTTATCAATAAGCCAGTTCTTGACCGAATACGACTCCGCATTGATGACAATCTTCTTTTCCAGACCGGGCTTATCAGAGCAATGTGTGCATACATGTATGAACACGCAGTACTGCCTGCTTCTTTGGAGCGCCATGCGAGTTCGGGGAGACGTAATCTGCCGCCCAAGACATGCGCTGATATGCCACTACTACATCACGGACGGAGACTGCCCGATGCCCATGTTGCTGTTCAGCTGGCCACATGTATCTGTGAATACTTGTCCATGTCGCTAACAATGTTCTGTCATGATCCGTGCGGAGCGCAGAGTAGGGAGGCGAATGATACCTTATATCATACCCCGGCCTGCAAAGTGCACAAGCCTAGACTCACCGAACGGTGGTTCGTGGGGATCCGCTTAGAAGGCGACATTGAGGATATTTCAACCGCCTCCGCCTCCATGACCCGCTAAGGAGATGCCTTCGATTAGCCCAGATTCACCGGAAGTGTTGTTGTTGAAGCATGGAGCAGCGTGAGAAGCGTGTCTGCTGGGCCCTGTCAGGGATTGTCAGCGCCGCACAGTGAGTACAGCAGACGAAGGCGAGGGGCAAATGTGAGAGGCGTTGGCCATACTAACGGCTACTATCTAGATGTTGTAGCGCAACAGTCCCCGTTATTCATGAGCGTGCTGCAAAGGCCTCCCTTGCATGAAATCACCATGCTACAGTGAAGCCACAAGGAGCGAGACTCCTATGTCTGGTTGACATGATTGTCGACGTGGGATCTCTGCGTATGTACATACGTACAAAAGCATCGTTCGACAAGCTGGCCAAAATTGGGACCCGCACCCGCGAAAAAGCAAATACTCGCACAAACCCCCTTTGCAGTCGCTGGGATGCCGCAGCAATATTACTACTACCAGCACTGGTATTACTACTCGCCACGACAAGGCTTACTGCAAGCGAGGAGATATTTTAAGACATTGATCCATTTGATGCCAGCGGAGATCATTGAGCGGCCGACGGTGGAGGGGGGCTTTGAAGGCAGATGGTATTGTTTGGCGACATGACCTGCATCATGGGCATCGACGCTTGGCAGGGCGACTCCCTGATGCTCGGTGCGATTTTGGCCACGAGCAGTCCGGACTAGAGAGATTGCGTCGATTGGGCTTGCTCTCCTCGACGCTTCCCTTTTCTCCAGCATATTTCCTCTGCTCGCCGCCTTGCTTTTCGCCTGCTTCCCCAGAGAGCTGTTCCTTCACGAAGTGCTTCTTGTTCTCGGACTGCTCATTCCCTTGGGCACATCAACGCCAGTGATTCTTTCTACAAGAACCGAGTTATCAGATCTGGTACGTCAGCTGCGGAACCGGTTGCCGAGAGAACGGCATACCTTAGCAACGGGTTATTACGAGTGTATTCTGACTTAAGCTTTCGTGACAGCAGCACTTACACCGAACTGTTGGGTGCGCCACTCCCGCAGCCCTTGTACCTGGTTTGGTTTATACAGGCTGTCACCGAGCACACCTTACAGCAGCGCCAGCGGAAGCAAAAGGGGAACGGAGAGGGCAGAGGGAACAAAGGGGAATAAACAGGAGAATAAGGAGGAAAAAGTCCTCTATAATCCCCCTTGTTCCGCGACGCATTAATACGTGCGGAATCACTCCCGACGCCCTTAATCTCTGCTGCGTGACAGCTAGATTGACTGGCGTCTCAGCCCAAAACAGCAAGAGGTCACATTCACTTGGCGTCAGGCGGTTGATCGACTGACGGATCCGCTGCCAGGGCGCAACCCAGTGAAGCTGACAGCGGCCCCAGCGCGGCTACAGGGCGCCATTACAGGCACCACAGGCACCATGGCTGCCGCAGACGAGGTCCCTGCAGGCCCCCCAGGCCCCGAGCTGCAGCCGCCCAAGACGCCGCGCCGCACCTTTGGAGGGAAGAGCATCTCGCGCTTCAACCTGTTCCGCGATCCTGATGCGCCGCAGAGCTCGCCGGGTTCCAAGAGCGTCAACCTCTCGCAAGCAGCACAAGCATCAGACCAACAAGAAGAACAAGCACAAGCACAAGCACAAGCACAAGCACAGGAACAAATACAGCTCCAGCCCCCGGCCCCCATCCCCAACTTCGTGCTCAGCGCGAACCACAAGAACGATTCGAGCCCCTCGCTGCTGGAGCGCAGATTCTTCGGCGGCGACCTCAAGCCGCCGCCATCGCCCTCGGCCAGGTCCTTCGTCTCAGAGCCCGGATCGCCGCTGGGCTCGCTTTGGCAGTCCGTTGAGCCGCACCGCCAGCAGGACCGAGCGGGAAATCGACGAGCTCGCCGCCCAGCTGGACCTCGAGCTCGACGAGGCCCGTCGCAAGAAGGCCGAGGCCCTGCAGAGCTGCCAGGAGGAGGACGCCGCTCGCTGCGCAGACGACGTTGCGCGACTCGAGGCCGAGCGGGAACTTGTCATTGACGAGCAGCGCAAGTTTGACCTGGCCCGTCTCCAGGCACAGCCGCCCTCGACCCCGTCCTCGACCAAGCCCAAGCGAGTCCTCGAGAAGCTCAACCTCTTCTCCAGGAGCAGCAGGAAGCCCAGCAGCTCCAACCTGGGCCAGCCGCCACTCACCCCTCTGCCGCCTGCTACGCCCAACTCCATTGCGCCCAGTGTCTTCACGCCTACGCCTAGTATCAGCCGGAGAAGCAGCCTCGACGACTCTCCCCCGCTGAACCCCTCGCAAAGGATGAGCTTCATTCAACCGCACCCGGATGGCGACGCGCCCATCTCCGCCATTAATGGCGGTGAACGAGTGAGTGCCCGTTTGCTTGCGCCTTTGTTCTTGTGTGACTCGACTCAGTTGCTGACCCCTCTTTCTCCTGACCCCTTGCAGCGTGTTACTGTTCGATGCATGTCGTCGACCCTCAAGTTGGATGTAACCACCGACACTACGCCGGAGGATATTCTCATCGCAGCGGCTGCTCAGACACAGCATGACATCGATGTTGAAACGAGCGTCGTCATTGAGTGCTACGAGAGCCTGAACCTGGAGCGACGCATGCGACGCTATGAGCATGTACGAGACACCATGAACTCCTGGGATCGTGACCAGGACAACTCGCTCTTGGTTGTACCCTGTGACACGCCGGGAGATGACGACAGTCTCGAGCTCTCGGCCGTCCCGCAGACAGACGAGCCCGCCCCTGGCTTCACCATCCAGCTCTATCACTCCCCGCGCCCTGGCAAGTGGAGCAAGCGGTTTGTCACCCTGCTCAACACCGGCCAGATGTTTGCTTCCAAGCGCGCCGATGCGCAAGTCGGCGACAAGGATAGCACATCGCTGTGCCATCTGTCAGACTTTGACATCTACAAGCCCAGGGAGAGCGAGGTGAAGCGGCATCTCAAGCCTCCCAAGAAACTCTGCTACGCCATCAAGAGTCAGCAAAAGACCGTCGTCTTTCCCAACGGAGAGAACTTTGTCCACTTCTTCTGTACGGACGATGCCGCGACAGCCCACAAGTTCTTTAGCCATGTGCATGCGTGGCGAAGCTGGTACATTGTCAACAAGATCACACACTCCCGCCCGGTCGAGGTGTCTCCGCCCCTGAACCTGATCGACATTGGTCCGATACAGCGCATCCCCGACAAGTCGCCTCGGGTCTCCAGTGGCTTGACTATTTCCACCGGAACCTTTATAGATGAGGCCGACTTCACCAAGGCCATTGAGGAATCTACACGGAAGCTGGCGTTGGAGGCTGAGCTCAACAAAAACAAGCCTAGGAGGCGGAAAGAGTCCGGCGCGTCCGCCAGCCCCAGCACGAAGGGCGACAAAGCAACCTTTTCGCCTACTGGATTGCTGGGAGAGGCGTATGAGAAGCGCAAAGAGGAGGCGGCCGCCGCGGGCGAGGCCGCGGCTGACGGCACAACAGTCGCAAAGATTGAGGGCCCCTTTACAGAAGGTCCGTCCTTGCTGAACAGCCTCGGCCTCTCGTCCCCCAAGTCTCCTGAGCAGCCCCCCGTGAAGTCTTGGTTCCCATCCGCCGCCGAACACAGCGCGCGCAACCGGAGCGCTTCCATCTCGAAACGGCCTGTGACGGCTGATCCTTCAGCCCACTCCGATCATGGCAAGGGGCAGGGGCCGCTTTTGAGCTTTGCGAACAACAACTTCCCAGAGCCGCCACGGGCCCGAGAGGGCCCTCGACACGGCCCTGGATCCAGACATGGACACGGGCTGCGCCCTCCGCCAGGATCGCCTCTCGTCAGCTTTGCAACCGGGGGTCAGCAAGCACCACCCATGTCACCGGGAGGAAGACACCGAGCACCTCCCGCCGGTGGTCCTCTGCCGCCGCCAGGAGCGCCAAGCTCGCGAAATCGGAGCCACTCGATAGCTAGTGCCAACAGTGGTGCTTCTCGACGCTTCCCCATCTCCGCCGAGGACGTCCCTCTGGCATCTTCACAAAACCGGCAACCCGGCTCACGGTCGAGCCGAATGCCCCCTCCTTCTCCTCGTGATGGCTCATCGCGGGGTCATGACCATCGCCGTCCAGGTCCTCTGCTGCAGGAGCGCCAAGAACGTCCCAAGGAGCGACCCAGGGAGCGTCCTCAAGAGCGACGGCCCGGGCCTCTGGTGAACTCGGCCCGATAAATGGCTGCATTGAATGGCGAGTATATATGTGAGGCATTACTACCGAGTGATGGATGATAGCGATTTGTATTTCCTTGTCATGACACTCTGATGCAGAGGCACAGAAAGATTTCCACAGTCGTGGTTTTGGTATTCCTTTTGTTGTTCATTTTTCTTGAATAACCAATCTTGGTCATGGCAGTGGTCTGTCTCTTTTCTTTCCCCCTTTGTTCATCATTCAACCAAGGGCGAGTGGCATCGCGATGGCTTGTGAAGCTACCTACCTTACCTGGTGCCGATGTATGGCATGGCATGGGCAAGTATCATGCAAGAGAAAAAAGAAGATGGATGGTGTTGGGTGGTTTTGTGTCCTTTTATTTGTTTGTTTGTTATTAGAGGAGCTGCGTCATCTTTTACAGCATTCAGGGTGTGTTCTTTTTTGGTATTATACAGTATGCGCACGCGCACAGAGAGAGGAAAGAAAGACAGGTATCATGGAACGGCCATTGTAGTAGTTGATAATACATACTCATCCACTGGTATTTTTTTTTTTTTTTTTTGGCTAAACGTGTCTTCTTGGAATCTCCTGGGTCTATATGTGGCGTGAGTATATATATATTAATCTGATGTTTTTCTTGTCGATTCTACCATGTACGACGACATCCATAACGCTGTGAAATCGCTCCGGTTTGTACAGACGCCGGCATTCTTCTTCTTTTTTATAGCTTAAAGAGATTGAAAATTTGGGGGAGATTGAGGTGTATCTGCTTATTTGCTTCGCTTGTAAATCTTGCTCAGGAACACCTCAAAGACCTCCTTCTTGAGGCCCTGGCTCTCGTCAATCTGGTTGATGAGCTCCTTGAGCTCGGCGGCGCGCTTCTCCTCAAAGGCCTCGTAGCGCTCCTTGAGCTTGAGGTCGTCGTAGAGCTTCTTGATGGCCTGCTCCTTGGCGTCGTCCTTTTGGCCGTAGTTGTCCTCGAGGATCTTGCGCTGGTCGGGGGTGACGAGCTGGAGGGCCTGGTTGACGAGCCAGGAGCACTTGTTGTCCTTGATGTCGGTGCCGATCTTGCCAATGTGCTCGGGGAGGCCAAAGTTGTCGAGGTAGTCGTCCTGGATCTGGAAGTACTCGCCGAGGGGGATGAGGATGTCCTTTGCCGTCTGGAGGTTCTTGGGGGTGGCGACGTCGAGGAGGTAGAGGGCGAGGGCGACGGGGAGGTAGAAGGAGTAGTAGGCGGTCTTGTAGATGACGATGAAGGTGTACTTCTCCATGGAGAAGTTGTCGAGGTTGACGACGTCCTCGGGGGCGGTGAGCAGGTCGCAGAGCTGGCCGAGCTCGGTCTGGAAGGCCGTCTCGTGGAAGAGCTCGACCATGTCGACGTAGCGGGGGTGGTCGCGGAAGAACTTCTTGAGGATGATGTAGATGCCCGACTCGAGCAGGAAGGCGTCGTTGATGGCGATCATGCCGACGCCCTCCTGGCGGTACCAGCAGGGCTGGCCGCGGCGCGTGATGCTGCTGTCCATGATGTCGTCGGAGACGAGGAAGAAGGCCTGCAGGAGCTCCGTCATCCAGCCCAGCGTCGCGGCCTTGAAGTATTCCTCCTCGGTCAGGGGGCGGCCGAGGATGACGGAGGCGGAGTCGGGGACGGACATGCCGCGGTTGCATTTGCCGCCGAGGGGGTTGACTTCGAGGTTCTGAGGGGGGAGGGAAGTGAGGGTTAGCTTCTGGCTCATCTCCAAGGATCTTTGTAGCTGCTCCATTCTTGTTGTCTCTCCCTTTTCCCTGCCTCTTCGTCTTCTTCTTCTTCTTTTTCTTCTTCTTCTACCACTATATGCGAAATCGAAAAGCAAGTGTCGGTGGTCTTCTCACCTTCTTGAACCAGTTCAGCTCCTTCTCGGGCAGCTTGTAGGATCGGGCATGGTCGAGGAGGGCCTCTTCCAGCTTGGGGTAGACGGACTCAAACTCCTTGAGGGTAGTCTTTTGAGCCATGGCGACGGGATTGGTGGTATTAGAAGTTTGCAATTGGAGGAAGAAAAAGAAACGGAGAGAGGGTAATGATTCAGGCTCGAGAGAACAAGAGACCAAGAGAGAGAATGAGAGAGAGAGAGAGAGAGAATGATATACGTGTTGGCCGAAGCGTTGGGTCGAACTTCGGTTACTCGAAATGGACGAGACCCTCAAACCCCTCTATCCAATTGCTGGCCAAAGAATTGCCAGCAGCCCGAACCGGGGAGGGCCCCTCATTGCCTTTCCGTTTGGAGGGGGCGGTGAGAGGCTGGAGCAAGGGCGGCTGCATGTATGCGGTACTTGCGATGCTCGATATCGCAGTGGTGACGCAGCTATTTTAGCGGAGGCGCTGAAGTAGAGTGTACTGAGTACTGGTATTAGTTCGCTGTGACGGCGCGGGTTGGATGGTCGCACCCGCTGAAGTTGGTGTGCCGGTACCTGAAAATTGGGTTGGGCAGGCGCTGTTGATTGCTGTTGCTCGCTGGGTGATATCGGAGGAGAGGCGCTGGTCGTGAAGTACACCGTACAGAAGCCATCAAGTTCACACAAAAAACGCACTGTACCTCCGCACGGCAGCAGCAGCCAGTCCACGCCATTCTGCCGGCTTGCAAGTTCACTGTATACCTGGCTTCACCTCTCCAATACGAGTACGGAGCAAGGCACGTACCGTACTCGGATCTTGACTTGCAGCGCTTATCGCGACAGCCATCATCTCACACCAAGCGCAACACAGTCGATGCCACAGCCTGATGCGCATTCGCAGACGCTAGACGCTGACTGACGCCTTACACGAGAACTGGACTCATGACATAGACGGAGACAACAAGGATTCGGCAGTCACTGCAAGGCCGCGCGGGTTGGGCCTTTGCGCCGTCAGTCATAACACCGGCACTACCTGTCAGGCTGTTTTTGGTTGCACGTCATGGCGCTGAGTCCTCACGAGGTCGCGCAGCTCAGGGTGGCTCTGCAGGACGCGGTCGTCAAGTGCTCTGAGCGGTGTCTCTACCAGTCGGCAAAATGGTTCGCTGCTTAATCTCACGCTTGAATATGTGTTGCAAAAAGTGCAAGGCACAAGGCTAATCATCTTACTCTCAAGGGCAGCCGAGCTTCTCAACGCAGTGCCAGAGTCGGAAGAGGGCGAGGATGACAGCGCCAATCCCGACCTCAAGCACACGTCACCCATCTTCTCACCCAACCAGGATGCCGACGAGGCTGCCCTCGAAGCAAAGGAGCTCAGCAAATACCTCCTCGCCAAGTCCCTGTTTGACTGCAAGGAATACGACCGCTGCGCCGCCGTCTTCCTGCCGGACTCGCTGCTGTCGACTGTCCTCGACTCGCGCCTCGAGAAGCCCCCGGTGGCTGTCAAGGGCAAGGGCAAGTCCAAGGCTACGGATGACGCGAAGCAGAGTGCGATCCCGCTGCCCAAGCTCAGCCAGAAGAGTCTGTTTCTGGCCCTCTACGCCAAGTTCATGTCAGGCGAGAAGCGCAAGAATGAAGACTCGGAAATGGTCATGGGTCCTCAGGATCTGGGCACTGTCGTTAACAAGCAGCTTCTCATTGTGGGGAGATTTCTGGCTGCGTGGTTTGAAGAGAGAACGACGGATGATGACGAGGTTCTCGGAAGCCAGGGCTGGCTGGAATACTTGTACGTGGAAAAGCCTCTATCGCCGTTGTTTTGGTATTTGTGGGTGTTCACTAACATCAGCCACCCAACAGATACGGCATGGTGCTTGCCAAAGAAAAGAATGATGAAAAGGCATTGGAGTTCTTCATTCGCAGTGTCCATAAGTATCCCATGAATTGGGGCTGCTGGCTTGAGATGACGTCTCTGATATCAAGAGTCGAAGATGTGAGTGCTCACCCTAAGCAACTATCTGGAGCTCAAAGTGACAAATATCTGCAGCTGAACCGGATATGTCGACACTGTCCTCAAAACATTGTCTCTTACATGTTCCACCTCCACACATCACTTGAGCTATACCAGCAATCTGCAGGGCTCGCAAGCTCTCTCGACCAGCTCCTTTCCATCTTTCCGACATCGTCATTCCTTCTCACTTGCAACGCGCTCCTAGCGTACCATGCAAAGGATTTGATGGCTGCTGAGCAGCACTTTAGCCGGCTCCTATCACTCCATCCACACAGGCTTGACTCTTTGGACCACTACTCAAATATTCTCTACGTGCTCAACCTGCGGCCGAAACTCGCATTCTTGGCACACTTGTGTTCAAGTGTGGACAAGTTTCGACCCGAATCCTGCGTTGTCATTGGCAATTACTACTCACTTCTATCAATGCACGAGAAAGCGGTGGGATACTTCCGGCGAGCACTGACGCTCGACCGATCATGCCTTTCTGCTTGGACTCTGATGGGTCACGAGTACGTCGAGCTGAAGAACACTCATGCTGCTATCGAATCATACCGTCGGGCAGTCGATGTCAATCGGCGCGACTACCGTGCTTGGTATGGCCTCGGACAAACCTACGAAATGCTGGAAATGCACACGTATTCGCTATGGTACTATAAAAAGGCAGCAGGCCTCCGCCCCTGGGATGGCAAGATGTGGATGGCAGTCGGATCATGCCTCCAGAAGATGGGCCGAGAGCGCGATGGAATCAAGGCGCTCAAACGCGCTCTGCTCGCTGATGCGTACTATGACGTTGGCAGCAGCTTTGGAAGCGGTGGAGACCTGCTGGGTGCTCGTGGTGCCACTGGCCAGATGGACCCAGAGATCCTATTACAGATTGCCACCATGTATGATCAGCTGGGCGAAGAAGAGGAGGCCAAGGCGTACATGGAGCTGTGCATGGCGCAAGAAGATGGCGGCCCGGCTGCTGCGGGAAACCTTGGTGAGTCTGTGAGGATTCACAATGACTCACCGGGAGGCTCTGACGGCTATCTAGAGCGAGAAGACGCCAACGGGGAAGGGAATGCAGAGGGCACCGGTGTCACAGCTGCGACCAGCAAGGCACGAATGTGGCTCGCTAAATTTGCCATGCGCACGGCGGATTATCAGACGGCGAATCGACTGGCCGCTGAACTGTGTCAAGATGGAGTCGAGGTCGAGGAAGCAAAGGCCTTGGCGCGGGAAGTGCGGTCGAGGCTTGAGGCATCGGGGATGCTGGGACCTGCAAGCTAGCAGCGGGAGACACATACTTGGCATGGTCAATATCCCATGCACCGATGGCAGAATGAAGCCCGCAACAGAATGGATGGACTTTTATGATTGGGCTGTTATGTGTTTTGACCGATCCCCCTTTTTGATTACGATATATGTTAGACTTGAATGAAAGAAGAAAGGATAAATCGAATCTATATGCACTGCATCACGGTGATGAGATGTCATGTAAAGGAGCGTAACTTTTCATTTGACCTATACTTGTCTAGAATAACAAGACCAGATCCAACCACCCCCCCTTTTTTTTAATCCGCCTTCAGTTCTCATGTAAGCTAAACCCTTCGATCCTCAAAGATTCAAGGAGCGTCAAGAAGATTAGTGAAAAGCAGTTATTAAAAATTGAGAACTGTTCCCATAGCAATGGGATAATGAGCCCCGATGGCTTCTTCCAAGAGGGGGCCATTTCTGATGGCAATCCATCCCATCGCTTAGAGAGCCATGGCGGCAATACCAGCAGCGAGGGCGAGAGCTCCAAAGCCGGCCTTGGTCTTGTCGGCAGCAGCGGTGGGAACGACCAGCGGGGTGGTTCCTGTGGCAGGCGGCGGCGGGGGAGGGGGAGCCTCGGTGCTCTTGGGGGGAGGGGGAGGCGGAGGAGAAGGA